TGTATAATTTTATCTTTTTACTTTACTTTACTTTATTCAAATTTCTATACCGCCCTTCTCCTTTCGGACTCAGGGCGGTGAACAGCCAAGATAAAAACATCTATACAAAACATCACAGTTAAAAAATAAAGTTAAAATAATTTATAAATTTGGCCCATAATTTAAAACTTGTCAATTTAAAATCAATATTAAAATTTTCAAACTAACCCTAAAATCAAGACAGACCGGCTAACTGGAAAAAATAAGTTTTTAGGGCCCGGCGAAAAATCCGAAGGTCGGAGATCGCTCGTATCTCTGGGGGTAGATTGTTCCATAGGGTAGGTGCCACCACAGAGAAGGCTCTCCTCCTGGGGGTCGTCAGCCGGCATTGTCTGGCCGACGGCACCCTGAGGAGGCCCTCTCTGTGGGAGCGAACCGGCCGGTGGGAGGCTATTGGTGGCAGAAGGCGGTCCCGTAAGTACCCTGGCCCTAAGCCATGGAGCGCTTTAAAGGTGATCACCAACACCTTGAAGCGCACCCGGAAGTCCACCGGAAGCCAATGCAGCTTGCGCAGGAGAGGAGTCACATGGGAGCGCCCCGTCGCTCCCATAATCCCCCGCGCAGCCGCATTCTGCACCAGTTGGAGCCTCCGGGTGTACCCCAAGGGGAGCCCCATGTAGAGAGCGTTACAATAGTCCAGACGAGAAGTGACGAGTGCTTGAGTGACCGTGCGTAGGGAGTCCCGGTCCAGAAAGGGGCGCAACTGGCGTATCAGGCGAACCTGACAAAAAGCCCCCCTGGCCACGGCTGTCATATGCCCTTCTAAAGACAGCCGCGCATCCAGGAGGACACCCAAGTTGCGGGCCCTCTCCGTGGGGGCCAATGATTCGCCCCCAATAACCAGCGATGGCGTCAGCTGGCTATACCGGGACGCCGGCAGCCACAGCCACTCGGTCTTGGAAGGGTTGAGTCAAAGCCTGTTTCTCCCCATCCAGACCCGCACGGCCTCCAGGCACTGGGACATCACTTCCAAGGCATCATTGGGATGGTCTGGGGTGGAAATGTACAGCTGAGTATCATCAGCGTACTGATGGAACTCCACCCCAAAACCACGGATGATCTCACCCAGCGGCTTCACATAAATGTTGAACAGGAGGGGCGAGAGGACCGACCCTTGCGGCACCCCACAAACAAGGCGCCTTGGGGTCGACCGCTGCCCCCCTGTCAACACGGATTGCGACCGGTCGGAGAGATAGGAGGAGAACCACCGCAAAACGGTGCCCCCCACTCCCAGTCCCTCCAGCCGGCGCAACATGATACCATGGTCGATGGTATCAAAAGCCGCTGAGAGGTCTAATAGGACCAGGATAGAGGAAGAACCCCTATCCCGGGCTCTCCAGAGATCATCCACCAACGCGACCAATGCCGTTTCCGTGCTGTACCCAGGTCTGAAGCCGGACTGGAGTGGATCCAGATAGACAGCTTCATCCAGGTACTGGGGAAGCTGTCGCGCCACCACACTCTCAACAACCTTCGCAATAAAGCGAAGGTTGGAGACTGGACGATAGTTAGCCAAAAACAGCCGGGTCCAGGGATGGCTTCTTGAGGAGAGGCCTCACCACCGCCTCTTTCAAGGCGGCCGGCAGGACACCCTCGCTCAAAGAAGCGTTAATAATCCCCTGGAGCCAGCCTCGTGTAACCTCCCGGGAAGCCAGCACCAACCAGGAGGGACACGGGTCCAATAAACATGTGGTTGCGTTCAGCCGCCCCAAGATCCTGTCCACGTCCTCGGGAGCCACAGGATCGAACTCCTCCCAGATAACACTCTCAAGGCCTGCCTCAGTCATCTCGTCTGAACTAACCCAGTCGGCGGCCAAGTCTTCCCGAATCTGAGTTATTTTATCATCCAGATACTGTACAAAATCCTCAGCTCGGCCCTGCAAGGGGTCCTCCCGCGCTCCCAGATGGAGGAGGGAGCGGGTCAAACAGGGCGGCTGGGCGGTTATCTGATGACGCAATAAGAGCGGCAAAATAGCTAGATTTCGCCGCTTTTATCGCCACTAGGTAGGTCTTAATATGAGACCTTACCAGTGTCAAGTCAGACTCGGAACGACTGGCCCTCCAACCGCTCTCTAGGCGTCTTTTCCGGCGCTTCATCACCCTCAGCTCCTCGGAAAACCAAGGAGCTAAGTGAGTTCGGAGCCGGGTCAGAGGCCGCAAAGGCATGACCCGGTCCAAAGCCCCGGCAGCCGCCCCATCCCAGGCGGCCACCAGGTCGTCAGCCGAGTCATGAGCTAGAGTCTCAGGAAGTGGCCCAAGCTCCATCTGGAACCTATCAGGGTCCATCAGGCGCCTGGGGCGGAACCACCTGGTCGGTTCCGCCTCCCTGCGATGGGGTACGGCGGTCAGAAAGTCAAGTCGAAGGAGCGAGTGGTCAGACCATGACAAGGGTTCAATAGCTACATCCCCTGTATCAAGGCCACTCAACCACTGACCAGAGATAAAAACTAAGTCCAGAGTGTGTCCCCCCATATGAGTAGGGCCGTGAATTACTTGGGTCAGGTCCATGGCCGTCATGGAAGCCATGAACTCCCGAGCTACCTCAGATGTCTCACCGATGGATGGCAGGTTGAAATCCCCCATGACCACAAGTCTGGGGGTATCAGCCGCCACCTCGGCTATAACATTGAGGAGTTCGGGCAGGGTCGCTGCCATGTGGCAGGGAGCCAGGTACGTGATCAACAGACCCATCTGCACCCCACGACCCCACTTCACAAAAAGGGACTCACATCCGGCTATCTGAGGTACAGTGGTCTCCCTCGGATCAAGACCTTCTTTTAAAATGACCGCCACCCCCCGCCCCTGCCCTGAGCTCTCGGCTGATGAAATGCACGGAAGCCTGATGGGCACATCTCCACGAGGGGAACTCCCCCCTCATGGCCCAACCAGGTCTCCGTGATACCTGCCAGGTCCGCTCCCCCCTCTTGAATAAGATCACAGATGAGGGGGGCTTTATTTACTACGGACCTGGCATTACATAACATCAGTCGGAGACTCGGGCGCTGAGACTCTAAGCAGCCTGGGGAACGGGAAGAGCTAAGGGGACCAGGGCACGCAATCGCTCGGAGATAGCGAGCACGTGCCCCCACCACATGATATGGCCCCCTGCTCCCGCCATACCTGCCCCTCCCACTCAGCGTGCTAATAGAGAAGCCCTCACTAGAGGGCATTCTAACAGTCCCCTTTCCCCCAGAGTCCGAACCCCCTACGGCACCATTAATAGCAGCCGGACTGGTCTCCAACCCCCGTGGGTTTTCCCCCAAACCCACATAACCTCCCCCACCCTCAGAACCCCTTAAAAGTCTAATTAAAAAAGTCTTTAAAAAACCCCTCAATCCCCTTTTTGCGACATGCCACCTCTCGGGGTCCCAAGATCCGTCATTAAGGTGGGCCCTCGATAACATAGAGGGCCAGGCCTGCGAGAGGGGGGAATCTCGCAGCACAAGAAGCTTTGCCCTAGAATACATTTTAACACTAGAGTGATAATACAAGTTTGGCCTAGACATGGCCTAGGGGTCTATAATGATGGTTTCAAATGTCCAGGAAGCAAGACTAAGATAATCGGAAGAGTCACCATTACCCTCTCACGGTAATGGGTAGGAGTCCTCACGTTCAGTCCAGCTGAGGGGAACAATCCAACCACCCTCTCACGGTGGTTGGCCATCCTAATCAGGCAAGATGGAAAAAGTCAGAAAAAGTCCAAAACCACCCTCTCACGGTGGTTTGGCGTTCCTGGCCCTGAAAAGATGAGTCCCGTCCACGGCGAACGTAGTCTGGAGCTGGCTCCATCCATCCTCCCGTAACTGCCTTGTCCTCCATACAGCCAGGAGACAGGACGAAAGACAGAGCCAGGTCCCAAGCTCTGGGGAAGAAAGTCCACATTGGCCGATAGGCCGATAACAGGGCCTAAAAAGGGAGGGGGGGGAGGCCATCCATAGCGACCCAATACTTGAGCCGTCCACCAGCCTCTCCAACCCCAGGTCTTTCCACACAAACCCTTAATGTCAGCCATGTATCCTTCAACCCCTGAGCACAATGGGGTTCAACTCCCCCATTTCAGTGTCGAGGCTTGATGTTCCTCTCCTCTCCTCCAACGCCAACAACTCTCCAGCTCTCCAGCACCACCTCCGCCCTCGACCTGGTTGCCACGCAGCAGCCGCCATTACCACAGCGTCGTCCTTGGCGTTGGCCACACCCGAGCTCCCAGCGTTCCCCAGCGCCCCCGGAACATCCAAAAGAAACCCCCAGGGGCATCCAGGGTCAGGGGGGAGCTCGCTGGGCATCACCACCGCCGCCGCCGCCGCCACCGCTCTAGCAGCCGCCGCCTCGGTCAAACAGGGAGAGAAACGGCGGAGCCAATGCAGCCGGGCTGTCAGCGTTCAGCCTCGGCGTTCTTACACCCGCGCCATCTTCCGCTCACTTCTCCCCAGCCACGAGGTTCCGGAGGGCGAAAAAGCCCTCATCAGGCTGGGGAGAAAGTCCTCAAACTGGAAACGGGGTTGCCGATGTTCATGGCAGCCCCAAAAGACCCCTGCCAGTCCACGAGCCGCCCATCTCTAGACGCGATCTAGACGGGCGTCGCTTTTTAATATTGTGGGCCACCCAGAGTTATCCTCTGATGAGATAGGCAGCCAATAATAATTAATAATAATTAATTTAGAACATATTCTTAATACAAAATATCTCTGTCTCTCTCATACTTTCTTTTTTCCAGCTATCAAAACAGTATGGACCCATATTCAAAATCCAACTGGGACTCCAGAAAATGGTGGTGCTAACAGGATATGAGACCATAAAGGAAGCTCTGGTGAATAAGGCTGATGTGTTTGCTGAGAGGGCTCCTTTCCCCATATTTGATGAGTTTTCAAAGGGGTTTGGTGAGGACCTTCATTTCATGTCAATACAATTTGCAAACATACAATGGAGACTCTGTGCCAACATCACCACAGGAGCAATAAGAATTAGAATTGACTGAAATTGGGAAAACGTACTAAGTGTGGGACTGGTATTCATAACACAGAAAGTGACCTCAATGGCTCTCTCAGTCTCTGCTGTATGCTTAAGAAAGAATTTAGAATGCTTTGCAGAACAATGAAGATTCCAATCAGAGATTGAGAGATTCTAAGATGAAAATAACACCTAAATGACAACCAAACAATCAGCTTGTATTAATTATCTGCAAGGGAGCATTCAGTACCCTAATATAGAGGCTGCTTGAGTCAAGGACAGCCACTTTAGAGCTCTTAGATATGTCTCAATATCTCAAATATTGAGTTGAAAGTGACCTCAATCTGTATTTCTTACAAGCACTGGTTACAAAAAAACAAAGTGAAATATGGCTCTGCTAAGATTTAATGCTGTTTGTTAGATATTCTGGAATGATATCGTATATTCAATAGAATAAACAATTGAATAAACATTGTATATTGTGGAATGAATGATCACATGGGGTGGGTTTTTTAAAGATATATTTCTTTACAGCCAATTCTCTGAATTGGAATGGTCTCTGTAATCACTCTGTTAAGTGGATTTCTTCCTCAAACTCTTCCTCTAATGATTATGAGAATATTTTGGGGGCAGAGATATTTATCTTTTTGCCATGCATGATTTAGATCAGTGTTTCCTAAACAAGCCGACTTTTGGATGTTTGGATTTCATCTCACAGAATTGGATGGGGAATTCTGGGAGATGAAGTCCATATAGTTTAACATTGCCAAGGCTGAGAAATACTCAGCCTTGATATAGGCAAACTCTAAGGCAACAAGACTTGGAAATTAACTAAGTATTTAAGAAATGTTCCTTGGGTTTTGGAAGATCTAGAGGGATGATGGTAGGAAGTGCATTTCTTCACCATCAGTTGAAATTTTGCATATTTTTGTTTTTCAGGAATAATTTTTTCCCATGGTGAGAACTGGAGAGTGATGAGGCGATTTATGTTAACCACCTTACGGGACTATGGGATGGGTAAGAGGTCTATGGAAAGCAGAATAGCTGAAGAGTGCAGTTTCGTGGTAAAGAAGTTTGAATCTTACAAAGGTGCGTTGGTGTTTCTTCTGGAGTTCAAAAACTTATCTATCTTATGTTATCTTGAATGGGTTGAGGTTCCTGCATGACATACTCCGAACTTCCAAATCATAGCTCTTTTTAAATAGTTTTTATTTAAAACAGTTTAAAAGATAATAAAAACTCAAATCAGAAAAAAAATAGAAAATAGAAAAAACACAAAGTGTGAAGAGTAAAGGAGAGAATGAGAGAGCAGAGAAGAAAAAGAAAAGAAAAGAGATAGAAAAAAAGAATATTGAAAGAAGTGACTCCTATCTTCCTTACAACAATTGCGGCAAAATTAATAGCTTCCTACCCCTGTAACAAGGGTGTCAAACTCAATTTCATTGAGGGCCACATCAGGGTTGTGTTTGACCTTGGGTGTGTGTGTGTGTGGCCACGATGGACATGGCCAGCTGGACATCACTTATGTGGTAGATTCCTGTGGTGGCCTGAGCACTCTGCCAGCGAAAACAGGCTCCTGAGCTCCATTTTCGGCTGCAACAGCCTCCTGCAACCCTCTGCCAGCAAAAACAGAGCTCGCGAGGGCTGCATGTGGCCCTCCTGAGCTCCGTTTTTGGTGGCAGAGGCACCATGGGCTGGTCCTTTGCTGTTTCCAGGGCAGCCCCGCAGGCTAGATCTAAGTATCCTGCAGGCCGAATTTGGCCCCTAGGTCTTGAGTTTGACACCCCTGCCCTGTAAGATTGCATAATGGTTCACTTCTTCCCATAACTTTCCCCTTCTTATCCACTCACAAAACTCATTATGATTTCTGTCCAAATATCAGTAAAATGTCCATAAAGAGTTTCCAGAAGTTTATAAAAATATTGTTTTTAACCCTGATCAAACAAGTCAACTAAACAAGTCAATATTCAAACAAAACAAGTCAATATTCTCATCTTTTGCTTCTAAGAGTCTTAGTTTTAAATTCAAGTTGCTATCATAGGATTGAATCTCAATTTAATCTTTCTGCCATTTCAAAATATCTTTCAAGATTTTAGAAACCCTCTTTTGTAAATTTAAAACTAAACCCTTGCTCTTTTAATTTTTTGTTCATCATTTTGTTCCACTGTATCATCTCTATTTTATAATCTTCCATTTTTTCATTTTCCAGGATTTCTTCATTATGTAGGATTTCTATCTCCTCTTTCTTCTCTTTTCTTTTTCTTTCCTGAAACATTGGTCACTTCTAGTGGTTTATTTCTATGTCCACAGAGTCTCAAGATTCATTCTTCAACTGTTTTCTGTTAATTAAACAATTTGTACTCTTACAAAGGTATTGTTTTGTTTTCTCAGTTTTTTTTTAAAAAAAACTTAACAAAAATCTTAATTTTCCAAATTCATCTGGTCTTTTACATCATTTAAAACTTTGTCTGAAGGTTGTCTGCAGTTATTTGAAGATTGAATAATTGTAATTGGACTATTTTTTGTTGTTAATTTGAGAAAAGTTTCTCTGCCCATCCAGGCAGCTTCATCAGTCAGAGGAAGCCAGTTAGGCAGAGAGTCATTGGAATGTACCAACTCCTGCCTCACTAAACTCAGGGATTTCCTCCCCAAAGAGTGTTGCAATATGAAGATTCACCTCTTTATCCGTTCACATCAACCAATTTATAAGACAATGAACTCAACAAGTCACTGCAACAATAGATTGATGCTAGAATCAAGACAATGAAATATGTTAATTTTATTTTTATTATATTTTGATGAAATTTCACATTTGATGTCTAGGAAAACCATTTGAATTCAGAAGAATTATGACTGCAGCTGTTGGCAATATCATAGTATCCATTTTACTTGGGAAGCGATATGACTATGAAGATCCAAAATTTATTAAATTGTTGAGCTTGGCAACAGAAAATAACAGGCTTATGGGAAGCCCTTCAATGCAGGTAATTAAGATTCATTTCAAAAGTATTAACAGCTCATATATTGTATAGGAAAGGCAGTGTGCCTTATTCAAGATTCACTGCAAAAACATTTAAAAGTTTTAACAAATTGGCCCAGGCTTCCTGGAAGCCCTACAATGCAGGTAATGATTATTCATTTGTAAAGTATTAAGAGCTCATTTATTGTATAGGAAAGGCAGTGTGAATTATTCAGGATTTACTGCAAAATCCAGAATCTAATGACTAATATTGAAAACCTTTTTTTTTAAATGATGCAGTCTTCCCATAATTCTTTCACTGAGTATACAAGTATGTATGGAGGCATGTCAAATGTATAGATACTACATCTTGCTTGCAGTGGAAACATGGTACAATTTTGGTTCTATTTTCCAGGCAACTTACTAGAAAATAATAAGAAAGAAAAATGTGGTTCAATCACTAAGAACAAATGGATGAACAATGTATAAGTTAATGAGAGCAATACCATATCAGCAATTATATACTACTCCATAGTGCTTTACATAACCCTCTGGGCAGTTTACAATATCAAGTACATTGCTCCCAACAATCTGAGCCCTCATTTTACTGACCTTAGAAGGATGGAAGACTAAGCCAACCTTGAGCCCTGTCAGGATCAAACTCCAGGCTATGGGCAGAGTTAGACTGCAATACTGCATTCTAATCACTGTATCATCATGGCTACATATATCTATGGCAGGCCTTCCATAATTCTCCACCAAAGAAATTAAAAAGCCCATATCTATCTACATTGTAGTTGTTTGTATTATTATGTTTGTTATTGTAATATATGAGAGACATCATTTGGGAGGCCTATCAGAATCTATATTCTAGATATGTGACTTCTTTTTTTATATGTTTCAGCTATGTAACCTATTTCCTATGCTTGGCTATTTTTTTGCCACTCGTAAGAAAGTCCGGAATAACAGAAAGGAATTGTATGCTTTCATCAATGAAAACTTCATCCAATGTTTCAACAATCTGGATGAAAATGACACAAGAAACTTTATTGATTCATATCTCGTACAACAGCAACAGGTAATGAAATGTGCTAGAAATGGCAGCTTGAAGTTTTCCATCAAATTGCAGAAATAAATTTGTAAATGGAAACACATGTCCTTTACAAGAATATTTATCATAGAAGACAACAAACTTAGCAAATTGGCAATGGTTTCCAAAAATTGAGCAAGTATTCATTTTGCCTGATTTTTAGCACTCTAATTTTGAAAAGTTTGTATTATGGTCACTAATCAGGACTACTGCAGTTACCAATCACCACTTAGCCTAATCTTTTTAGTACTTGATGACCCCAGTATAATAGTAGTCTAGAACTCACAATTTCCTACTTTTTACCTGATGCCATAACCACTACACCAAACTGGTTCTCTACTTACACTTACATATACCTTGTGTAATAATTTATTTACATATATACATAACATACAATCCAGATATAGAAACTGATAGTCATTCAGTCATTCACTGAGCTGACTCATTCATTCATTGAGGAACGGAATGAATCTTTTCCAATGATAGTTATGAGATTGAAGGTAATAAAAAATAAGAAATGTGCGGAAATTTAAACTCCTAGGTCCGTGATGGCGAACCTATGGCACGAGTGCCTGAAGTGGCATGCAGAGCCATGTCGCCTGGCACGTGAGGCATCGCCCATTACTTTTCCGGGTTTCTGGCGCGCATGCACACACGCCAATCAGCTGGCATTTGTGCGTATGGCAGTGCCAGAAACTGGAAGAGATGGTCTTCCGTTTTCTGGCATGAGCACGCACACTGGCCAGCTGATCGGCACGTGTGCATATATGGCAGTAACCGGAAGACTTCCTGGGAGGTGCGCATGTGTGCACCTGAACCCAGAAGTACCTTATCCGGTGCGTGCATGCCCCCTGGGCAGCTCCTCTTCCTGGTCGCAGCCCTGACAAATATGCGCATGCGTGGGTGTATGCATGAATTTGTTCTTGAACATTCTGGCAATTCTTGTTGGGGGTAATTCCACCTGTAAAACATCTTATACAAATTTTCCTTATATGCTGTTGACATTGTCATTTTGTAATTTTGCAGCCACAGTTTTTGCAATTTCTCTAAATCAATTCCATAACCAAAATTCCCCCCCCCATGCAATCATTGTTTCTTTAACTTGTTCTTCTTCCAACTTTACCTCTAATAAATAACCATACAATTTTTTAATTACATAGTCATCAGAACCTATTAAAATTTTATCTAAATTAGTCAAATTATTATAAATACCCTCTGCCTTAGAATCTTTATCATATCTAGACTGTATTTGCATATAAGAAAACCAATTCATCTTTAAACCTTGTTCCTCCAATTCTTGCATTGATTTGAGTTCACCCTTTTCATTCAATAATTCACTATATCTAACAATTTGTTCCCTTCTAAATATTATAGAGTATGAAAATGCTTCAATCATCAATAACCAGACTGGAATTTTTAAATAGTGCTGTTTTTTAATCTTCTCCCAGTTTAATAACAAAGCTTCATGTATATAATGTCTTCTAAAGTACCCCTGTGTTTTTGTTCCCTTGTGCCATAGAAAAGCATGCCATCCCAACAACAAGTCATGTCCTTCTAAAGTCAATAATCTAATATTTCATAACATTATCCATTCTTTAATCCACATCAAACTTATCGCTTGATAATAAAGTTCCCAATTAGGCAAACCAAAACCTCCTCTTATTCTAACATCTTGCAACAATTTCAATTTTATCCTCGTCTTTTTACCCTGCCAAATATATTTTAATATTATTTTATTCAAATCTTCAAAATAATCTTTTCCCAATCTAATTGAAATTGTCTGGAACAGATATAGAATTCTAGGTAATATATTCATTTTAATTGTCGATATTCTCCCAATCAATGATAATTGTAAATTTTCCCATTTTGCCAAATCTGTCCCAATTTGTTGTTTGAGTTTATTATAATTATTCTCTTTAAGTGTGCAACACCTAGCTGTCAAATATATCCCCAAAAATTTAACCTTGTTTGCGACATGCATCTTTGATATTTCCACCAATTCCTCTTTTTGTTTTATTAGCATATTTTTTGCCAAAATCTTCGTTTTGTCTTTATTAATTTTCAAACCTGCTACTTTCCCAAATTCTCTTATTTTATCTATTTATGCAATTATTGAATCTAAAGGATCTTCAAGGATAAAAACCAGGTCATCTGCAAACGCTTGCAATTTATATTCTTCCTTTTGAATTTTCATTCTTTTATCTCTTTTTCTTCTCTAATATTTCTATTTAGCACTTCTAATGTTAATACAAACAACAGAGGAGACAGTGGGCAGCCTTGTTTCGTTCCTTTTTTTATCTTGATAAACTCTGTCAGTTCTCCATTTATCATTACTTTTGCTGTTTGTTTGTAATATATGGCTTCTATTGCTTGAATAAATTTTCTACCAAAGTCCATCTGCTCCAATTGAAGTAACATAAATTGCCAGTTGACATTATCAAAAGCTTTCTGAGCATCTAGAAATATCAAAGCCATTTTCTTTTCAGGATGTGCCTCATAGTATTCCAAAGTGTCCAGAATTATCCTCATATTGTCTCTAATCTGTCTTTTTGGCAGAAACCCATTTTGATCAGAATGTATAAAATTGTTTAAATATCTTTTAAGTCTTTCTGCCAATATTGAAGCAAAAATTTTATAAGCAGAATTTAGCAGGGAAATAGGCCTATAATTTTTGATTTGTTGTGGGTCTATGTCCTCTTTTGGAACAAGTGTAATATATGCTTCTGTCCATGACTTGGGTATTTTCCTCTTTAACGTAACTTCATTCATAACTTCTAGTAATGGGAGACTCAACGACTCCTGTAATGTCTTATAATATTCCACTGGCAGTCCGTCTGGGCCTGGTGCCTTCCCCATCTTTTGTTTTTTGAGTGCTTCAGTTAATTCCATCATTGTTATATTTCCTTCTAACATCATTTCCACGTCTTTAGGAATCTGAGGTAAATTCACCTTTTGCAAGTATTGTTTTAACATTTTCCTCCTGTATATTTTCTTGTTCATACAGTTTTCTATAGTAATCTTGTATAATCTCTTTTTTCTCTTTATTCCCAAATCTAATTTGTCCTTGGTCATATATTAGTTGTGTTATTTTTCTTGATTCTCTCTCTTTTTTCAGTTTATATGCTAACCATCTACCTGATTTATTGGCATCTTCAAAATAGTTCTGTTTAGCACTTCTGATTTTTTGTGCTAAGTCTTCTCTTTCTATTAATCCCATTTTATGCTTAGTTGTATCCGTTTTTATTTTAATATCTTTCTTTTGTGGAAATTTCTGAAGCTCCTTTTCAAGTTTCTTATAGTCATCCTCTAGTATTTTATAGACCTGTCTTTTCTTAATATTTCTTTTCCTTGTATAGTCTATTATCAGACCTCTTGTATAAGCTTTCATTGTGTCCCAAAAATTTTTCATCGATTTTTCATTTTCTGTTTTCTTTAAAAAAGAAAGCCAATTCTTTCTCCATTTTCTGCACAAATTCTTTTTCTTTTAATATTGTATTATTTAGAGTCCATCTAGATCTTATCCTTTGTCCTTTCCACATCACGGTCACTGGATTATGATCTGCCCAGGTATTTGCTTCTATTTCAATTTCTTCTATTTTAGAAGTCAGTTCCATTGTCGTCCATATCATGTCTAATCTAGACCATGATGAATGTCTATCAGAATAAAAAGTATATTGCTTACTTTTTGCATTTCTTTCTCTCCATGCATCTTTTAAATTTATTTCCTCTATCATTTAAAAAAAAAGCTTTTGGAAGTATCTTTCTAGTATGCTTTATTGTCTTATGTGTATTATAATCTAATTTCTCATCTACTATACCATTAAAGTCCCCCATCATACAAATATTGTCATAGTCCAATTCAATTATTTTCTTATGTAGTTTTCTGTATAAGTCATCTTGGTTGTTATTTGGAGCATATATTGCTATTAAAAGTATTTTCATATTATTATCTATTATTTCCACCATCAAAATTCTTCCCTCATCATCTGTGTATATTTGCTCAGCTGGAATTGTGTTTCTAATATATAAGACAACTCCCCTTTTCTTACATTGTGGTAATGAAATAAAAATTTTCCCTAATTTTGGCTGTACCAGTACCTGTTCATATTGCTTTTTAATATGCACTTCTTGCAAACAGATTATATCAAACTTTAATTTCTCTAATTTATGAAATACCTTTCTTCTTTTAATGGTTGAATTAAGTCCGTTTATATTTATTGTAATCAATTTTTTCTCTTTCATGTTCATACTTTATATGAGGGGTTTGCTGCTCTAGTTGATCTTGGTTCATGTTGTTCTTTATGTTCCACAATACCCCCTACTGCTCCTTCTGCTTTTTCAATCATTGCTATGTCTTCTTCTTGGATTTGAATCAGTGGTTCTGTCATTCTAATTTCCATTCCTTTCTCTCCAAGAAATTCTGCATAAAATGCTTTAGATTTATCCATTGAATCTATTCTATATCTTTGCTGCTGCCACGTAAACACTAATCCTTCTGGTATCAGCCATCTGTAATTCACACCTTTTTGAAGCAGTATTTTAGTCAGGAATTGATATTCTCTCCTCATCTCCCTCACTCTTCTTGGTATTTGCTTCAGAACCACAATTTCTTTCTCCTTATACTTCAGTGTTTTTTCTCTTGCGATCTGCAAAATCTGTGCTTTAATCGATTTCTTGGTAAACCTTATATGGACTTCTCATGATAATTTATTGTGCATTGCATACCTTGTGTAGACTCGAAATATCTCATCTCTGCCATCCATCATCTTTTCTTTGATAATTTCTGATGCTTCTGCTAGAATTTCTATCATCACTTCTGCCAGGTTTTCTCCTTTCTCTTCTTCTATATTTTGAAATCTGAGATAAAATTCTGCTTTATCCATCTCCCATCCGACTAATCCACTCTTGTCTCATTCAACTTCATCCAGTCTAGCATCAATATCTCTGATTTTTTCTCTCTCTTTGCTCCTCCTTTTCCTCAATTTTTTGGAGTCTATCTTCATATTTCAACATCATTTGTTGTATGCTCTCCACTTTATCATCTGTCTTCTCTGTTCTTTGTTCAATCTTCTGAACTACTTGTAATATCATCTGTAATGTTGTCTCCTTTTCCTTTTCCTTCTCCCTTTCCTTCTCCTTCTCCTGTTGTAACAGTGTCTGTATGGATCACTGTCCTCCAGATGGAGATGAAGAGGACATAATTGTAGAAGAGCCAACAGCCGTTACTTTTCTACTCATTCTGTGAGGTAGTCACAGAGGCTTTAAACAGATGGGAGAGAAAGAAAAAAGAAAAAGGAAAAAGAAAAAAGAGAAAGAAAAAAAAGAAAAATATATATTCTTCAGGTTCTTTTATACCTTAATCCAATTGTGCAAATATTACTTCAAGTATTAATAAAATACTCAAAATCAAATCAAAATAAAAAAAGAAGAAAAACAAAAAATCAATAGAAAGCAAAAAAATAATAATAAAAATCTTCAGGCACTTGTATACCTTAATCTAATTCAGTTCAATAAAAAAATATCAGTCTTCTTAACAATCTCTATATATTTATGTAAAAAGCAAATTACAAATAAAAACAAAAAAAGGAAAAATTAAAAATCCTCCATCAACTCATAGTCCAATTAAAAAATACTTACACAGGGGAGGAGTACAGAGAGCTATCTCTTGAAAAATAAAAAATAAAAATAAAAAAAAGAATAAAAAAAAGAAAAGATATTCAAATAAAAATCACTTCTATATAAAATTCAAAGATTTTTTAAATTTGAGTTCCAAGTGTTATTTACTGTTCTCTTTCAAAGTCACTGGAAATTCCTTCTCATTCAACAGGCTCCTGCCTCTGATAGTCCCTCAAAGAACATCTGAATAAACAATTCTACAGATAGTTTTAAATGTTCTTTTGATGTTCTTCCAACTATCTTATCTATGAGAGGGCTCCGAGTCCTTGAATTGCAAAACAATATAGCACAGTTGTTACTTTTTAAACCAACAGAGATACAAAATTTCCAATCCACTAGATGGCAGTGTTACATACTCTCCTCCTTCCCCTGCTGTATTCAATAGACTTTAAAAATCAAATTAGCCAAAAAGGAGAAAAAATAATAAGGCAAAGTGAAGATACAACAAAGTCAAAGCGAATTGTGATAAAAAGGCACTAAAAATTTAAAAATGAGATAAACAAGTCTCCGGTCCAATCCAATCCAGTCCAGGTTAAAAATCCACAAATGCAACAAGTATGTATGTGTATGTATGTATGTGTGTGTGTGTGTGTGTGTGTGTGTGTGTATATATATTTATATATATTTGTTTTCTCAGGTTTTCGCAGGTGTTTGTATGTAGGTCTTTGGTTATTAGTCTCAACAGGACTGTGAGGTCCAAAAAGGACCATCCAGTGGTGGGGATATCAACTGTTATCCTGGAGCCCCAGGATCTTCCGTTGTGCCGTAGTGATGTCAGCTCCACCCCCCAATCAGCTTCTTGTAAATATATTTGAAGCAACAGTGGCAACACCTTTTCAACCATTTTCCCTAAAAGAAGGATACAAATAAATAGTTGGTAGTTTTTACAAATTTTGAACTCCAGTGTGAGTTTTTTTTTTAAATGGTTACATTAACCTTTTTTTCAAGGCATTTGGCATTCACTCCTCCTGTCAAACTGTTTATAACATACTCTTTGCCCATGTAGAAAATCTCCTCAACCTAGCAAAGACTAAGACTGTACAAACATTATGAATTCAAAATGGTCTGAGTTGGGAACTATTTTAGCCTTTAACTTTGCATACTTCTAATGCATGTCATTTTATTATATCTTTTCACAAAGCAAATTGTAAAAAAATTCTAGAGAAGGCTGCTTTGTCTTTGCAATCTGTCTTGGAATGCATCACTCCAAGACACATTTTAGAACCATTTTTAAAACCAGTTCTTTCTTTTAATTCTAGGAAAGGAAGACTAAAAAGAATGGGTATTTCAACTATAAAAATCTAGAAGGGTCTGTGTTAAATCTATTTGTTGCTGGTGTGGAAACAATAACAAGCACTCTATTTTGGGCCTTTACTCTGATGATGAAGTACCCTTTAATTCAGAGTAAGTGCTTTACAATTTGTCAGCTTCCATTATTTTAGCACATCTTGCTTTCAGGTAGGCAATATTAGATGTGGTATAACTAAATTACAGTGACTTTGGTAATGCCTAAATAAAGGGGGCAAAAAAGATAAATAGTTCTATTTCCTATTTTGTGGACTGATCTGAATCATGTTTAAGGTCCTGCCTCTACTCCCCATTCAAGAAAGTACGGACTCTTGAGACAGCAGCATTTCAAAAGGAACCTTTTATTGAAAGGGAGTGATTGCAAGCCAAAAGCAAAGCAGGCTCTAAGGTCCTCTTAGGCAATTCTGTTAGGATAAAGGAGTCAGAAACCCCTCCCTTCAGTCCGATGTTGAATGAGCTAATCCACAGGTATGAAGATGTTGTGAAGACGGTCATCCTGGGAAGGAGATAAGGGACTGTTCCCAGGCGCTTCTTTCAGGAGGCAATATCACAATAGGGATCTGACATCATGCAAAAGCACAAATGGAACACCTGGCTACAGCACCTTAAAGCAATTGCATCCTTTCCAGGGTTTGCATCCCTCTCTGTGCTCTGGACCATGCTATAGCTCTAGAACAGGGATATCAAACTCGATTTCATTGAGGGCAGCATCAGGGTTATGGTTCACCTCAGGGGGCCAGTGTGTCGGGGGGATGTGGCTGGGGTGGGTGTGGCCAGCTTCCTGCCTCTTTCTCATTCCTATCTCCCTCCCTCCCTCCTTCCTCCCTCCCTCCCTCCCTCCTGCCCACCCTCCCTCCCTTCCCTTCCCCTCCCCTCCCCTTCTCTCCTTCTCATTCCCATATCCCTCCCTCCCTCCCTCCCTCCCTCCCTCCTTCCTTCCTTCCTTCCTTCCTTCCTTCCTTCCTTCCTTCCTCCCTTCCCTTCCCTTCCCTTCCCTTCCCCTCCCCTCCCCTCCCCCTTCTGTCCTTCTCATATCCATCTCCTTCCTTCCTTCCTTCCTTCCTGCCTGCCTGCCTGCCTGCCTGCCTGCCTGCTACTGGAAAACTATGATGGTACAAGAAGTCAGCATCTAAAGTCCCAATCTACAACTATTATATTATCTATAATATGTATAGCCTCCTCAAATGAAAGAGACTCCAGTCAGGGCACATCTAGTGAATTTACTATACATCATAGGTTTCCAGAGGAAATCCTGCCCACTGTACACATCATCACAATTTAATATTTCCAAAAGTTAGTACCATATCCAACACACTGAGAATATCTTACTGGATGTCATTGTTTATTATCTCAGAAAAAGTCCAAGAAGAAATAACAAATGTTGTTGGATATGCTCAGCCAAGAGCTGAACACCGAACAAAAATGCCATACACAGATGCTGTAGTCCATGAAGTTCAACGATATGCTGATGTTGTTCCCTTAAACTTGCCCCATGCAACTACAGAGGATGTTACCTTTAAGGGCTATTTCATTCCAAAGGTGATGTATCTGTATTGTTCTCTTTCTAGTCCTAGCTAGTTACATTCATTCCATTTATTACAGTACAACAATAAATGATATTCAAAAGCTTTCGTAAATCACTTGCCACAGACTCTATTAATTTTAGAAATATAGTAATTTGGCATATTTGTTTTAATTCAAACTCTATGGAGGCACAAGCTTGCATATAGATAGAGTAGGGTGTATGTTGCGGGGGAGAGCTATATTAATCTATGATAGCCAAAAAAATCAGAGTTTATATCACCATAAAGATCAAATAGGAGTGCAAGTTATTCTTAAGAATAATTGTGATGATGTTTCTCATAGATCCTAATACATTCTCAGAGAATATGTATTCAAAGTGAAGCCTTTTCGTTTTGCCATCCTCATGTAACATATGAGAATATGCTGTGTAAGGAATATCTGCAGGAATGAAGATTCTTAAATTTTAATGTTCGGAAAGTTTCCTTGGATTAGGAAGTTGTCCATTGCAGGTATTTCATTCTCTGTACATACAGTAGATGGGAACACAGGGAGAATGAGAGAGTACATGGATTAAATAAGTTTAAAAGTCCTCAGTGTACCTTCTTAAAACTAAGAACTATGGAACTCAGTGGCATTTACTACTAAGGAAGCAAATGTAGATTTTTGTGCTTGCAGTCCAGCACAAATGCCTATAATAAATCCATTTTATTGTTGCAAGTAGAAACAACGACCCAAGGAAGTTCAACAATTCAAAAATACAGTTCAGATTAGGTGATTGGGGAGAATAGTGCCTCTAAGTGCCACATTGAGAATTTCAGGATTATAGAATAACTTGGTGCATTATGTAGCAGCTTTATTTCTAAATTATCCATTGCTTTCTCTTTATAGGGCACACATGTGATTCCCTTGCTGACTTCTGTGCTCTGTGATGAATCTCAGTGGGAGAGACCTCATGACTTCTACCCTGAACATTTTCTCAACGCTGAAGGAAAATTTGTAAAAAGAAATGCATTCATGCCTTTCTCTGCTGGTAGCCATTTTAAAAAATAAATATTGAATCAAATAATAGTTAGCTTTTCTCCCTGATTAAAATCTCCCAAAGAGGCTAATAGTGCAAGAATTAATGCACAATACCATTTAGGTTTTATTCTGGTCCAAGAGCTCCCTGCTACATACTTGCTCAGATGCCACCCAGGTTAACAAAGTCTGTGGTAGATGTTGGAGTTCCTGGCTATCTGGTGAAAAATGGGCTACAGGACTCTGGACTATTGGCTGAGCAGCCAGGGTCAACAGGTGCAGAACTAATAGAAAAAAAGATGTTTACCCATCACAAATACACAGTGATTGAAAACAAAGAATAATGATCTGTTATTACAGATCAAGTCCAACAAGAAGAAGATATATGAAACAAATGCACCAGTTCTGGAAAGAATAACATCCAGAATCAGACCTGAATGTAGCATGGGTTGACTACAAAATGGCATTTGACTCTCTGCCATTGGATAATCATGCCTATAAATTACAGGAGTCAGTAGAAACATCAGAAAGTTTGTGGAATGATTGATGGCATAATGGAAGACACAACTGCAGGTCAATGATGGGAGACTGGGAGAGGTTAATATTAAAACTTTGGTACTACAGTGGTTTAAAGCACCCTGTTATTAACACAGCTGCCTGCAATTTACTGCTGGTTCGAATCTCTCCAAGGCTCAAGGTTGACTCAGCCTTCCATCCTTTCTAAGGTAGGTTAAATGAGGACCCAGTTTGTGGGGGCAATAAGCTGACTTTGTATAAATATACAAAAGTATGAAGGCTATTGCTTAACGCACTGTAAGCCGCCCTGAGTCTCCGGAGAAGGGCGGCATATAAATCAAATTAAAAATAAAAATAAATAAATAAAATAAAACAGGAATATTTCAAGGAGATTTATTACTACCATTACTATTTGTCATTGTATTGTTTTCTCTGTCAACAATACTGAATAACTCAGGTCATGGCTATCAAACATCAAAAACATCTGCCAGACTATTCCACCTCATTTACATAAACAATCTGAAACAGTATGGAAAAACTCCATCTGAAATAGAATTGCTGCTCAACACTGTCTGTATATATAATCAAGATATTGCAATGGAGTTTGGATTGGATAAATGTGCCACACTATCAAACAAGGAAAAATAGTGAAAACTGAAGGAATTAAGATGCCCAACAAAAATAACATTAAGATTTTGGATTAAAATGATCACTACAAATACCTGTGTATCCTTCAAGCTGACAACATCAAGCACACTGAAGTCAAGAAAAAGATTAGAGGTGAATACATCAAGAGTGTGAAGAAGATCTTAAAGTCCAAACTCAATGGAGGAAATACCATTAAGGCAATCAACACCTGGGCAATTCCCGTCATTAGATACACAGCTGGAATAGTGGACTGGACTTAAGCAGAAGTAAAAGCAATGGTTGGAAGACCAGAAAAATAATGACAATGAATCATGCCCTTCATCCTCACAGCAACATTGACAGACTCTACCTATCATGGCAAATAGGTGAGAGTGGAATGTTGCAAGTACATCAGATGGCTGAAGAAGAAAAAAGGACTTTGGAAGAATATTTGAAAGACAATAAATAAGATGCACTGAAGTTAGTATGCCAGGAAGGCTTAATGACTACTGAAGAGACCAAACTGGCCTACAAGAAAGACCAAACGAGGAACAGAATGGAGGCATGGGAAGACATGGCTAGTACATTAAAAAATAGCAGTGAAAGCTGATAATAACAAGGCCTGGCAATGGCTAAGAGCAGGCAAGTTGAAGAAAGGGACCGAGGAACTAATTCTGGCTGCACAAGCCAAGCCTTAAAGACAAATGCATACAAAGCCAGAATTGAGAACACAGCAACAAACAATAAGTGCCACCTCTGCAAAGAAACTGAAGAAACAGTGGACCACCTGGTAAGCTGCTGCAAGAAGATTGCATAGATTGACTACAAAAGCAGGCATGACAAAGTAGCAGCAATGGTGCATTGGAAGATCTGCAAGAAATTTCATTTGCCTGCAAGCAAGAACTGGTGGGACCATAAAATAAGAAAGTCATAAAAAATGAAGAAGTTAAATTGCCCTGGAATTTTAGAATTCAAACAGACAGGCACCTGTCACATAACGCCTCAGACTTAACAATTGTCAATAAGAAAGACAAAAAAGTCTGGATAGAGGATGCGGCAGTGCCTAGAGACAGCAGAAGAGAAGAGAAAGAACTGGAGAAGATAACAAAATACAAAGACTTAGAAACAGAAATAGAACAACTGTGGCAAAAGAAAGCAAAAGTAGTACCAATAGTAACAGGGGCCTTGGGTGCAATCCCAAAACAACTGGAGCATGACTTGAACACCATTGGCATTGACAAATTCATCATCAGTCAATTTCAAAAGGCAGCTTTATTGGAAACAGCTTCCATCCTGCAATGATATATGTAACACCATCAAACATCAGATCTGCCTATTCCAGGTCCTTGTTAAGGGCTCGATAGATCAGGGGTATCAAACTGGCGACCCACAGGCGAGATGCGTCATGTGCAGGCCACACCCACCCCGGCTCTGTGGAAAAACATTGTGAAACATCACTTGATGGCAACAGGACACAGCGAGTTTGACACCCGTGCAATAGATAGACAAAAATGCCAAACCCAGTCTGAACATCAGACTAACTGCAAATAATAATAATAATAATAATAATAATAATAATAATAATAATAATAATAATAATAATAATAATAATAATACCCCTCCGAGGAGCTCTACCTTGTCATGGTGGAGGGGTTTGCATGCTCTAGTGATCCTAAGGGCTATGCTGAACAGGTGCAACCATATCAGACCGACCTTAGGTGAAGGGCCAGACAAAATTTGCTCCACAACCATTCAAACATGGTGAATACGAAAAAAATGAAATTTATGCCGGCTGAACCGTTGCCCGATTAACAAGGGTTCCGTTGGATGCTATGGCTCCTGGGCATTCTACGCAAAATGAGTTACAGGGCTCAGCTCCCTCTGCTTGGCAACCAGGGCATGGAGCTGACAAGCTACTGGAATAAAAACCCAAAAAGCGAAAAATCTGGACTAGGGAAGAAAACACCTCTATTATGGAAGCTTACTATCAGTCTGAGCCAGCAAAACGTGGATTTCAAAAATGAATGTATCAGATTTGGAAGATGAACCATACGGACTGTGACACCAGTGAACAAAGCTTAATGGACCAACGACGTGTAATCCTAAACCACAAATTTTTCACTACAGAAGAATTAATAGCAATAGAAGAGAAAGCAATTAATGGTCTAAGTACATCAACAAAAAAGAGTAACATCAAGAATGATTTGCAAACTCAAAAGCAAATTGAGGAAGAAAGGGAGGAAGAGGATACTGAAATGGATGAAGATAAAGAACAAGGAAGCACTAAAGAACAAACACCAACAGATAGTGCTCAATTAGCTGGAAAAATAAAGCATCAAATGGAAGATGCTGAAAGAACATGTTTGCCAAAGCTGAACCAAGTGAACCGGAAAGAATTGAGAAATGTACTAAAAAAGGTCAATGAGGCTGTGCAAACTATTCGAACCACTACATTAGCCGAAACAAACCAACTGATGTATGCAGCAGCCGTCATAACCACCAAACAACTGGGGTTGAAAATACAAAAGAACCAAAGAGGCAAGAAGGGGAAGCCTAAGTGGAAAATTCGGTTAGAATTGAAGATCAAAAAAGTACTTGGAGATTTGAGCAACTTGAAGAACCTAAGGCAAGGTCAGCTAAAGAACAAGCAGGTCAAAAGCAGCCTGGAAGCAAGATACGATCTGAGGAATAAGGAGATTGCGGTAGTAATTGAAGAGTTGAAGCAGAGGGTTGTTGCCATTGCTGAAAAGATTAAAAGGTATGAAAACCGAGTAACTCAGTTCAAGGAAAACTCACAGTTCAGAGCAAATCAGCACCAGTTTTATAAGAGCTTAGAAAATGGAGACGGAGTAACAACAAATGAAAAGCCTGATAAAGAGAAAGCTCTGAAATTCTGGAAGAATTTGTGGGAAAACAACAAGAAGCACAACAGAAATGCAAAATGGATCAAACAGGTTGAGAACTCTATTAAAGTGCATAAAATGGAAGACATAAAAATAACAAAAGCAATGGTGCAAAGACAGTCAAGAAAAGTGAAGAACTGGAGTGCACCTGGACCGGATGAGCTGCATGGCTTCTGGTTAAAGGCACTTACAAGTGTGCACAAAAGATTGGCAACCCAGATGAACCAGATCCTAAAAACACCTGAAAATGATGAATGGATGACAACTGTAAGGACATTTTTGATCCAAAAAGATAAAGAAAAAGAAAAGGACCCTGGAAACTATAGGCCAATCACCTGTTTGCCAACAACATACTTACTGGTATCATTGCAAACCAAATCTATGGATACCTGGAAAGAAATAACTTGCTTCCTGTAGAACAGAAAGGGTGCTGCAAAAACTCAAGAGGAACAAAGGATCAATTGCTGATTGACAAGCTAATCCTAAAGAGCTCAAAGAAAAGACGAACCAACCTGTTCATGGCTTGGATAGACTATAAGAAAGCGTTTGATTCAGTTCCCCATAGTTGGATCAAGAAATGCCTGGAAATCTTAGGCATCAGCAGCAACATACAAAAATTCATGGAATCTTCAATGAACCTCTGGAAAACGAAACTTATGGCTAATGAAGAAGAACTGGGTGAAGTTGAAATTAAACGAGGCATTTTCCAGGGCGATTCTCTTTTACCCCTACTTTTTATACTCTTAATGCTACCACTGACAATCATTTTGAAGAAGATGAACTGTGGATACGAACTTGCAAAGAAAGGACTGAAAATCTCGCACCTGATGTACATGGATAATTTGAAGCTGTTTGGTAAAACAAAAACTGAACTGAATTTATTAATTGAAAACACAAAAGAATTCAGCCAAGACATCGCTATGCAGTTTGGAATTGACAAATGTGCAACAATAGCAACCAAAGCAGGCAAGACCATAGAAGAGGATGGAATAGAACTAGAGAATGAAGAAATGATAAAGGCAGTAAAATCAGAAGAAGGCTACAAGTACTTAGGGATTTTAGAAGCCTCTGACTTAATGCATAATAAAGTCAAGGAATTAACTTTAGCCAAGTACATTTGGCGAATTCGTAAGATATAAATGTCCAAATTGAGTGGAGGAAACATTATAAAAGCCATAAATACCTGGGCTATACCTGTGATTAGATATTCTGCAGGAATAATTGACTGGACCCAGATGGAGTTAGACAATTTGGACAGAAAAACAAAGAAGCTTATGACAATGAATCATGCCTTGCACCCTAAAAGTGATGTTGACCAATTATATTTACCAAGAGAAGAGGGTGGTTGAGGACTCCTACAAGTAAAGCAGACTGTGGAAGAAGAAAAATGCAGCTTGAATGATTACATTCAGAAAAGTGAAGAACCAATGATTAAGGAAGTAAATAAAGGCGGCTTTTTAAAGACAACTAAAACAAAAGCAGAATATAAGAAAGAAGTAATTGAGCAGCAAGCTGAAAATTGGAAAAACAAAGCTCTGCATGGCCAATACTTGAAAAGTATTGAAGGCAAAGCTGACCAGAAACTAACTTGGAACTGGTTAAGATCAGGAGTACTGAAAAAAGAAACAGAAAGCTTTATTTTGGCAGCTCAAGAACAAGCCCTAGCCACAAACTGCATGAAGGCAAATATTCAACATGTTACCACCAACAGCAAATGCCACCTCTGCAATAAGAAAAATGAGACAGTCGACCACCTGATCAGTGGATGCAGCAAAATTTCACAAACTGACTACCTACAATGCCATGACCGTGTTGCTAAGATAATTCACTGGAAATTGTGCCAGAAGTTTGGATTTGAGTACAGCAAAAACCACTGGGAACATCAGGTTGAGAAAGTTTTAGAGAATGAGAAATTCAAAATCTTGTGGGACTTTAGGATTCAGACTGACAGGCACTTGGTCCACAACACACCTGACATAACAATAGTTGAAAAGAAAAAAGTATGGTTCATTGACATTGCAATACCTAGTGATGTATGGATTGAAGATAAGCAGCAAGAAAAAATCAGAAAGTACCGGGACTTGCAAATCGAAGTTGAGTGACTGTGGAAAAAGAAATTGTGTGTTGTCCCGATTGTAATTGGAGCCCTTGGAGCAATACCCAAAGGGCTACCCTGCTATTTAGAAATTCTAAATTTGCCGGACTTGAACATTTTGACTCTACAAAAAACCACCTTAAATTGAAAGATACGAAGGACGAATTAAACAATATCGTGAAAATGTCCAGTTTAGAAGAAACCAACACCACTTCTACCAGTCCCTTGATGAAAATCGAGTCCAAACTAATGTTCACCCATGTAAAGAACAAACTTTGAACTTTTGGAAAGAACTGTGGGAAAACCCAGTGGAACACAACAAAACTGCCTCCTGGATCAAAGATATTCATCAACAAACAACACGAAAGAAAATGGAAAATATTGCAATAACAACTGACATGGTTGCAAAACAAGCAAAGAAGGTCAAGAACTGGAGTGCACCTGGCATAAATGAACTGCATGGATACTGCAGTAAAATACCTGACCAGCCTCCATTATCTCATGGCCACTCAATTTGATCAAATGCTTCAAAATGCAGCAAGCGAAGAATGGTTAACAGCTGGTCGAACATTTTTGATAATGAAAGATCCAGAAAAGGGCACAGAGCCAAGCAACTATCGCCCAATTAGTTGTCTGCCAACAACATTCAAACTTTTTACAAGAATACTGGCAAATTCAGTATTCAATCATCCGATGGAAAACAATTTGTATCCAGTAGAACAAAAAGGAAATTATAAAAAATCAAGAGGAACAAAAGATCAGCTGCTCATTGACAAAATGGTACTAAAAAATGCAAAACGAAGAAAAAAAATTAAATATGGCATGGATTGATTACAAGAAGGCATTTGACTCATTATCCCACAGCTAGATTAACACCTGTCTGGAAAACTTTGGAATCAGCAAAAATATTTATACATTTTTGAAAGCAAATATGCAAAAATATGCAGTTCTAACAGCAAATGGGGAGAACATTGGTGAAGTCAACATCAGATGAGGAATCTTCCAGGGGGACTCACTTTCACCACTACTGTTCAACATCCCATTAATTCCATTGACAATAATCCTACGAAACACAAAACTGGGATACCAAATCTTAGTTGGTATCCAACATGGCAAGATAAACCATCTACTATACATGGATGACTTAAAAATGTATGTGAAAAGCCCCACTGAACTTAAATAAATAATCAACACAGTTCACCAGTTCAGCAGCGTCATCAAAATGAACTTTGGACTTGAAAAATGTGCTATATTATCCACGCAGCAAGGAAAAATGAAAAAAAAATAGAAAGAATAGAACTGGGAAATGGAAACATAGTAAAAGCATTAGCAAAGGATGATGGTTACAAATACCTAGGCATATTGGAAGCAGATAACATCTTGAATGGAAAAGTCAAAGAGTCAATGCAAAAGGAATACATCAGGAGGGTCCGCAAAATATTAAAATCAAAGCTGAATGCTGGAAACATAATTAGAGGCATTAATACATGGGCAGTTCCAGTGATATGCTACTCAGCTGGAATCATAAACTGGACTTTGACTGAACTGGAAAACTTGGACCAGAAAACGCGAAGTGACATCGACAGGTTGTACCTGCCAAGAAAAGGGGGCAGAGCAGGGGTGAAATCTAAAATTTGTTACTACTGGTTCTGTGGACGTGGCTTGGTGGGGGGGGTAATGTGACTGGGTGGGTGTGGCTGCCTTTTTTTTTTACTTTTAAAAGCATTTTTTCTACAACCTTAGGAAGTTGCAGAAAAAAATGCTTTTAGAAGCCTCTGACGATCAGGCAAGTCAGCTGGGGTCGCCAGAGGCTTTTAAAGGCATTTTTTCCCCCTACAACCTCTTTGGCTGAAGAGGTTGCAGAAAAAAATGCTTTTAGAAGCTTCTGACGATCAGGCAACTCAGCTGGGATCGCCAGAGGCTTTTATAGGCATTTTTTTTTCTACAGCCTCTTTGGCCGAAGGGGTTGCAGAAAAAAAAAATGCTTTGAAAAGCCTCTGATGATCCCAGCTGAGCCGTGCAATCATCAGAGGCTTTTTTTTAACTTTTAAAAGCATTTTTTCGACCGAAGAGGTTGTAGAAAAAATGCTTTTAAAAGTAAAAAAAACAGCCTCTGATGATTGCGCGGCTCAGCTGGGCATGTGGGGGGGGTGCAGGGATTTTTGCTACCAGTTCTCCTAACCACCTGCCGCCATCGCTACCGGATCGGGCGATCCGATCTGAACTGGGAACATTTCACCTCTGGGGCAGAGGACATTGCAAATTCATCAAACTGTAGAAGAAGAAAAACAAAGGTTGAAAGATTATGTGAACCAAAGTACAGAAAAATTGCTGCATGCTGTGAAAACAGAGAACATTATAAAAACAACAGAAACAAAGGCAGAATATAAGGATAAACAACTGGATGACAGATTAAATAGATGGAAAACCAAAGTTTTGCATAGACATCACTTGAAAAACATTGAAGGACAATGTGATGACAACTTTACATGGGCATGGCTTAAGATGGGAACCAACAAGAAAGAAACAGAAGGTTTAATACTCGCTCCTCAAGAACAAGCACTACAAACTAATGCCATGAAAGCAAAGATACAAAAATCCACCGACAATCCAAACTTCTGACTTTGCAACAACAAAGTCGAAACTGTTTCACATTTAATATATGAATGCAGCAAAATCGCACAAACTGATTACAAAGCTAGACACGACCAAGTTGCTAAATTAATCCACTGGTCATTATGTAAAAAATACGACTTTCCTGTATCCAAAAAGTCATGGGAACATAGAGTGGAAAAAGTTATAGAAAATGAGAAGGTGAAGATCTTGTGGGACTTTCGAATACAGACGGATCATCACTTGAAACACAACACGCCAGATATCACAGTTGTTGAAAACTGAAACGTACAATTTATTGACATCATGGTACCAGGAGATGCCAGAGTCGAAAAAAAAAGAACTGGATCATGAAATATCATGACCTGGCCATTGAAACTACATGGCTATGGATGAAACATGTAACAGTGATACCCATTGTCATTGGGGCACTTGATACCATGTCCAATAATTTTATAAGATACATCAACAAACTGCAGCTTCCTGCAACAACACCAGTGGAACTGCAAAAAACTGTGCTACTTGGAACATCGTACATCTTAAGAAGGTACTTGGTTGATACCTAGGATGCTGGCAACAACCTGTATCAACCATTAGCACCAGTCAATGGTATTTGTGATGCATTTTTGAATGTTTAGTTGACTGAGTTTCATGTTTAATGAATAAAGTAAATAATAATAATAATAACAACACCATTAGTAGTAGTAGTAATAATTTTATCAATTTATTGACACACTTCTGATATCCATTATTATAAGGGTGCCCTTAGTGGCAGCTGGTCAGCATTATTTTTCTGTATGATTAGTCAGTAAGATCTCAATTTTATAGTGAACTCTCAAACCAATGTATCACAAGAAGGTAGAATAAAATGTTATTAACAAAATTAATAATCCTGTTCCTTGTTACAGGTCAAAGAATATGTCCAGGTGAGACCCTTGCCAAAACAGAAATATTCATGTTCTTTGCTAGTCTTCTGCAGAGATTCACCCTCCAGCCAGCTCCTGGAATATCAAAAGAAGACCTGGACATGACCCGTGAAGTTGGGCTTACCACACCTCCCAAGACTTACATATTATGTGCTCTACCACATTCTTAAGAGTAGGAACGTTTAGTGTTTCATTAATCTGAATTGCTCAGCTGCATCTATCTCCTTTGGAGCATTTTGGTGGCCTTCATTTATGCCTTCTCTGAAACATTAAAGGTAATACATATCATTCTGATGAGTCCCATCAAATCAGTGGGGCAAAGGATACATTAAAATGACCTGTTAGTTATTGTATCAATCACTATAAAGAAAAATCAACAAAGTGGTCCAATTATTTTGACCAATGATTACATTAAACTTGAAATCCCCTCTCTTTCTTTCCATGTAGCATGGCTGTAGTGTAAGAATGTGATCTGTGTAAGTACTGTAGAAACAGGCAATGGGGAAACAATAAATGGGAACCAACCTCAATTCCTCTTTTTGATTATGACTTATTCATTGTTGTTGTATTTTCCCACTTCACCAAAGTTTAATTATGAAGCTTAGAGAGTAATGTGTTCCCCACATACCAGAACAGATTATTTTGGGTTTGAGGTAGTCCTGTAAACAGGACTGTTCCCTGCTTCTCTTGCTAAATCATCTGTGAAGTGAAATGATGGCTATCAAGGGGAACACTTTGAACAGAAGGACAACTGTGGAGACACTTTCATTCATCCTGAAAGATAATAAGAACATCTCCAGATCAAATCAGTAGCTTGCACAGGAATGTAGTTTTCACATGTTCCCTATTCATATGTGTACATCAACATTTATGTACATGTTGCCAAATGGATACAGGAATAAAGATATAGTGCACAAATTGCAGATTCATATACTGTATTTTAGAGAAGCAGGCAATAAGAACTTGAAACTGGGGGAAATGACTCCAAAAACACTCATGTCAAATAATATATGAGAATCATGCCTTCCATTTAAAAAAGGAAAGGGGCATTAGTAGAGTCCACGAGTTTATCATTACCTTCTTTCTGGTGTTGCCCAGTATCTCATTTCTTGAATTAACACTACACATCGGAAAACATCAGAAGGTTTTTGTCTTTGAAAGAAATAGAATGGTCTTATGTTATCTTAAAACATTATTGGTTTGTTAGTCCTAAAGTTTCATGGATCAGAGCCCACTTCACTAGATCCATGGAGTATAGTCCTGAGGATATGGGATCTATCATTTACAGAAAAGCCCTGCTCATAATCACTCATGCCCTACTTGCTTCTTCTTTGGATCTCTGCAATGCCCTACTCTATATTAAATTGTGCTTGAAGACCACCTAAAAACTTTAATTGGGCCAGAATACAGAAGTTTGAGAGTCCCAGAGTTCTTCATTGTTACACTACTACTGCATGAGTTTCTTTCTGGGGGCAATTCAAAGTGCTGATTATAAATTTTAAAGCCCTAGATGGCACAGAAGCTGGTTGAGGTACTGCCCCTTCATGGTGAAGTCTACCTGCCTAGCTAGATTTTATAAAGTAGGCTAGGTCCGCACTGTTAAATATTGCCATCTGCTGAGACTTCCTAAGTGAGCCTTTTCCAACTGTCTTAGATTCAGATGGCCCATACCGCCCTTGTTTTCTAGAAGGCCTTGAAGATTTGGCTTTTCCCTCACACATTGGGTCAGAATGGGAGGTCAGCCAAACTATTTTTTCTTGAGATGATACTCTTATGGAACCTATGTCCCAAAGGTGCTTTTTTCAAGAGGCAACTGGACTTTCTTGTTTTTCTTTGAAGATGTTTCACTTCTCATCCAAGAAGCTTCTTCAGCTCTGCCTGGATGGTGGGGAATGGAAGGCTTTATATTCCTTGCAGATAGCTGGTCATTTGCATCCTTTTAGAGAGTCTTTGAGGCCACTTGGAGATTTATCAGTGTCCTCAGGATCACCTGAGTAGTGCAAATATGTGTGGAGCCTTCTTGTCTGCAGGATGTTTTCTGCCCTGCGCCTGTCTTCAACAGTGAAGGGACACAGGGCAGAAAACATCCTGCAGACAAGAAGGCTCCACACATATTTGCACTGCTTTATGTCAGTGGTGACATTTTTTTAGTACCAGTTCTATGGGCGTGGCTTGGTGGGCGTGGTGTGGCTTGGTGAGCGTGGCTTGGTGGCGTGGCAGGGGAAGGATACTGCAAAATCTCCATTCCCACCCCACTCCAGGGGAAGGATACTGTAAGATCTCCATTCCCACCCCACTCCAGGGGAAGGATACTGTAAAATCTCCATTCCCACCCCACTCCAGGGGAAGGATACTGCAAAATCCCTATTCCCTCCCCACTCCTGGGGGAAGGATATTGCAAAATCTCCATTCCAGGAGTGGGTTCTACTTACCTTTACTACCAGTTTGCAGCGTTTTGGTGATGTTGGGGTCAGTGGGCGGAGCCTCCTGCTGGTTTTACTACCGGTTCTATAGAACCGGTGCGAACCGGGGGCAACCCACCTCTGCTCCATTCCCACCCCACTCTGGGGCCAGCCAGAGATGGTATTTGCCAGTTTTCCAAACTACTCAAAATTTCCACTACCATTCTCCAGACCCTGTCAGAACCTGCTGTATTTCACCCCTGCTTTATGTGCTCCAGTACTTGCTTGTTAGTTACCTTTGCTGTCCAAGGAACACATAGGCGCCTTCTCCAGCATCACAGCTGAAACAAGTTGATTTTCTTCCTGACTTGCTTTTTCAAGTTCCAACTTTCCAACCATAGATTGCTACTGGGAACACGATAGAGTTCCATTTGATTACCAGGCTGATGTCAGGCAGCAAAATACTTTTTTGGAAATAAAAAAAAAATACCATTTACAAATCTGGGATCCTTTTGTTCACTGAAGTTTCTGTACTCATTTCAGAATGCAGTTAAGTCTTGTCATTTTACAATGGCTGGAATATATTTTTGCTGATTCCATCCCCACATTGATTGGTTTCTCCTTGGTGTTCTGTTGCCATCATGATTTGGTAGGGATCTTGCAAATGTCATTGGAGAATTTCCCCCATTCCTTTTTTAGTTATTTTTACTTAGGTTTCCTTTTATATATATATACTATTCATATGTGTTCTCAAATGTAATCTATACAAAAAATGTATTCAATTTTTTTAAAAAAAATATCTGGGAGATAAAGATTTCCTCTAGCTGAGTTAGTCATAGATAGCTGGACTAACAAAAGAGAGAATTAAAATTATTTATAAATAAGAACTTGCCATCTCTAAACTTTTTCTTATCAGTGTAGTACTTCAAAAGACAACCATGCGCGCAAACATCTATAGATAAACAAAATCAGCTGCTTTCCAAATATGAGTTTGATCTTCCTTGCTTGCATTCCCAGTCTCCAAAGGTGAATGTTACACATTTTATAAATTATGTATCTTTTCCTAGACAAAACCTCTTTACCGCAGTGATGGCTGAGAGGAAAGAGTATATTAATTGTTTGCTAACAATGTTTGGTTAGGCAGTAATAGAGCATTTTGCAACAGTGGAGCTGTTGTAATCTTTGGTCAGCCTTCGCTCTTCATTATGTCCATTTTTAAGCTCCTGATTAGATATGGAGTTTGTTGTTTCTGTTAAAGCATCAAACTGTTAGAGATATTTTCTGTGTGTGTTTGAATAATGCTTGTTGCACACTTAGTTTTTTCTGCTTATTTTGTAGAATAAAATGCAACCCAGAAAAGTACCTAAAATGCAAAATCAACTATAAATTAATATTCAGTGGTCATCTGAATATTAATGTATATAATTTATGTTGTGTTTTAGGTACTTACCAGAATGTCTTCTGATAAGAGAAAGCTTGTTAGTGCTAATTGACCTCCAGTCTGTCTCTTTATGAACTGCAAACAACTTTTTTCCTTATTAACATCTTAAAATGTATGCCCTTTCTGTCATCAGACCTCATTTAAATGGATATACATGTAACATGTGTGAATGCATGGAGCTGATTTACTGTGCAAAAGAGGGGTTCCTTTTATCCTGTCCAATCAACTTTTCCCTTGCATTTTCTTTGATGTGTTAGCTATAAAATGGAATGTAAACTACGGATTTGGGTTCCCTCTTTGAATGAGAGGAGTCCCTTTTATCAGAATATTCTAATAAATTGTAATTAAATGATCTTCCAGTCTTGGTCTGTCTCATTGGAAAATATGCATGCCAAGGCACGAGTCTAAAAACCACATTTGGCCTTTGAATGAAAGAATTGCAATCAGCCACCAGTTTTATATTAAATAATGTTTGTAAATATGTGTAACTGGGCAGTTTCCTCTACAGCCCCACATCTGATACATCTACACTAATTCTGTTTAGGAGATTATGGAAATTGAAGTCAGACTTCCGGTTGGCTCTGCGCGCTTCGAGACGCTCCTCCATGAGCGCCCAATCCCCGGCACTGTAAAAGCCTCCAGAACAGCAAAAAAACAGCTGTCTGGAGGCTGGAAACCCTCTCCCCGGGCAAAGGGGAGAGAGGAGAGCTGACAGGCGGAGGTAGAGCCCCCCAAGTGCCCTAGGAGAAATTCTGGGGCGTGAAGGTTGAGAGCTCCCTAGAAGCCTGTCAATCCGCTCCGGACCTGGGTCGACTCTGCTAATTAGCAGAGCAAGAAGCCGTGACCAATTCTGCTAAATACAAATGAGGGGAACTACGACATCCTGAATTGCTGCAGGCAGAACAAGCCAGGAGAAGTCAAACTGCAAGTATTTAACTTAACTCCAATGTTTATTGCCTCCTTCGGAAGTAACAATTTAGTAAATTTGCAACAAAATGGCGATTGAAGCTTGAAAAGGGCGTGGAAAGTGAAAGTTAAAGAAAAGTTTCGTTTCGCTGGAAGCCTCTTGCCTGAAAAGAGCTTTTGTAATGAGAGAAGGAGGATTTTAAGACATCAATTTAAGATTGGGGAAAACTTTTGACTTTGATGAACTTTTCCTTTTGGCTTCTGACTAAAATATAAAGATTAATTTAACCTAAACTGAGAATGGCCTCAAAACCTGTAAAAACTGTGTCCACTAAAGGAACTGGGAGTGCTGGAAGTTCCCCAGCTCACACTTTTAAAATGCAAGCCATTGCACCCCCAACAGACCCACAGACTTTAACGATTGAAATGATACAAGAAGCCCTAATAGCTACACAGACTAAACTTGCCACTGTGATTAACGAAAAAATTAATGAAACTAATGAAAAAATACAGGCTGTTTCAGAGGACATTTCAATTCGGAATCAGGAAATTAGGGAAGATATATTATCTTCCCTAATTTAAAGGTCTGGCATTTAAAGGTCTGGCAGACAATTGGATGGCAAAGTTGAAGAAATTAAACAATCTACAGAAATTTTGGATAATAAAGTAGCAGAGACTCAGAATAGAATTGAAAGGGCTGAAGCTGATGTAATCATGATTTAATACAGGGATATGGAATTTGCTTTAAGAATAAGAGGGATGAAGGAAAACAAACAAGAGAATTTGAAAGAAATTATGTCAGAGGCATTGGCACAGATGTTAGGGGAGAAGAAAGTGGAGTTAAGCTGGCAGATTGACAAGATATATCGTGTCAATTCGTGGGTGGCCAGACAGAAACATCTACCAAGAGATATTGTAATATATTTTACTACAAGGAGATTACGCAATGAAATTTTACAGGCTAGCTTCAAAAACAAGCTTCAGGTGGAAGGTCAGGAGGTGATGACAATGAAAGAAATTCCTCCCAAAATGTTGAGAGCTAGAAGGGATTATGCCTTTCTGGTGGATGAACTGAAAAAGCGTGAGATATAGTATAGATGGGAAGTGCCAGCCGGCTTAGTGGTGACATATTCGGGAGAGAGATATCGCCTTAATACAATATGGAAAACAAGAGATTTTTATGTCAATGTGTTAAAGGCTGGGACATCCAAATCACTAGAAGGAAAAAGAAAGAAGGAAGTAATGGAAGGAGAGAAAGAAGAGCTGATGACAGTAGTCCAGGGGGGAGTTTCAACAAATTAAGAAGAATTGTTACAGATTGCTGTTCAAGATTTGGATTTAATTGATATATCAGAAGAACCGAAGGATCAAAGACAGACTAGAGCAGCAACAGCTAAACGTAAGGAAGAATTAAGACAGCAACAACTTCAGATGGCAACTCAAGAAACTACCAAAACAGAAGCTGTGGGAGGAGCCAGACCTAAAGGTCAAATGAGGCAAGACCATCAGAAAGTGCTCCAGATGCTTCAGAGGCCCAGAGATGGGAACTAGATTTTTAACCTGGAATGTCAATGGTTTGAATTCGCCACAGAAGAGGAGGAAAATATTTCACTATCTTAAACGATTTAAGAATGATGTAATTTGTTTACAAGAGACTCATATTAGGATACAAGATCAAAAATATTTGATAAATACAAGATTAGGTACACATTATGTAGCAGCAGCACCAGAGAAGAAAAACGGTATAGTCATATATTTGAAAAGAGACTTAATTGCTAAATTAATTGAAGCAGATGATCAAGGAAGATTTTTAGCGATTGAACTTTTAATAAAAGGAGAAAAATTACTGGTAATTGGAGTATATGCCCTGAACCAACAACAGGAAAAAATTTATAATCTTCTACATTCAAAGTTGATACAATGGGGATACAAGACTTGTATCCTATTGGGTGACTAGAATGGTGTTTTGGACGTAAAAAAAGATAAGAAGGGACCTAAGCAAAATGTTTTAACAAGAGCAAGATTGCCCAAGTCATTTTTGGAGATTATGGACAATTGGGAGCTGAGGGATATTTGGTGTGAAAGAAATCCAGAAGAAAAAGATTTTACTTTCTTTTCGGATAGACACCAATCCTTTTCAAGGATTGATTTTATACTAATTACTAATGATCTTTTTTCTAGGGTGAAGAATATGAAGATTTGTTCAAGAACATTGACAGACCATAGTATAGTTTGGCTGGAACTGGAGTATGGGAAAGGGCCTAGGAGGTCCTGGAGATTAAATGATAATCTGTTTAGATATGAAGAAAATGTAAAAGAGTGTAAAAAATTTATGAAGGATTTTTTTGTTATGAATATGCAAAAGGTGGAAATGGTATGGGATGCAAGTAAAGCATATATGCGAGGCATTTTGATATATTTGAATAATAAATATAGAAAAAAACAGGGGAAAAAAGAAAAGAATTAGAAGAAGAGATTAGAAAACAGGAACGAGCTTTGATAGCTAATTCAACAAATAAGAAAATTAAAGAGGCAATTAATTTACTGAAAGGTCAATTTAATATGTTAATAGCAGATCAAGTGGCAACTAACTTACAATATGCTAAACATAATACTTTCTGTAACGCTAATAAACCAGGTAGGTGGTTAGCATATATGTTAAGGAAAAAGCAGAAATTAAGGACTATAGAGAAAATAAAACACAAGGGTAAAGAGGTTTATGAGCAAGAATTGATTAAAAAAACTTTTTTAGAGTTTTATTCCAGGCTGTATGCCGGTGAGAAAATTCAAGATATAGATAGATATTTGCAGAAAGAGAACATCTACATAATTTCAAAAGAGCAGAGGGATAGTTTAAATCAATTGATAACTTCCGAGGAAATTTTGTTTGCAATTAAGCAGTTGAAAGTGGGTAAAGCTCCTGGGATGGATGGTTTGACAGCTGTTTATTATAAAAGCTTACAGGAGGAAATGGTGGAACCCATTGAAGGAATTATTCAATAATATACAACAGGGAGGAGAGGTACCTCCAACTTGGAAGACAGCCTTTATTTCCTTGATCCTAAAAGAGGGTCAGGATCATACAGATCCAAAAAACTATAGGCCGATTTCACTTTTAAATACAGATTATAAGATTTTTGCTAAAATATTAGCAAATAGATTAATGACAGTTATGCAGCAAATGATTCATCATGATCAAACTGGTTTTATAAATGGTAGACAAATGAAAAGTAATGTAAGGCAAGTTGTTAACTTACTAAAGTATTTGGGAAGGAACAACCAGGTCCCCGCAGTGCTAGTATTTTTGGATGCTGAGAAAGCCTTTGATAGATTGAATTGGCATTTTTTTATTAAAACTAATAGAAAGGATGCAATTTGGAGAACATTTTATACAAGCTATTAAGGCAATATATCAAAAACAAACAGCGCAAATAATAATCAATGGTGGTTTAACAGATATTTTTAATATAGAAAAAGGAACAAGGCAAGGCTGTCCCCTGTCTCCATTATTGTTTATTTTGACGTTGGAAATTTTACTAAGTAAAATACGTGGGACGGCTACAACAAAGGGAATTAAAATTAGACAGCATGAGTATAAGCTACGGGCATTTGCGGATGACCTGGTTGTTACCTTAGCCCAACTATCACAATTGATTACAGCCTTGATGGATATAATTAACTTATATGGACAAGTATCTGGTTTTAAAATAAATACAGCTAAAACAAAGATAATAGCTAAAAATATGACTAGAAGCCAAAAAGAAGAGATAGAAAGGGTAACAGGGTTTGAGATAGTTAAGAAGGTTAAATATTTAGGGGTTTATATCATGACCACAAATATGAAATTATATCAGCACAGTTATGAACCGTTATGGCAAAAAATACAAAAAGAGATGGAAAATTGGAAAAAACTACAATTGTCTTTGCTGGGAAGGATAGCCGCAGTAAAAATGAATGTTTTACCAAGGTTTTTATTTCTTTTTCAAATGATAACTATACTTTAAAAAGATGAAAATTTGAAGGAATGGCAGAAGGGCATAAACAAATTTGTTTGGGCAGGGAAAAAACCGCGAGTAAATCAAAAGATAATGCAAGATACACGAGAAAGAGGAGGTCTTAAAATGCCCAATGTAAGACTGTACTACGAAGCCACTGCCCTCTCAGCAATTACTGATTGGATAAATTTAACGGAGGAAAGGATATTAAATATTAAAGGATATGGTCTGATCTACGGCTGGCATGCTTATTTATTGTATGATAAGAAAGTAGATAAGACTTTTAAAAGTCATATATTAAGAAATGCTCTATTATGTGTCTGGAAAAAGTATCAATATAAATTAAATGATAAGTTACCAATATGGACAGTACCCAGACACGCGGTAGAGAATATAAATTTGGAGCAAAAGCAAGATAAGACTACATACAAAGAACTCCTTTATAAAGAAGGAGTCAGACTACAATTAAAACCTATGGAGCAACTAAGAGAAGAAGGAATAATTAGAACTTGGTTTCAGTATAGGCAGCTGAAGGCCAGATGGAGAGAAGATCAAAAAATTGGTATTTCGCAACAGGATGAGAATTTGATAAAACAAATAAGAGACAAAAGTCAAATGCATATAAAAAGGTTGTATAATGTGTTAGTGGAAATAGATTCAGAAACAGAGCTAGTCAAGGACTGTATGATAAAATGGGCACAAAATGTAGGAGAACCAATAATGATGGAAACATGGGAAAAGATATGGGTTAGAAATGTAAGATTTACACAAGCTCAAAACTTAAGAGAGAACTTTTATAAAATGTTTTATAGATGGCATTTAGATCCAAAAAAACTAACCTGTATGTATCCAGACTTACAACCTAAGTGTTGGCAATATGGATGTGAAGATGCTACGTATTTTCATATATGGTGGACATGTAAAAAAATTAAGACTTTTTGGATAAAAATATGGATGATTATGCAAAATATTTTAAAGAAAAAGATTAAATTTACACCACAATTTTTTTTGTTGGGAATAGTTACGGATTGTACTGTAATAGAAACTAAGTTGGTTTTGAATTTAATAACAGCTGCCAGGTTACTGGTGGCACAGTATTGGAAGAAGGAAGATCCACCTACTATTGAGGAATGGACACTAAAAGTCATGCATTTGGCAGAGATGGCAAAAATTTCAGCATATCTTAAAGACCATTCAAACGAAAGATACATAACGGAATGGAGAAGACGGATTGACTATATTCAAAACAAGTATCAGACTAAGAAGATTCATATAGCTTATGAGTGAAACATTTTTAACTTTTAGCTTATGTTTATAGTGTTTTGAGTTATAAGGAGTTAAAGACCTAGAAAGAATTTGAAGTCAACAATTTGTTAGCATATTTTAGTTTTATGTTTGTGGATGCTATACCCTGTGCTTGTTCTGGGAAGTCAAGGGAGGGGGGTGGGGGGAAGATTGAGGGGGGATGGGTGGGAGGGCAAGGGGAAGGGAAGGGCTGAGGGGGGAAGGGCGGGGGGGAGAAAATGTTTGTATTTCTTGTAAAACTTTTCAATAAAAAAAAAGAAATTGAAGTCTAAACCTATGGAAAGAGACTAGGTTGGGCCACCAATGAGATCCACAGATAACTTCCTCTCAATAGACACTAGACTGGCAATCTCTTGTCTAGGCCAAGGGATTGTTTTTGCATAAACAAAGTACCCTCTAAACATGTAAGAAGCAAAACTGAGTCATTACTGGATAACTCTGAAGTTGGTCTGAAAATATATAGCCAGACATAGAGCATGAGAGTCCCTGCATGTATAGGAAAAAAAAATCAGAGAAAGATAAATGCAGAGAACACGACCCTCAAGTAAAAGAGCATTTTCCCCCTCATCCCTTTTTTGGGACTTAACTGTTGAGGAGAAACCTCCATGTGTTCACAGTTCTATACCTGTAAAGAGTTAAATGGAGGAATGCCAGGAAAATTCTGGTATTTCTCAAAAATATCTTATTATCTATAATTTAATCATTAACAAGGATGACTGTGAGATACTCGGTCTGCCTTTCTAACATAAAGGGGTCCATTCCTTCACTTAATCTTAGCTTTCAGCCTGAGTCAAGAATTTAATGCTTCGATCCTATTTGGACCTTTTCAGTTGGCAGACACTCTCCTTGATTGTATTGTGTGGCAAACTTTTTATTAGAACCACAAAAGTATTTGTCAATTAAAAAGAAATGGATTGGATTGTTTCTGTTTCAATACTGTTCTTATCTACAGTTATGATTATGCTCCTTTTCAAAATGGGCAACCCCTGGAAAAAGAGCTCCAAAGATTTTCCACCAGGACCCAAGCCTTTGCCTATTGTTGGAAACCTTCATATAATGGATCTGAAGAAACCTTACCAGACAATGTTAAAGGTAACTTTTCCATCTTTCTGTTGCAGGGCAAAATTGCAGCATTCTGTGACTTTTGTAAGCAAGGGAAATGACAACTTGCTCTGATAGAAGTCACGGAATGCTCTTATTAAATCAAATGGTTCATTCATTCCTGACAAATAAAACAATGTCCTATTCATTCTTTTTTTCTAATCTAATCCCTGAACCTAGATAGATCTTGTTAGGCAGCAATGAAATATATTACTGTAGAATGGATAGTTTTGAGATGAAAGCTTTGAAATGTGTGCTCAGTTCATGTTCAAACAAAAACATGGTATAATTTTCAGTAAATAATTCTATATATACATATAAATAATGTGTAAATACATTATATTAGAAATACCATGTTTTAGGGGTAAATTTAAACAAAAATGCATTTCTTTCAGAAAGGTACACAAAAATTAATTGCACCTCAAAAGTATATTTGGACAAGGAATAGAATGGAATGGAATGGAATGGAATAGAATAGAATAGAATAGAATAGAATAGAATAGAATAGAATAGAATAGTTGGAAGGGACCTTGGAGGACTTCTAGACCAAGCCCCTGATTAGGCAGGAAACCCTATACCATTTCAGCAGGGCCGGATTTTCCTATAGGCTAACTAGGCTTCAGCCTAGGGCCTCAAGATCAAGAGGGGCCTACATTCAAATTGTTAGCAAAATTAAAATTACACTTTCACTATAGGTGAAAGGGCCTCATAAGTGGAATAGCCTAGGGCCTCTTTTCATCTAAATCCAGCCCTGCATTTCAGACAAATGGTTGTCCAATCTTTTCTTAAAAACATCTGTTTACAATTTCTGGAGGCACGTTTTTCCACTGATTAATTGTTCTAACTGTCAGGAAATTTCTCCTTAGTTCTAGGCTGCTTCTCTCTTTGATTAGTTTCCACCAATTGCTTCTTGTCCTGCCCTCAGGTGCTTTGGAGGATGGTGTGACTCCCTCTTCTTTGTGGCAGCCCCTGAGATATTGGAACACTGCTATCATGTCACCCCTAGTCCTTCTTTTCATCAGACTAGACATACCCAGTTCCTGCAGCCGTTCTTCATAAGTTTTAGCCTCCAGTCCCCTAATCATCTTTGTTGCTCTTCTCTACAGTCTTTCTAGAGTCTCAACATTTTTTTTACATCGTGGTGACCAAAACTGGATGCAGTATTCCAAGTGTGGCCTTACCAAAGCATTATAAAATGGTATTAACACTTCACGTGATCTTGATTCTATCCCTCTGTTTATGCAGCCTAGAACTGTGTTGGCTTTTTTGGCAGCTGCAGCACACTGCTGGCTCATATTTAAATGATTGTCCACTAGGACTCCAAGATCCCCTCACAGTTACTACTATTGAACAAGGTACATATACTGTATCTGTGCATTTTGTTTTTCTTACCTAAATATAGAACCTTACTTTTTTCATCATTGAATTTCATTCTCTTATATAACGCACAACGTTCAATTCTGTCAAGTTCCTTCTGTATCTTAAGCCTATCTTTAAAATTGATTAACTGAGGGAAACCGAAATGGATCCATTTATTAAATGTTCAGAGGATTCAAAGAATTTCATGAATGAAAGCAAGTGATCAAATGCCTTCTAAAAAAGATGGGTGGGTAGCAAAAGGGGACAGCGCCTATTCCTACTAGAATTCAGTCACAACTTTGGAAACTCATCCAATACCTAAAACTCCCCAGTCCTCTCTATCCTTGGCTTTCTCATACTCTCTCTAGCAGGGGTCCCCAACCCCGGGCTGTGGCCCACTACTGTTGCCATACAAGTATTGGGCAAGCAGGCGCACATGCAGCTCCACTTGCACAAGTGGCAGATGCTTGCACTTGTGCACGAAGCTCCATTTGTGTGAGCAGCGGGCACTCATGCTCACATGCAAAGTTTCATTTCTATCAGTGATGGGTGCTCAGATGCCTGTGCGAACCTCCATTTACACACGGGCCTGCCAATCACCTGGAACCATTTCCTCTTCCCCCCACCAGTCCACCAAGCTGGAGAGGTTTGGGACTGCTTCTCATAATCCCCCTCCCTCCACCTCTTTCTCCCTCCATTTATCTCTTTTCACAGAGAATTCTACTTCTATCATCTCTTCTCAATCATTCTCCACAAACTTCTTGGCCTCACTCTCCCATATCTTGCTTTCCAAATTAATGATCTTTTGGAAGCAGATATCTCTGTGTCCTGTGGGCTAGTGGGAAACTTTTGTCACAGACATTATATGAAAAAACTGCAGGGGAAAGTTTGAGGGTATTGAAGCATTGTTTCAACACCTACTGCCTACACATACCATCCCTGCACCTACCTATCAAACTTGCACCTATACCTACCATAGTACTGCCTTATGTCTAAAGATATTTACCCATGTTGTAGGGCTGCAATACTATTATCCTTCTCATCTTTTTTTTTTTACCTTTTCCTATTGGTATTGTCAGATGTAAATGCCTTATTCTCTAATGTGTAAATAGTGTACAAACAGGGTATCAGGGGTTAACTTATTCTTCACTTCTTAATGTATTCATAATTCACCACTCCCACATATAGCTCCACCCATTGTATATATAAGGAGCTACCTACACCCTTTCCCTTGCTTCTATCTGTGAATATTCAGTGAATATAGAATGCCTATTGTAAATAAAAGAATATATAGTTAAACCTTTAACTCTTGCTAATCTTATTGAGTCTGATCCTGAAAATATTGCAACAAGCTGGTAGCAGAGGATGGTTAATTGACTCAATAAAAAACCTTAAAATGTCTAAGAAAGATAGGCCCAACACCAGGGCCTACAGCAAAGAAATGGAAACGGAACAAGAAATAATCAACGAATCCACAAACGCAATTTCGAGAGAGTCCGAAGAATACACCACTGAAGACGAAGAAATAATTGATGACCAGGAGGAAATCGAAATAGAGAATAACGAACTCAGGTCAGAGATATTAAAACTATTAAAAAGCCAGAAGAATGATGAAAGCCTCATCGCGAACCTCCAAGATATGCTGAAGAACAGCGGAGCAGCGAGAGAGAAAAACATCACTAATGAAAAGCCTAAAGACCCAAAAATAGTGAGTGATATGATTGCGGAGAAAATCATTACAAAGAAGAAAAACGGTGATCCCGCGCGAAAATTTGAATGGCAGCCATCTTGGTTTCAACAGGCCTCCAAGATGAGCGAAGCAGAGCCAATCAGCAAGCTCAATTCAAAATTTCAGGCGCGAAAAACGTTATCAGACAACGAAAACGAAAAAGAAGATTCAAACACCTCAGAAGAATCAGAACCAGAAAGTGAGGACGATTCAACAAAACACCAAATAAAATCAGCAATGAAAACGCTCTTTGCTGCATTTGGGCCAAAACTGAAAATTACTAAAAAGATGCCGAAGAAACGAGCGAGCAAGCCAATGCCTCAAGACCTGCCCGCTCCCATCCTGACTACGAGAGCGCTGACGCCCGAACCCAGAGAGCCCTGCCGATACCGCCCTACGCCGCAGACCGAAGCAAGCACCAACGCCCTCAATAGAAGAGGAAGAGCAGCCACCGTCGTCAGGACTCCCAAAGTCGAACCAGAGACCGACTCGTCTGAAGAGGAGCAGAGCGAGCAAGCCGCAATGGGGAGAACCTTCCACGACGACGCCGAAGAAGAAATGGACAACGCGCATGCGCGAAACTACGCAGACGGTCCGGGAAGACATGAACTGGAGAGAAGACCATGCAGACTCGTAGCGAGCATCCCCACGCCGTTTTGCAATTTTCTGCATTTACGAGACCACGGACTACCTCAGGTTGTAAGTAATGGACCCAATAATGTCGAAAATTTACCCAGTGACTTCCCAAAACTAAGGGTTGATGGCATTAATTTACAAGAATGGTATCAACAGCTCCAGGTTATCTTTATGAAGGAAAACTTACTGTTTTTTATCACTAGTCCCCCAAAAAGACCTTGGACTCTAAAAATAGATTGTTTGCACCATAGAGCTTTTTTCTTAATAATATCTAGTGTGTCTCCTGCAATGTATCACAGCATTAAGCCAAATTTGACTGTTTCAGAAATTATTCAATGCATGTTTAATTTGTTTCACAGTGACAGTATAGCTACCACCACAAGGATATCTAAAGATTTCTTTTCGTCTAGGGTAAAACCAGGGGTTTCCATAAGTGAACATTTAATATCTTTGAACAAAATAAGAGCTGAACTGCATTTGAGGGGGGAGGTGATTTCAGACCAAACAATGAAAAGTGTTATTATCAACTCACTTGATCCATCATGGGACAATTTTATGTCACATTTAGACACAATCAATCTAGGATATTTATCCATAGAAAGTCTATCCAACAAATTGATAACAGAAGATAATTCAAGGAGGAATCGTTCTAACAATCACACAGAACACAAACCATATAGGAAAGTAGCTTTCCAAGAAAAATATAGTGGAACATTTAAATGTCATAATTGTGAATCCAGGGAACACAATAGAAGAGATTGCCCAAAATTTTTAAAAGAAAGATATAGATCAGAATACAGAAACAAATACGATTATAGACAGCCTTCCATAGAAAGGCATAGATATAGGAGCCCACCAAATCACAGAGAGAATAGAGGGGGCAGAGACAATTCAAAGGATAGAAAATCTGGTTCACTGAATGGATTAAATAAACAAGACAACACTAACACACAGCAAAGTGAGAACAATAATTGGCTTATTGATTCTGGAGCAACTAATCACACCACTAATAACAAAAGTATATTGTCTTCATTTGCAGAAGATAAATTTGTAATTAAGGTAGCTAACCAAGAAAAGGTTCAAGTATTAGGTAGAGGAAATGTAACCTTGCCTGGTCTAGGAAAAATAGAGGGGGTATTACTAATACCTGAAATACCTCATAACATATTAAGTGCCATAAAACTAAGCAGAGATTCTGACATTAACATTGTCTTTTCAAAAGGAAAGGCAACTTTGGAAAAGAATAAAATAAATATAGGCACTGTGGTGATTAAAGGAGGCCTACCTTATCTGATAACAAAAGAAAAATGGTTACATAACATTGATTCAAACATGGAAGATTGTATTGAAATAGATGATGAGAATGTTAGCAACAGTGACAATGATGAATGTAAAATATCTCATGATCACACAGATGCACACAACGATAAGAAGCCAAAAATAGGTAAACCAATTCATGATGAGTGTGCTCACATCTTACATAGGAAGTTAGGACATGCCAGTTTTCCTGTAGTACAAAAAATGACTGAACACGCAGAAGGTGTTAAAATAAAAAATTGTGAAAATTATCTGGAATGCTCAGTATGTAAATCTACAAAACTAAAAACTAGTCCCAGGCCAAAAAAATCTACAAGATCAACTAACAAAATTTTTGATTTAGTACACATGGACTTAGTTGGTCCATTAACTCCATCAATCACTTATAGAAAACGTTACTTCCTGACAATAGTGGACGATTATAGCCGCTATGGATTTGTTTATACATTAAAACACAAAGATGAAACATTTCAAAAATTTAAAGAATTTTACAAACGCATAGAAACACAACACAACATCAAAATAAAACAAATTATGACAGACAGAGGATGCGAATTCATGTCTAAAGAATTCTCCCAATGGTTAAAAGACAAAGGAATGTTACATTACACATCTAGTCCATTTTCTGCGTTCCAAAACGGGATTGCAGAGAGAAAAAAATTCCACATTACAAACCATGATTAGATGCACATTGGAAGATGCTGGCTTAAGCAAACAATTCTGGTCAGAAGCCTTACATTATTCAAATTACACACAAAATAGAACATGGTCCAGCATTGTAAATAAGACACCATATGAAGTGATGTATAATAGAAAACCAAAATTAGCACACATGCATATATTTGGAGTCACAGCAGACGTACACATACCTAAACAATTAAGAAGAAAGGGAGAAAATGTGTCCAGAAGACTCAGATTTATGGGATATGAGACTGGCACTAAAGGGTACAGATTCATTGATAGTAACAACAAATTTATAGTCTCCAGAACAGCTGTGTTCCATGAACAAGCCAACTGGTCTAAATTACATCTTAATGAAATATTCCCAAATAAATATAAAGATACAAAATCTCATGAGAAAGGGACTATAGAAAAGCAAAATATCAACAAATATAAAAACAAAACCAAGACTTGGACAAATAGTCAACACAAAATAAAGACAGACACACTAACAAAAAAGGAAGCAAGATATTTGCATGATAACGATAGTAAACCAGAAAAAATCATTAGAAACACCAGAAATCAAATGCCAAATAAATACAAGGATTATGTAATGCATATGGATGGTGAACTAACAACACCTAATACATATGAGGAAGTGCTAAAACTTCCTCGCGAAGAAAAAGAAAAATGGGAATTAGCAATGAAGAAAGAGATGGAAAGTTTACAAGGATTAAATGTATTTACACCTGCAATTGCACCTAAAGATAAAACAATTATTGGTACCAGGTGGATATATAAAATTAAGAATTTAGAGGGAGGCAATACTCTATACAAAGCTAGATTAGTTGCACAAGGTTATGCACAGAAATATCCGGAGGACTATACCGACACGTATTCCCCCACTGTAAGAACGGAGAGTGTCAAAACAGCTCTAGTGGTAGCATCAGCACTCAATCTTGATGTATTCCAATATGACATACAGACTGCGTACCTACACGCAAAACTAGATAAGGAAATATACGTAAGAGCACCTCACAGTCAATACACAAACAGAAATGAGACTTGGTTGTTAAACAAGAGTTTATACGGGCTAAAACAATCTGGTAAACGGTGGTATGATTGTTTAGTAAAAGTACTTAAGACCATGGACTTCAACGCTACCACTGCTGATAATTGTTTCTTTGTCAAGAGGGGTGATGATTACATTGAATTTGTATTGATTTATGTGGATGACATTTTATACATAGGAAAACATAAAGAGAGAAGAGAAACTTTTGTAACTAAACTAAATGAGCATTTCTCGTTGAAATCTTTAGGCAAGGTAAACAAATACCTTGGTGTCCAAATTAATAAGACTAAAAGGGGTTTCAAACTTACCCAGAGAGATAAGATCATAGAACTTTTAAATAAATGCAATTTAAACAATGCCAAACCTTGTGATACTCCTATGCAAACTGACTTTCTAAGAAATACTGATGAATCTTCTCCCGAATTCAAGGACAACACATTTTATAGATCAATCATAGGTTCACTCCTTTATATATCTAATTGGACTAGACCAGATATCGCTTTACCACTCAATTTATTATCCAGGCATGTCAGCAAACCAACAATGTATCACTGGGAAGCTGTTAAAAGAATTTTAAGATATCTAAAAAGTACACTAGACTTTTGTTTAATGTTAGAACCTAATGATAATAAAGAACCAAAGCTTACGTGTTATGCAGATGCAGATTGGGCTGGAGACATCTCATGCAGAAAAAGTACATCTGGTTATGTATTTCTCTTAAATGACTGTCCAGTTTACTGGTACACTGGTAAACAAGAACTAGTGGCCACTTCAACGACAGAAGCGGAATATGTTTGTTTATCCAAAGCCGCAAATAACCTTGTATGGTTTAATGATTTAATTTCAGATGTTTGGAAAAAACCTGCTTTGCCTTTTGTTATGCATGAAGACAATAAAGCAGCCATTGAAATATCTAGATCTGATGCCATTGGACAAAGGTCCAGACATATAGATATAAAATTTAAACATGTGAGACAATTATCTCAGGATGGATTTATTAAAGCAGTGCATTGCGACACTTCAGAACAACTAGCTGATATATTGACAAAGCCATTACCTTCTAAGCAGCACAAATATTTAACCTCTAAGTTGTATGTTTTGTATTGTCCTGAATCTGAGTGTAACTGGTGTTGTATAACGAATCGGCATTTAGAGGGGGATTTGTCAGATGTAAATGCCTTATTCTCTAATGTGTAAATAGTGTACAAACAGGGTATCAGGGGTTAACTTATTCTTCACTTCTTAATGTATTCATAATTCACCACTCCCACATATAGCTCCACCCATTGTATATATAAGGAGCTACCTACACCCTTTCCCTTGCTTCTATCTGTGAATATTCAGTGAATATAGAATGCCTATTGTAAATAAAAGAATATATAGTTAAACCTTTAACTCTTGCTAATCTTATTGAGTCTGATCCTGAAAATATTGCAACAGGTATCTTATGATTATATTACTTTGTTGCTTTTCATGTACACTGAGAACTTAAGCACTGGAGACAAATTCCTTGTGTATCCAATCACCCTTGGCCAATAAATGTATTGTATTGTATTGTATTGTATTGTATTGTATTGTATTGTATTGCATTGCATTGCATTGCATTGCATTGCATTGCATTGCATTCCATTCCTGCTAGAAAGAAATGATTATGGTGCTGTGATCCATGAATATTCTGGTTCAAACACATTCTTAATAACTTATTTTCATTTCATTTCAAAATACAGTTCTTCTATTGTGTATTACTGAAATCTACCATAGAATCTGCAGCAAGTGTACAGGCCAAGCAAGTCTTATTGCTTGGCCTCTACATTTCATAAATGGTCTTTTTTTCTTAGATAAATATTAAATAAATAAATATTTCTTAGATAAATAGATAAATATTTTTATTATTGTAAACTTGTATTTTTATCTATGATATGTAAGTTATATTCTCATTGTGCTTTATAAAGGGTCACTTTTTTTGATCACAGCTATCTCTCTCATACTTTCTTTTTTCCAGCTATCAAAGCAGTATGGACCCGTGTTTAAAATCCAACTGGGAGTCCAGAAAATAGTGGTGCTAACAGGATATGAGACCATAAAGGAAGCTCTGGTGAATAAGGCTGATGTGTTTGCTGAGAGGGCCCCTGTCCCCATATTTGAGGAGTTTTCAGGGGGTTTTGGTGAGGACCCTCATTTCATGTCAATACAATTTGGAAACATGTGACTGTACAATGGAGCATTTGTAACAAAGGTATCACAGGAGCAGAATAAATTATAATTGATTGAAACTGAATTGACTGAAACTGGTTTTTAATTTAGAAATAACTAAACGTTTTCCAAAATAACAACTGAAAGAGATATAAGGGAACATAGGGAAAAATGAAAGGTGTTTTTTAAACACCTTTAAAAATAATAATAAGTGTACATACCGTAGCAACAGAAAAAGGAAAAACCATGTCAGAAACTAAAAATAGGAAGCAACGACAGAAAAATAACAGAATAACAGAGTTGGAGGGGACCTTGAAGGTCTTCTAGTCTAACCCCCTGCCTAGGCAGGAAATCCTACACCACTTCAGACAAATGGTTATCCAATATCTAGTGTTCTGGAGGCAAGTATAGTATAGTTCTTGATAAGATTTACTGTTGTTAGTTAGATAATTCTGTATATTCTGGAATAAACAATACACTAGGGTGGGTTTTTCAAAAATATATTTCTTTGCTATCTTTAATGTGTCACTAGCCAGTTTTCTGCATTGGGATGATCTTTGTAATCATTCTGTAAAATGGGACCACAGACATTTTCCTCTAACAATTATCAGGATATTTGGGGGCAGAATTACTTGGCTCTCTCCCATGGATGCCTTAGATCAGTGTTTCCATACACACCAACTTTAAGACATGCGTATTTATTTATTTTATTTATTTATTTTATTTAATTTATATGCCGCCCTATCTCCATAGGACTCAGGGCAGCTCACAACAATAAAATATCCAATAAAAGCGTGTTAAAATACATATTAACCCCCCCAGTCCAGGCTGAACAACCATGTCTTTAAGTTGCGGCAGAAGGTTCGGAGGTTGGGGCCAATCGGAGCCCCAGAGGAAGTTGGTTCCAGAGAGTGGGAACAGAGAAAGCTCTGCATCTAGGGATCGCCAGTCGACACTGTCTAGCCGACGGCACCCTGAGTAGGCCCTCCCTGTGAGAATGCACCGGGCGATGGGGAGCTGTTGCTGGTTGCAGATGGTCCGACAAATATCCTGGACCTAAGCCATGTAGGGCTTTACAGGTCATCATCACTATTTCAACTTACAGAATTGGCTGGGGAATTCTAGGAATTGAAGTACACACAAAGTTGAAAAGGTTGAGAAACTCTGACTTACACAAACACTAAGGTAACAATATTAGAAAACTGAACTGAATGTTTAAGAAATGTTCCTTGGGATGGAAGAGCCAACTGGTAGGGAGTACCTTTCTTCACAATCGGTTGACATTTTGCATATTCTTTGGTTTTTCAGGAATAGCTTTATCCCATGGTGAGAACTGGAGGGTGATGAGGCGTTTCATGTTAACCACATTACGGGACTATGGGATGGGTAAGAGGTCTATAGAAAGCAAAATAGCTGAAGAATGCAGTTTCCTGGTAAAGAAGTTTGAATCTTATAAAGGTGAGTTGGTGTTTCTTCTGGGACTCAAGAATTTATCTATCTTATGTTATCTTGAAGGGTTTGAGATTTCTTCATGACATATTCCAGACTTCCAGAACTTTAGTTCTTTTTAAATAGTTTTTATTGAACAGTATTCAAAATGCTGAAAAATAATAAAAACTCAAATCAGAAAATAAAATAAAATAAAATAGAAAAAACACAAAGAGGAGAGAGAAAAGGATCAAAGAGAGACAATCTCTCAAGAAGAATATAAAAGAAAAGAAAACAAAGATAGAAAAAAATATTATTTAAGGAAGGGGCTCATTTCTTGCAACAAATACAGGATTTTTTGGGGGTGAATGTTCAGACTTTAATAATATAATCATGATTTCTTTCATGTCTATTAATTCTTAAGTAGATAACTCCTTCCATTGGACTTTTTTTACATTTTAAAAAATAACATAAAAATTCCATTTTCAATTAAACAGTGTGTTGTCTGGGTACAAACAGTTTTAGGAAATAATAATAACAATGTTTACAACCATATTCATTACATTAGTATTGATGATGATGATGATGATAACAACAACAACAACAATAATGTTTACTTAACCATTTTAACATACCTTCCTTATATCATTGATCCTTTCCATATATTTCCCTGTTTCTAGCTCCTGTTTTTGTCAGCTAACCATTGATAAAATAGGTCCCAGGTCAAAAAGTATCCAGTTTCTTTCTTTTCCTTAATTGTAAGTGTTAGCCTATCCATGTCTGCACATTCTAGTATTTTTTAAATCACATTTTCATCCGTTGGGATCTCTTCACTTTTCCATTGTTGTGCAAATACAATTCTAGCTGCAGTCATTACATGAAAAATCAAATATGCATTCCCTTTATTATATTTATCCAGTAAAATGCCAACAAGTATATTCCTGGTTTCAAATCAATATGTTGTTTTATCATTTTTTCCAACCATGTATGTATTTTTGTCCAATATTTTTTTTGCTTTTGGGCATGTCCACAACATATGATTGCTAATCTTGAGGGCAGAAAATGCCATCTATAAAACATTTTATAAAGATTTTCTTTGTAGGCAGTAAACATTGTTAATTTATAATTTCTATCCCATAGTTTCTGCCATTTATCTAACTCAATTGGATAGCCAAAGTTTTTAGCCCATACTATCATTGTCTCTTTTACTTGTTCATCTTCCATCTTAATACTTAACAAATAGCTATATATTTTCTTTATTAATTTTTCATCTGTCTCTGTTAATATCTGATTTAATTCTGTTAATTCTTTATAAAAAAAGCATACATTTTAGCATCCTTCTCATATCTGGATTGTATCTGCACATGTGACCACCAAATTATCTCAATCCCTTGACCACTCAATTCCTGTTTAGTTTTAAGTTCCCCCTTTTCATTGAAAATATCTTTATATCTAGTGATATTCTCCATATCAATAACATTTGGATAAATCAGTGCCTCCATTGTGGAGAGCCAGACCAGTATTTTCAAATAGTGTTGTTCTTTAATTTTCTCCCATACTAATAACAGTGCATTCCTGATATAATGTCTTTGGAAATAGTTATGTATTTTGTTTATTCCATATCATAAAAAAGCATGTCAAACCCAGTTGGAGATCATGTCCTTCCAAGGTCAATAGTCTTTTGTTCCGCAAACCAATCCATTCTTTCACTCAAGTAAGTATCGAAGCCTGGTAGTACAATTCCTAATCTGGCAGTCCAAAACCCCCTCTGTTTTTAGAATCTTGCAACATTTATTCAATCTTGCAACTTATTCTTGCTTTTTCCCCTTGCCAAATATATTGTAATATTGTTTTGTTTAATTCTTCAAAATATTTTTCCCAGTTTTATTGGTATTGTTTGAAATAAATATAATAATCTCAGCAAAATATTCATTTTCATAGTAGCTATTCTTCCCATCAATGACAATTGCAGATTTTTCTACTTCTCCAAGTCCGTTTTAATTTGTTGTGCCAATTTATAATAATTATCTTCTTTAATAGTTATACACCTTGCCATTAGTTGAATTCCTAAATATTTAACTTTCTTGACTATCTGAATGCCTATCTTCCTTGTTAGTTCTTTTTTCTCTAAATCTGTAATATTTTTAACTAATATTTTAGTTTTTTCTTTATTTATTTTCAGCCCTGCAACTTCACCATATTAACAAACACAGAAAAATTAAATACAGGAAAATTAATAGTGCCTCACTCCCCATGAGATTATATAATGGTTCACCTCTTCCCATAACTATCCCTCCTTATCCATTCACAAATCCAAAACTCATTGTGATTTCTGTCCAAATGTCAGCAAAAGGTCCATAAATGTTTTGAGAAGTTTTTTTTTAAAAAAAACAATATTTTAACTCTGATCAAAGAAGCCAACTGATGCTAGAATTAAGGCAATGAAAATACAATGTTAGAATTTATGATAGTTTTATATTGTATTAACATTTTCATGAAAGTCCATATTTGTTGTCTAGGAAAACCATTTGAATTCAGAAGAATCATGACTGCAGCTGTTGCCAATATCATAGTATCCATCTTATTTGGGAAGCGATATGACTATGAAGATCCACGTTTTATTAAATTATTGAGCTTGGCAGCAGAAACTGCCATGCTTATGGGAAGCCCAGCAGTGCAGGTAATGATTATTCATCTGAAAAGCATTAGGAGCTCATTTAATGGATAGGCAAGACAGTGCATTTTTCAGGATTCATTGCAAAATCCAGAATCTAATGTAATATCGAAAAACTTTGTGATGGTTCAAAATGTTTTTTTTTTAAAGGGACACAATATTTCTATTGTTCTTCCATTTGAGTATACAAGTATGTATGGAGGTATATCAAATATTCTATATCAAAAGTTTCTTGCAATGGGAACTTGGTGCAGCTCTGGTTCCATTTTCCAGTCAATTTACAGAAGAAGTACAAGAAAGACTAGAATCTAATTCAAATGTGTTTCAATTACTAAGAACAAATAGATGAAAATTTTATATGTTAATGAGAGCAACACAATATTAACTAGACCTGTCTATGACAGGACCTCCAAAATTCCCCACCAAATTTTTAGTGGAAAAATTTCCTGGACATGGCATATTGCAAGCTCTATCTTTAAGGAAACTGAAAGGAAGTCTATCTCTGAATTGTAATTGCTCTATATTATTAAGTCTTCTGGTATAATATATAAACAGATATCATTTGTAAAGTCTATCCAAAATGATATTCTAGGTATGTGACTTCTTTATTATCTCTGTTATTTTGTATCTTACAGCTGTATAACATGTTTCCCATGTTTGGCTTCCTTTTTGGCGCTCGTAAGAAAATCCTGAAGAACGGAAGGGAATTTAATGCTTTTGTCAATGAAAACTTCATCCAATGTCTCAATAATCTGGATGAGAATGATACAAGAAACTTTATTGATTCATATCTTGTACAACAGCAACAGGTAATGAAATGTGCAGAAATGGCAGCTTGAAGTTTTCCATAAAATTTTGCAAATGCAAGTACCCGCAATTGGCAAGAATCCTTATTACAGGAAAAAGCAAACCTAACAAATTGGCAACGGTCTTCAAATATTGAGCAATCATTCACTTTGCCTAGTGTTTAGTACTCTTATTTAAAAGTTTTATATTATAGTCACTAACCAGTTTTATTGTAGTCACTGATCACCACTTAGCCTAATCTTCCAAGCAACTGAGAACTCTAGGAAAATAAGAATCCATAAGAATCTTTTTATTTCTTGTAGATTATAATGTTGGGACCCCCATAATGAATTCTTCCTGTGTATGGATATAAATAAAGAAAAATTTGCTTTGAATGCCTACAAGTTGGCACACATTTGAGGAGCATTATATTTAATTATGATGAAGGTTTTTTTTTTATTCTTAGAAAATTTGCACAAAAAAGAGATAGTTGTATATATTGATAATTACATATACTCCAATAAGAGCATTATTGGGCTAGTTACAGTACATCAATTGCATAGAAAGTAATACACTGTATTTCAGGAAAAAATATGTTCAAAGACTGTTACAATAACAACTACTAATTATTGTAGTAGGGTTTCTTTAAAAACTGATTTAAAACACAATAAATAAATTATGAATATAAATCATATTATGAATATAAACATCGGCCAGATTTAGATTAAGAACTCTCATGTGAATAATTATTTATAAAATGTGTAGCAATTGAGAATGCATATTTGTAGAGTCCTGTGAAGATTCTGTCAATAGGTAATATCCATTAAATCTCAATGACCAGCAGACAGGATTAGCTACTGTTATTCAGGTCTAAACCTTGGCTGATAGAAAGTTCGCCAGCAAACACAAGTGATTGTAAAACCAGACTGACCTGACTTTGGAACATTTTCAGAATGGTTGAAAAACTGGTGAAAGTCAGAATGTTTTGACTCAAAATGGTCTACTTCAAAGCTTAAAACATTTTGCATGTTACTAGTGCAGGCCATTTAAATACCTTTTGGACAAGTCAGATTTCCACTGAGGAAGAGTGGAAATTTGGCTTTAAAAAAAATATTTGGATAGAAATATTGCTGATTTCTTTAGGTGCAACTAGAGATTGCTTTAGAGAAGGCTGCACTTCTTTGTCCAGGAGTGCATCCTTTTAAAACCAATTTTAAAAGCAGGTTCTTTTTTTTAACTCTAGGAAAGGAAGATCCAGAACAATGGGTATTTCCACCATAAAAATCTAGAAGAGTCCGTGACAAATCTATTCTTGGCTGCTGTTGAAACAATCTCAAGCACTCTATTTTGGGCCTTTACTCTAATGATGAAGTACCCTTTAATTCAGAGTAAGTGCTTTACATTATTTCAGTATCTTGATTTCAGGTATATAGTGTTAAATGTGGAGTAACTAAGATAAGTGACAATGGCTTTGAATAATATCTGAGTGAAGGAGGCAAAAAAGTCAAAGAATTCAATTTCCAATCTTGTGTTCTGACTTGAATCATGCAGAAACATAAATGGAGAACCTGTCTTAAAGGAACTGCTTCTTTCCCATCCCTCTCTATGCTCCAGAGCATGTTTTGGACATCAAATCCAAAGAATGGTGTAGCTCTAGAATTTAGTGAATACATGTTATTAGTTACTACCATAGAAAACTATGATGGTGTGAGACATTGGAGTCAATTATATTACTTACAATATGTTAAAGCCCAGTAAAGACCAACTAATACTCCAGGCAGGGCACAACAAAGTCATATCCACACAAACCCAAGCCAGAATGATTAAAATCTCCAGCAAACAATAACAATCTTCATAGGTACTCAATGGCTTAAGTTACCTTGGAACACCAATGCCTGCTGAAACAGGACTGCTTTTGTCCTGGCCAGCTCAGACTCAGAAGATGAAGAGGCGTTACAGGAGGGTCATCAGCCCTTACAGGAGGGATTCAGCAACTCTTTTTCTGTTGCAAAGCCCTTTTAGTAATGAAATAAGACTTAGCTTTGTGTCTGTGATTTCCATAGGCCGAGATAGGACAACTTTGACAATTTTATGAAATGTCAGTAGGTTAGGTGGCATTTGTAGCTCCAAAGGAGATTCTTCCATACTGTAGGGTCTGCCTCTCAGAAGGCCTGCTACCTGGTTCACCCTCCAGGAAATCTATTCAAGTGGGGAACCAGAACAGACTGTCTCTTCACAACCACACTGGATAGTCAGGTTGAATTCTGCCAGGGTGTTGTTCGATATATCACAGTTTTTTCCCTTCTTTTTACAACCTTCTAGTCACTTGCTTCGAGGTGGGATCAGGGCGACTGAATGGAGCTGAGTGTTCAGTGGCTGAATGCCCTTCTTGATGCCTACACAGAGTTCACAGCAGATATTTTCTCTTTGCACCCTGATAGAGAAACATCTGTTACTGCCTAGGATTGAACTGTCAACCATCGAGAGTGGGAGGTGTCTTCACCTCTCTGCATGTATCTTCTTTAATTTGAACTAGTGAATGTTCTATTCCTCTTCGATTTCCAGAGAAAATTTGCATCTCTTGCCATTGCAATTTAATATTACCAAGAGTTAGCACCATAATGAACACAATGAGATTATCTTACTGGATGTTATTATTTATTATCTCAGAAAAGGTCCAAGAAGAAATAACAAATGTTGTTGGCTATGCTCAACCAAGAGCCAAACACCGAACAAAAATGCCATACACAGATGCTGTAGTCCATGAAGTTCAAAGATATGCTGATGTTGTTCCCTTAAACATGCCCCATGCAACTACAGTGGATGTTACCTTTAAGGACTATTTCATTCCGAAGGTGATGTATCTGTATTGTTCTCTTTCTAGTCCTAGCTAGTTACATTCAGTCCATTTATTACAGTACAACAATAAAGGATCTTCAAAAGCTTTTCTATTACAGATTCTATTAATTTTAGGACTATAGTAATTTGGCATATTTGATTTTATTCATACTGTATGGAGGCACAAGCTTGCATACAGATAGAGTAGGGTGTATGTTACATGGGAGAGCTATATTAATCTATGACAGCAAAAAAAAGTCAGAGTTTATATCACCATAATGATCAAATAGGAGTGCAAGTTATTCTTAAGAATAATTACCATAAGTGATGATGTTTCTCATAGATCCTAATACATTTTCAGAGAATACTGTATGTATTGACCCTTTTCAGTTTACCATCTACAAGTAACATATGAGAAACTGCTGTGTAAGGACTCCTTTATCCATGAAGAATAAGCACTGGGATGAAGACTTTGAAGTCAATGTTTGAAAAGTTTCCTTGGATTAAGAAGCTTTCTACTGCATATTAGCACCCTAAGACTAAGAACTATGGAGCTCAGTGCTGTTTACTATCCAGTAAACATCTGAAGGGTTTTTTTTCTCTGTTTGCAGTGCAGCAGAAAAGTTTTTTATAAGTCCATTTTATGGCTGCAAACAGAAACAAAGGCACAATGTAGTTCAACAATTCAAAAATCTCTCTACACAGTCCAGAGTAGGTGATTGGGCAGATTAGTGCCCTGTATACCACACTGGAGATTTTAGGATTATACAATAACTTGGTACATTATATACCATCTTGATTTTTAAATCACCCATTGCTTTCTCTTTATAGGACACCCATGTCATTCCCTTGCTGACGTCTGTGCTCCGTGATGAATCTCAGTGGGAGAGACCTCATGACTTCTACCCTGAGCATTTTCTCAACACTGAAGGAACATTTATAAAAAGAAATGCATTCATGCCTTTCTCTGCCGGTAGCATCTTATTTTAAATTATATTAAAATGATGTTCAGCTTTTCTCCTTGATTAAAATCTCCCGAAGTGGCTAGTAGGAGTAAAAGTTAATAGCAAGAGTTTTTTAGCTGTTATTTTTCCACTCCTAACTTAGAAATTTTCTGTGAGGAAGGTGATAATAATAGTATTAATAATAATTTATTAAATTTATATGCTCACAGTTTAGAAAACAAATAAATCCACAGGCATTAAAGGGTCTAGCATGTACATGTGAACATTTCTGCTTTTAATTTCATTGGCAGCGCATCCTAATATTTTTTAAATAAATAATCACTCTGGGAAACAGAAATATTTACACCTGCTGTTTCAGCACTGCAATGCGATTTATGATATACTTCAGTTTTGCAGATCAATGATAGGGGTATTTTCAGTGGCAGTCTTTCAGAATTTGCATTATTCTTCGATCTCATTAGCCAACATGATCTTGCTACATTCTAACCTCTCTTCTTGGGTTGGAATTGTTATTCTGAATTTTACAGTGAACTCTCAAACCAATATGTCATGAGAAGGTGAAATAAAATATTGCTAGCAAAACTAATAAACCCAAATCCTCTGTTCTCTACTCCTTGTTATAGGTCAGAGAGTATGTCCAGGTGAGACCCTTGCCAAAACAGAAATATTCATGTTCTTTGCTAGTCTTCTGCAGAGATTCACCCTCCAGCCAGCTCCTGGAATATCAAAAGAAGACCTGGACATGACCCGTGAAGTTGGGCTTACCACACCTCCGAAGACTTACATATTATGTGCTCTACCACATTTCTAAAAACGAAGGATATTCAGAGACTCATGAGTCTGTATCTGTCTCTCTTGGAGCCTTTTCCCCCCCTGCAACATCTAGTTTTGGATATGGTCTTTATATATGCTGTCTCTTAAATGTTAAGAATACCACATATCTGAGTCCCATAAGATGTAGTAGACAAAATTCATAGTAGCAAACATCAAAATTTATTTTTTAATTGGAATGTATGATCATCAATTTCCAAGAAGAAAAGCCAGTTCCCAAATGAGTAATACTATGAGTAGCAGACAAAGAATACATCAGAATTGGCTCTTAGTTGTTATATCAATCACTACACAGGGACAATAAAAAAAATGCCCTCTTGTTTTTGTATAATTTACACTTGTCTTTAAAGCATTAAAAAGCTTGTTTGCAGCTAAATCTATGTGTTCAGATGAAAAGCAGTGAAGATCTGATTTGGACAAAGCATTTAAGTCCCAGCTGTATAGACAAAATATATTTTACTTTTTATTGGGTAAGGTATGAACATTTATTTCCAAGAAGAAAACTGGTTCCCAAATGTTCAAGAAAATTGGACTCATTCCCAATATTGACTCCTCTCATTCATTATATGAAATATATTGGCTATTTATGACTACGTTTTCCTATCTTTTGTATGACCAACTTTTATTATGATGGTTTAACTATAAATTTCTCCCAACACAACTGACAGAAGAGCTCAAAGAAAATCTGCAAATTTTAAAAGGACAAGTTTGGAAATTTTTCCTCATGAACATTAACAAGGTTGAGAAATTCTTGAGAAAAAGAGAAGCTTGTAACTACTTGACAAACATTCTAGAGAAGAAAAACATTTTATTTCATGAAGACAAGCTGGAAGGAGTGACTTAAACTTAATGAGTCAATTGGAATTAGGATGGATTTTTATCAGTTTGATATTTGTAATTGTATCTTAATCTAAAATTTGTATTTTTTCCTTTATATATAATGCTTAGCTAATTCTTCTAAGTCTTTAAACCAAATGATCTCATACTATCTTAAAATCTTTCTGGTTTGTTAGTCACAAGGATTTCATAGATCAGAGCCCACTTCCCCAGGTCACCTAGAAACTTTAACTGAGCAAGAACACAGCAGCACATACAGGCCCCAAAGTTCTTTCTTGTTACATTACTGCTGTGTGAGTTTCTTTCTAGGGCAATTCAAGATGCTGATTGTCACTTTTAAAGCCCTAGATGGCAAAGAACCAAGTTATTTGAGGGACTCATGGATTGTATATACCAGGGGTGTCAAACTCAAAGCCCGGGAGCCGGATCCAGACCATGGGGTGCTTAGATCTGGTCTATGGGGCCGCCCTGGAAATAGCAAAGGACTGGCCTGCAGTGCCTCTGCCAGTGAAAATGGAGCTCATGAGGGCTGTGTGCAGCCCTTCCAAATTCCGTTTCTGCTGGCAGAGGATTGTAGGATACTGTCACAGCTGAAAATGTAGCTTGGGAGCCTGTTAATCGCTGGCAGAGCTCTCAGGCCACCACAGGCGCCACTGACATGAGTGACATCGAGCTGGCCATGCCCCCCCCCCCCCCCGAGGTCAAACACAACCCTGATGCAACCGTCAAGAAAATCAAGTTTGACATCCTTGGTATATATAATCCAGCTGGATTATATAGATGGATTCATTCTAGGTTCACCTATTAAACACTGTCTTCTGGTCAGACCTCATAAGTGAACCTTTTCCTGCCTGAAATATGGAGGGCCTATATGTCTCTTCTTTCCATAAGGTCTTGAAGACCTAGTTTTTCTCTAGACATTGGGTCAGAGAAGGCAAGCCAAGCCCCACCCTTTTTTTTTTTAGAGGAACCTAGGTTTGTGATACAGTTTTAATTTTTTGGGTTACATTCCCCTCCCCCCCAAAAAAACCCTAACATGTACAATTACAAAATATTCAGGTTTGAATGTACAACATTCTGAATATTTTTTTCCTTTTAAAGTTTTTTATTTTTATACAACTCATTGCATGAATGGTTAGATATCTGGGTATCATACATTTAAATACAAATCAACATAACAATATTATTCCTAATAATTACATTTCATTTTCATTTCTAATTTTACTAACACATAACTTCTACTATCATCCTTCAGTTCTAAACCTTCTCATAGTTCTTCCATATGTTATATCATCTTAATATCTATTTTTACTATTTCCCCCCTCTTATTTCTACTTCTCTTTTAGCCTCTCCCCCTCCTTCACCTATCACTCTAGAGTGAATGTCAAGCCTGAATTTTATTGGGGTGTGGGATTGTTTGTATCCTTGGGGATTCTGACATGAATTCAGTTTGACACAGTTTGGAGCTAAAGGAGGGGGAGAGCGAGGAGGATAGAGCCTTCAGCCAAAACAGCATAGCTAATGGATGAGTCAAGTACATTCCAATGGCCGGCCAACCGGTGGAAGAGGAGAGAAGTCGCCAGGCAACTGGCTCTCATCTTGGTTGGACAATGTGACAATTTGTTTTGGAAAATGAAAAAACTATTACTTATATTGGGGTGGAAAGCACGGAAACTTTCAGTACTGGCTTTCCACTAGTAGTGCCAAGATGATGTATCTAAATAAATTTGTTCTTTGAGGAAATGCAATGCCATGGAATTCGATTTGTAATGGGTGCATTACTTGGAGCCTGACATACAAGAGCCATGGTGGCACAGTGGTTAGAATGCAGTAGTGCAGACTAACTCACTGTTCACTCCAGGAGTTCAATTCTGAGAGGCTCAAGGTTGACTCAGCCTTCCATCCTTTTGAGGTCGGTAAAATGAGAGGCCAGATTGTGGGACAATATGCTAACTCTGTAAACCACTTAGAGAGGGCTGTAAAGCATCATGAAGCAGTATGTAAGTCTAAGTGCTATTGCTATTGCTGCAGAGCTCCGCTAGAAGAATTATTCACAGACACCTGGGTTAAAAGAAGGAGGTGTTAATATTATTTATAAGCAAACAATATCTCTAAGATGTTCTAGTTTTATAATTAGTGTATTACTTCAAAAGACAACCACTTATACAATCACCCACAGATAAAATCAGTTGCTTTTCAGATATGACTTCTATCTTTCTTGCTTTGCATCTCCAGCTTCTAAATATGCAAGTTACACATTTTACAATCTTTTCCTAGATAAAACCTTTTTACAGCAATGGCTGAGAGGAAAGAATTTGTCAGGTGTTGTTAAACATGTTTAGTTAGTCAGTAATGGAGTCCTATGCAACAACAGAGCAGTGATCTTTGCTCAACCTTGGCTTCTTTCTTAATGTATCTTGTTCGTGATTAAGCCCCTGATGTTTCTAATTAAAGTAGTAGCCTCTTGGAGGTATTGTGTATGTATGTGCTTGTGTTTAATGCTTGTCCACACATTGTTTTTCTGAGTCTTAAGTAGGATTATAATCATAATCAATACAGTGATTAACTATTCCGAGTGGGAGTGTTAAATGACAAAGGATCCTGAAGTCCAGAAGTACTTTTCCACTAATAGGATTTCAGATCATTCATGATTTTAAGTAAAGAAAACTAAAGAAGAAAAACTGGAAGAACTATGACTGCTACTATAATTATAGCAAATGTCCAGTCCCAGGCCAAGCACACAGAGGTACACTGAGAGGCTGTTGCAAAATTAACTGATAAATTTTGTGAAGTAAAGAAGCAAACAGCAAAGGAAACGTGACCACAAATGGACATGTGTGCACAAGGTCACCCCCCCCAAACACACACCCAGTAGAGAAACAAGTCCCCTAAAGTTCAGCAGTCTTCATTTCATTTTCATTTCATTTATTGAATTTGTATACCGCCCTACTCCTGAAGGACTCAGGGCAGTGAACAGCCACAGAATAAAACACATAAATACAAAATTTAAAAACAGAATAAAACCGAATTAAACAATTTGGCCGAGACAAATTTAAAACACCCAATAATTTTAAAAACAAATTAAAATTTACATTTTAAAGGGGAAAGATTTAGGCCAGGCTGGCTTGATGGAATAAAAAAGTCTTGAGAGCACGACGGAAGGTGCGCAGATCTGGGATCCTCTGTATCTCCGGGGGGAGCTCATTCCAGATAGTAGGTGCCCCCACAGAGAAGGCTCTCCCCCTGGGGGCCACCAGTCGACATTGCTTGGCCGATGGCACCCGGAGGAACCCCTCTCTATGGGAGCGTACCGGCCGGTGGGAGGCTATTGGTGGTAGCAGGCGGTCCCGTAAATAACCAGGTCCTAAGCCATGGAGCGCTCTAAATCTTGTAATAAGAATTCCAATTCAGAACATCAGACACAACAGTGGAATTCCAAAAGTCCAAACATTGCAAAAGGGTCATCAGCTGGCAGATCTAGAGTAAAAGTCATGAGGTTTCAAACCAGGAATGAAGGTGCACTGAATGGATGAATGAAGCCAGTCATTCACAGAGAGGTTTAAGCTTGCTGTTTCTTGATAGTCAATTAATAATTATTTCTTAAATAGAAGAGGAATCCTGCAGTGTGACTCTGTTCTGCTCTGCTCTTTATAGGGTGAGTCCTGAGGATGAGGATAGCTCAGACTCCTCATCTTCAGGGACTTATGGCAGCTGTGCCTACTGCTTACTAGACAGCCCAACCTCATCTGTATGTAACTCCTCAGGCCATGGTTTGAGCCACTAGAGGACTTATCTCCTCATTGTCTCTTGTGAATCTGACAACAAGCCATGACAGCAAGATAGGAAATAAAAGGGAATTACGCTAAGATTAAGGGATTCAAAAGATTTAGGGAAATGGTGCAAGTTGCTTCCAGATTTAGATTTTTCATGCAAGCCTTTCTCAATTCATGTCTGAATACTACATTATTCATAACTGTACCCATTATAGCTGTTTGGTGAAAGTGAAGAGAACACCCCAGTACTGAAAAGATAGTGAAGAAAATTGATTGATAAAGAAAAGAACAGCAGTCTCCTCCTGACTACTGTTATTGATGAAAACGTTTGGATAATCATCATAATAAAACAACCTGTTTAGGCTACTACATAAGCCAGGAATTAGTAGTGAGGCTTTTTAGAAGGAGAGGGGGAGGGGGAAGGAGAGAGAGAAGTTATCATTTTTAAAATTTATTTATTTTATTTATTTATTTGTCAAGCATATATAAGGTAACAGATAAAAGTATAAACATAATTATGAATACATGAAATGGATATGAATAAAAAGGGAAATTAGGACAGGGATGGTAGGCACGTTGGTGCGCTTATGCACACCCCTTACAGACCTCTTAGGAATGGGGTGAGGTCAACAGTAGTAAAAAAAAAAAAAAGTAGTAAAAAACCCAATTTTGCTGAACAAGCAACAAGGCAGGACTTTGACCACAACCCATGAACCATAGGATTCTATCAGTCAACCTGCTAGGCAATTTGGCTCTTAGCTGCTCATGTGATTTTTATTGTGCCCGCTGGTCATATATCTGAACTGAAGCCCTGAGGATTTAGCCCCTGATCTTCCAGTTCCAAATTCTAAGTGAATTCAATGCTTGCTAAACCTAGAAAAGGGAATCAAAATCTTCAATTGGCTTCCAGGTATTTTTTTTTTTAAGCTGAGACAGATACATCATCATTCATACCCTATCTGCTATGTTCCTCTCAGTGGATGTGGGCATGCCTTTTCATCCATATGAGATAATGGAAACAAATCTTGAAAGCTACAGAAAACTTCCAAATTAGAGGTGCAGTTCAATAATCAATAAAGAGAAGTGAAATGTTCCCTTTGTTGATATAGTCAAGCAAAGCATGACAGTCATGTTTTGGAATACATTAGCCTTAGGCCTTGAGTTTTGTGAAGCTATGACAACCTTCAGATTTCCATATCAGTTCATATCATATCAATTATATTTTCTGATTTAAGGTTCTCTTGACATTTCATGGGAGATATTTGAAGTTGAGGTTGAGATCCATCTGAAGGGCAAAATAAGCAGCTGGTAGACAAAGTGATGCCTATGGTGATTCTGGAGAAGAGAGTCAAATGTCTTATCCAGAACAGCTGGGAAGTAAAGTCATGGCCTAGAGAATTGCATGGTCAAGAAACTGAAGCCTTGGGACACTGGACATGACACCTGAAAATTTACTTGGATCAAAATCAGTATTAATGCATTTTCACAAATCTTCCACAAGTTGAAGTTCAATAATTATGCAAATGGATTCACAATGTTTTCTTTACTCAGCAAATAAATAATGTTAACAATCCTGGACATTGGTTTACATAGGGCCCAAATGACTAGACAAACTTTTTTATTTGGAGATTAAGTTATCATCCATTTCAATTACAAAGTAATCTCATTCAAATAAAGGAAAACAAATTACATCAAACAGGAAAGTTAATGATTCACTGGAATCATATTTATATTATCTCCATGGTACTGCAACACTTTCAGGTATTTGTGCAGGCATTATATTGTGCAGGAACTATATTTGATCAAATAGTATTGCATTTTCCATTTTAAATACTACAGAAAGTATTTACTGAAAGAAAATGGATTGGACTCAACTTGTTCCTGTATCACTCTTCTTTATTCTTCTGACTGTATTCCTTTTGAAAACGAACAGTTTCTGGAATAACAACTCCCAAAATCTTCCACCAAGACCAAGAATTTTACCCTTTCTTGGAAATCTCCACATTATGGATATGAAAAGACCACACAGAACAATGCTAAAGGTAATGCACTGAAATTATGACTGAAAGCAACTAAACCAACAAGACAAAATTGGGTCAAGAGATTTTGGAGATATTCTGATTTTATGTTATTGTTTAATATGATTGTAACTGTGCTATACTGTATTATGCATAGAATTACAAGATCTTGGCAAGCTTAGTTATCCCTTTTGTGGACATAATCCTATCAATGGACAGATAAATTGAGAGATGTTTTTAGTTGTTTTTTAAGGGGTGGGTGGGATTAATATCTTTTTCTCGGGTCAATGTTTGTGAATTGCAAGAGGTGATAGAATAAGGTTGCTCCACTGCCTTTCAATGTATTAAAATTTACTTGGTTCCTACATTAGGAATACTATGATTTGAAAGCAGAGATCTCTGGGAGGGAATGGGTAGGAAACACATTAAAATATATTCATGGCCATTAGAAATGAACAAATGCAGAAACAAATAGTCAACATTCTTCTTTTTCCCCATGTTGATTATTAGCAAAAGACTTTTCCATGGCAATTTGACTGGAAGTTTCATCATGTCTGTTAAAAGTTCAGCAAACTCAAGGTATTGAGATATTACGGAGATGGTGGAGCACAATGCTGCTCTGTGCTGCTGATCGATCCATTTGATAGTTATAAATTTAGCCTATTAAATGTTTGAAATAAACACAGACTCTTTATGTTTCTCTATTTTGTCCTTGGATTGCTGATTCAGTAAAGTATCTGAATCAGGAAGATGTTGATGGAACACGACAAAGAGCATTTTCTACTTTGAGCCCACACTTCAATTGATGTTTCCATTACAATTAAATAAGTAATTGTACTTATTGTACTTCATTGGTAAGGAACGGAATGGCTTTTTGCTCTTCCAATTATGGGCCATGTGGAAAATTTTCTTTCAGACTAAAAGTTGGAATGTTAACCATGATGACTGCTGATGTATTTGGGTTTGTGCTGATATCTCAGTTTCTGGAAGAGCACCAGGAATAATGATTCTCTCAGGCAGTAAAGGATCACATTATTCCAGTCCCTCCCTTTCCCACTATCTTAATAAAATAAGTTGCTATCTTATCTACCTAAAAAGTGTAGCACACAAGATGCTTTCAAACAATAAAAACAACAACAACATGATTTTATTCTTATATCTGTGAAACATGATTTGCATCTGATGTCTGTTACTGTGCATAAAGGGGTTTTCATGGTGATCTTCTCTTTTTTCCTCCTTATGTTCAATTCTAGTTATCAAAAGTATATGGCCCAGTCTTTAGGATTCAACTGGGATGCCAGAAAATAGTGGTATTGGCTGGATACAAAACAGTGAAGGAAGCTCTTGTGAATCACGCTGATGCATTTGCAGAGAGGCCAAATATCCATCTTTCTGATGAAATTCATGAGGGCTTTGGTAAGCTTTTCTCATTTTAAATATCAGGCAGTATACCTTGTCAATATCTGTCCAGAGCTGTGAAAATAAAAAAAGTTAGTATGGAGATGGCATAGGAGATTTGTGTTGGAGAACATAGGAGACAAAAATAGAAACTAAGGCCTGACTGCCCTAAGATAGGACTGAAAAGGAGAAAAAGAGAATTGAAATCAATTCTGCAAAGTTTTAACCTATACTTTTCCTGATTTCTTTCAACCAGCCTTGGACAATTTGGTTGCCACACTGGATGGTTGGAGAAACAGAGTTTGTAAATAAGGGACTGTTTGTAATTTTCTGAGTTAACAGAAAAGCTTCACATGAAACTTCATATGCATTTCCCACACTAACTTTCTGACTCTGTACTATGTAAAAACAAGCGCCATAAATATTCTCTTCATTATAATGGCAGAATTTTTCAGTAGTGCAAATATGTCTTTTAGTTTTGCACTTTCTCTTTAGGTATCCTTTTTTCTCATGGGGAGAATTGGAAAGTGATGCGCCGCTTTACTTTATCTGCACTACGGGACTATGGAATGGGCAAGAGGAGTATAGAGGATAAAATAATTGAAGAGTGCAGGATCCTGATAAAGACATTTGAATCTTATGAAGGTGAGTTGATGTTTCCTTCTAATGATTCACCTGGAGCTATACATTCAGAGATTTATTGCAGAAAAGTTAACAGTCTACCTCTAGAGCTACCAATGAAGTTCCTCAAATCCTATTTAATATTTGCCCAATATCTCCATGTACTCCAGCACTGGCTATCAGTTTCCTAGAAAAATGTACTTTGCCTAAGGTGGGAAGACTTTGCCATTGAAGTGTCTTTTAAAAGTGTCTTTTAAAGTGATGTTCTTTCATAAATGTAAATTAATTTTAATAACTTTGTTTAATTGTAATATTTGCTATATAGGACAACCATTTGAGAATGCAGCAATTATGAATTCCGCTGTTGGCAATATTATAGTGTCCTTTATACTTGGCAAGAGATATCAATATGAAGACCCCACATTTCAAAGACTAATAAACTTAATCAATGAAAATGTCCGGCTTGCAGGAAGCCCTTCTGTTTTGGTAAATTATTTTTCAATTTTAAAAGGAGTTCATTGTGTGTTCACTATGTTATCTTTAATGTAGTGTGGGATTTATAATAAATATTCCATGTGTTTTAAGGTACACTATGACAGAAAAAGCCCCAATGTCTTATATACTATATGCAACTATTTCCCACTATGAAATATGAATAGTTTTAGTAAAAATGCCTACATTGCCCACATGAAAATTATTCAGGTTTCTTCATGACTCTTTTTATCCTTTTTGTATTTTTCAGTTCTATAATATGTTCCCCCTGTTTGGCTTTCTTTTTGGTGCTCGTAACATACTTCTGAATAACAAAAAGGAATTGTTTGGTTTCATAAAGACCACTTTCATAGAACACCTCAAAGTTCTGGATGAAAATGATCAGAGGAGCTTTATTGATTCATTCCTTGTCCGACAGGCAGAGGTAAGGAAGTGCTTCATGCCAGGAATTCCAAGTTGTGGGGGGAGGGCTTGGTACTCTCTGAGCTAGGTTGTTTTTTTGCAGCTTTTTCATCACCCAAACTTGGTAACTAGATAATTAGCACTGATTATGTTACCTAGTTTGAGTAATGAAACTTCTGAAAGGAAAACAACCAATCTCAAACAGCACCAAGGACCCCTCATTTGAAACTTGAGCTACAGATGTTCTTTATTGTTAATTCCAAATGAGTTTTTCATATCATATTCATACCTTTAAAGCAGGAAATAAAAACTCATTTTTAACTGACAATTGAAACTTCTAAACTGAAAACCAAGGGACTTTCCTTTAAAAAAATTCCCAAATAGTACATTTTGAGGGTTATATTAAAGTGCTACATGTAGTATAAATCATCTGTTGCAAGGCATTTGTTTAAAGTATTAATTTCCTCAATTTAAATGAAGCCCATCTAAACAAATCTGTTGCTGCTGCTGCACCTCCTCTTTCTCCTCCTCCTCCTCCTTCTAATAATAATAATTATAATAATTATAATAATTATAATAATAATTTATATTGTTATTGTTTCCGGATTGCTTATTTGTACCCTATGAATATCATTAAGTGTTGTACCTTATGATTCTTGATGAATGAATCTTGTCTTTTTATGTACACTGAGAGCATATGCACCAAAGACAAATTCCTTGTGTGTCCAATCACATTTCTTTAGCCAATACTCAGGTGTCAGCATCAGTAATTATTCTGTCAATTGATTGGAAGAGTTTCCATCCTAGAACTTTGCCACTCTAATATCTCCAATTCTTAGAAATGAGGTGGATGCTGGTTGCTTGTCCTCTTTGCTTATTTATTTTGAGATAACTGGACTGAAAGCAAAAATTCATTGATTTACCTTTGTAAACTAGTCTTTGGATTTTTAGCAAAAAGAGGAAGAAAATGAAGATTCCTCCTTACCTTGGGGGTTGTAATAGAAGACCTTCAAGGTACTTTCCAACCCTATATTTTATGAAAATATGAATTTCTAGAAGATTTTTAATAGAATGTCATGCTCATTATTTCAATTTCTATGAACATCTTAATCACAAATCATAGGGAGCTCAGTACTTTATGGTGTTTAGAGCTACCATTCCCACAATCCTTTTTATTGATTTAGAAAGCTAGGGACTGAAATCCAAAATTCTGAGAGATGCTCTTATTGTTCATTGTTCTCCAGCTTTCTGCTATTTAGTTGATGTGAATATACCGAATATGCTTAGATAGACTATTTATATATTGCAGGAGAAGAGAAACAAAGCAGAAAGGTATTTTCATAATGAAAACCTAACTGCTGTTGTGAATAACCTATTTGCTGCTGGGATGGATACGACTTCAACCACATTGCGCTGGGCCATACTACTAATGATGAAATATCCTGACATTCAAAGTAAGCACTTTTCATTTAATTGGATATCAATATTCAAATATTTGGTTAAATTAAAGTATAATGCAATGAAACATGTGGTCTACAAAAGTAAAATTTTATGGCTGTTAAACAAGGAAATGGTGTGGAATTTCTTTGCACAGTTCCTTTGTTTGTTTGTTTGTTTGTTTGTTTGTTTATTTATTTATTTATTTATTAGTTCGATTTATATGCCGCCCTTCTCTGGAGACTCAGGGCGGCTTACAATGCGTTAAGCAATAGCCTTCATACTTTTGTATATACCTGCTTAGTAGGGCTTTCGCCCCCCCCCCAAGTGGTGTTCTTTTTTATACAAAGTCAGCTTATTGCCCCCACAATCCGGGTCCTCATTTTACCTACCTCGAAAGGATGGAAGGCTGAGTCAACCTTGAGCCTGGTGAGATTCGAACTTGCAGTAATTGCAGGCAACTGGTGCTAATTAAGAGCACTTTAGTCTGCTGTGCTACAAAGGCTCTTGTTGTCTATTGACATCCTTTGTTACTTGGAACATTCATTTAGCTAGGCCAGTGATAGAGAACCTATGACACACATGTCAAAGGTGATATGCCATGAAGTTTTGGATGACATACCAATGTTTACCAACACCTGAGAACTATTCTTGAAAGCATGCCCCATTCTTACAAAAGATGCAGAGGCTGTGGAGACAAGTGAGAATAAGGACCTGCTCTTGCATGGCCTCCAGAGCCTCTGAAATCATGTGAGAACAGGGCATGCTTTTGTGTGATTTGGGGAGTCTGCAGAAGAGCTACTTCAAGAATAAAGGACTCATGAAACTCAAACTGTCCTGAGTAGGGCACAGGAGACTGTCAACAGAAAAAAAAATATCCCACCATATGAATGTAAATGCTGCACAGCAAATCCTGAGGTACTGGGCAATGAGGACAATTGTGCCATTCCCCAATCCCCATGCACCTTAGTGAACAGTATGAGTGGCCTGCTCGAGTATCAATGGTCGGATTCAACTAATTTAACAACGGGTTCTTTCTAATGATTGTGTTGGCGTGGCTGGGGGGCTATCATGTGACTGAGTGGGTATAGCCCACTCAATGTCACTCGCGACAAGGTGGGTTGGCACAGGCAGGTCGAAGCAGCGGTGGCAATAGCCAGAGCCTTAGATTTATCTTTGTGCAGCAACAGCGACCATAATTCTCTGGGTTTAATTGCCCGACAGTCAGAGTTTTTAAAAAAGATTTTTGCAGCAAGAAATGGCGGGTGGCTACTTCCAACTTTTGTTGGTGAAGGTGGGCATGACTCCGCCCTGAGACACTAGCCTGCCGCCGCCACCTCTTTGCCGCCGCAAATGGCCTGCTGCTGCCGTTTCTTTGCTTGCATGAATGGCCTGCCACCTCTTTGCCGGTTTGAACGGCTGCAAAATTAAAACATTAACAAACATCTTATAATTGTTTTACTTTCCTAGATAAGGTCTATGAAGAAATTTCAAGAATCATTGGGTCTGCTCAGCCAAGGATTGAACATCGAGCAAAGATGCCTTATACTGATGCAGTTATCCATGAAGCTCAAAGGTTTGCTGATATTGTTCCAGCAAATGTAGCACGAGCAACTACAGTAGATATAACCTTCAAAGGCTTTTTCATTCCAAAGGTGATTAGTCTCATATAAGTGCTTTGTTCATTCAGTGTTGGTTAGTGTATCCCTCTTAATTATTATGTCCAACCAGATCATCCTCTGCAGTTGACTGTGAACTGACAGCAAACAGCACTCCTTACTAGCACTGATGATGGGTAATGAAACGTCTGCAAGAAAACAAGCAAGCTCAGAGAGCCCCCAAGGACCACTCACTATTATAAGTCCTTCATTCCGAAGCTACTCAACCCATAATCACCCCCAAGAAATTAAATTACTGTAGGTTTTTTTTAGGGAGGAGCAGCTCTTCTAGAGCTCACATGGATAATCCCCCAATTTCTCCTTCCTCCAGAGAAATTTTCTATCTGCCAAACCTGACTCCTAGCTGGCAGGTCCACTGTTGTGCTGTCTCTGCAAAGCTATTCATAGAGACATCTAACTGGTCATAACAATTCACCTGGAAGGTGTTCCATTCCCATCACATTGGGAAATTCATGTATTTGGAATGGCTTTTTAAGCTTTCATATTAACAAGTAAACCAAAGAGGAGTGCTAATTGTTTAATAATTCATTAATACCTGCAGGGCACGCACATCGTTCCCTTGCTGACTTCTGTGCTCCATGATGAATCCCAGTGGGAGAAACCTCATGAATTCTACCCTGAGCATTTTCTTGACTCTGAAGGAAAATTTGTGAAGAGGGATGCATTCATGCCTTTCTCTGCAGGTAACATCTTCTATCATACTTATATATAACGAATGAGAGTTTCAACAACAGATTCTTCCTTTTACAATATTATTTGTAAAGAAATCACCAGAATAATCCACTCAACATTCTAAAAATGGCAAAAACTATAACGGCAAACTATTTTCAGGGATTCAGTGTAGAAGAAATGTACTGGAGGTTCATTTTTTAAAAACTACATTATTTCTATACGATTAATCTCTATTGTAAAATTTTGGATTAGTTCATTTTCATGCATGTGATTTGTCATCTCTGAGCCACCATTTCATGGCAAGAACTGCAAAATGTTATTGAAGAACCACTGAAACCAGTTTCCATGTCTTTGTTCATTGTTACAGGTCGGAGAATCTGCTTAGGTGAGACCCTTGCCAAAATGGAGCTCTTTCTGTTCTTTACCAGCCTCCTGCAGAGATTCACTTTCCAGACACCCCCTGGAATATCGAAAGAAGACCTGGACTTGACACCAGCAATTGGGTTTACAGCTCCTCCTATGCCTTATAAATTGTGTGCTCTGCCTCGTTCATAACATGAATCATAATGTTAGTTTCTAGAGTCCTTCACTTCCAAATGTGTATTTGTGACTTTTTCAATCTTCTCTTCTAGCCAGTTTCTTGGTGGAAACGTGCCATGATTATTCATACATTTTAAAGCTTACATGCCGCTTTTCAAAGCACAAAAAAAGTGTGATTTTGAGATAAAAGGTAGATTAAAAATGGATTTTAGTTTTTGTGACATTCCCTGTATATAATAAGCAATAGCTAACATTAACAGTAGAAGAATAACAGGAGTCAGTAGAAACAGCTTTGTGCAAAGATCAGTGGCACAATGGAAAACACAGTTGCTGGTCAAAGGTCATAGATTGGGAGAGATTAATATCAAGACAGACATTTTTCAAGGAGACTCGCCATCACCGCTACTGTTTTTTATTGCACTAATTCCTCTGTCAACACCACTGAATAACTCAGGCCATGGCTATCAAACATAAAAAACATCTGCTAGAATATGCCATCTCCTTTAGATGGATGATCTGAAACTGTATGGAAAAACACCATCTGAAATAAAATTGTTGCTCAAGACTGTCCATATATACAGCCGATATATTGCAATGGGGTTTCGACTGAACAGATGTACTACTCTTACCATCAAACCAGGGAAAAATAGTGGAAACTGATGGAATCAAAATGCCCATGGAAATAACATGAAAGGTTTGGATGAAGACAATTACTACAAACTTCTGTGCATCCTTCAAGCTGACAACATCAAGCACACTGAAGCCAAGAAAAATAGTTAGAAGTGAATACAGCAAGAGGGTGAAGAAGATCTTAAAGTTTAAACTCAGTGGGGGAAATACTATGAAGGCAATTAACACCTGGACAATTTCAATCATTAGATACACAGCTGGAATAATGGACTGGATTCAAGAAGAACAAAAATCCCTAGATAGGAAGACCAGAAAAATAATGACAATGAATCATGCCCTTCATCCACGCAATGACACTGAAAGACTATACTTACCAAGGAAAATAGATGGGTGTGGAATGTTCCAAGTACACCACATGGTTGAAGAAATAAAAAAGACCATTGGAAAAATACCTGAAGGACAGTGAAAAAGATTCAAGAAAGACCAAATGAAGAACAAAAAAGAAGCATGGGAAGACAAAGGATTACCTGGCCAGTACATTAAAAAAATAGCAAAGCAAATAATAACAAGAATTAGCAATGGCTAAGAGCAGGAAAGTTGAAGAAAAAGACTAAGGGGCTCATTCTGGCTGCACAAGACCATACCTTAAGAAAAAAATGCATACAAAGCCAGAATTGAGAAGACAGCAATAGATAGCAAGTGCTGTCTCTGTGAAGAAGCTAAAGAATCAGTGGATCATCTGGTTAGCTGCTGCAAAATTGCACAGACTGACTACAAACAATGACGTGACAAAGTAGCATCAATAGTGCACTGAAAAATCTGCAAGAAATACCTGTTGCCTACAATCAAGAACTCATGGAACCACAAAATACAGAAAGTAACAGAAAACGAAGATGCTAAAGTATTCTGGGACTTTAGAATTCCAGCTGATAGGCACCTGCCAAATAATGCCCCAAACTTAACAGTTGTCAATAAGAAAGACTGGCTAGTTGGAATGGCAGCAGCTGCAGACAGCAGAATAGAAGGAACTGGAGAATATAGCAAAATACAAAGACCTGCAAAAAGAAATAGAACAACTGTGGCAAAATAAAACAAAGGTAGTGCAAATAGTAATAGATACCTTGGGTGCAATCTCAAAACAATTTGAGCACCTCTTGTACACCATCAACATTGTCAAAATCACTATCAGTCAATTGTAAAAGGCAGCTTTTATCATACTACAATGATACCTCTAACACTGTCAAACATCAACATCTGCCTATCCCAGGTCCTTTGGCAGAACTTGATAGGTTGATAAAAATGCCAAATCCAATCTAAACATCTGGCTGTGTGACCAACGATAATAATAATCAACCAAATTGTGTCTTTGAGTTAATAAAAACATCAGATTAGGTGACAAACTGATCATTATGTAAAATATGTACCGTAAATAATGAAAAAGAGACAAAATGTGTCAGTTCAATACAAAACACTTCTCTATAATTTCAAGTCATTAATGTTTTGATTTTCATGGAAAAGATTATTTAAAAAATAATAAGGAAATCAATTCACATTTAGCACTATTACCTTAATCATGGAATGTTATTTAAAAAAATATATGAAAACAGAAAAGTGTGTATTATGAAATAATTGGTGGTGCAGCAGACTAAAGTGCTGTTAAATAGCACCAGCTGCCTGCAATTACTGCAAGTTCAAATCTCACCAGGCTCAAGGTTGACTCAGCCTTCCATCCTTTCGAGGTAGGTAAAATGAAGACCTGGATTGTGGGGGCAATAAACTGACTTGTATAAAAAAGAAAGCCCTACTAAGCAGGTATATACAAAAGTATGAAGGCTATTGCTTAACGCATTGTAAACTGTCCTGAGTCTCTGGAGAAGGGCGGCATATAAATTGAACCAATAAATAAATAAATAAATAAATTTACATCAAAGAATAGTAATAAATCCAAGAGGACCTCAAGTTGCACTATGTGCTCTCAGGGGTGGAATCACTCTGTCAGAAATATCCCTGGAAATGTTGGATGACTTCATTGTACAAACAGGCAACCATGTCTTGCTGGGATTTAATTCCATGCCTAACAACATGTTAGATGCTAACAGTCTCCAGATACTGGGTGAAGGCATCAAAGGCATCTCTTGCATATCAACATGATGATAATTATTTACTCTAAACATATGGAAGGCCTATTCCAGTAGTTTCATCTAAATGTGTTAATTAGTAGAGAGGAAAGATCCATATTGTTTGCACCTTCAAAACAATCAACTGAAACTCCCCGCTAAGGTAAGAGTGAAATCACTGTAAAATTGTACCTCATAGGAAGAAGGCTACCGCAGTCTATGTATCAAAGGCTGCTAAGAGGTCTAACAGGACTAGGAGTGGAGCAGTACTCTCTCCAGATCATAGGAAAAGTCAACTGCAAAGGCAACCAATATGTCTGACCCACACCTAGGTCTGATCCTTGACATAAAAGGATCAAGCTAATCGGCTTCCTAGGGGTGCTAACAGGATATGATGTCAGTAGACAAAAAGGATTTGGCTTATAGTTAAAGGGGGATAAATTACATGTTCTTTTCAGCCCCCCACCCCACCCTAGTGAGATACTGTTATTCTCTCAGATCTAGTTTCTTATAGCTCTAAATATCACTTATCAGAGCCAAGTGGGGTAGAGACCTAGTCCACAAGTCTCCAAGAAACACTAGAAAACAACTTATTAACATGTTTGGATTCCAAAGACCAAAACCAATCTGAGGTAATTTGGCGAGATTCAGGTCCAGTCATCATGTTGGATTTTGCCTAGTAAGAGTCAATACATTGTTGAAAGTAAAAAACTCTATTTGAAAGCACTGGGCAAACTGATTACAGAGGCCAGGAAGAAGTTCTATCTATTGCCATCTTTGCAGCATGGAGTAGTCCATTCTAAACAAGTAACAGTAACAGAATTGGAAGGGACCTTGGAGGTCATCTAGTTCAACCCCCTGCTCCCACAGGAGACCTAGATTACAGATTAACAGAGTTGAAAGGGACCTTGTAGGTCATCTATCCAACTCCCCACCCAAGCAGGAGACCTTACAACATTTCTGACAGTTGGCAGTCCAGTCTCTTTTTGAAAGATTCCAGTGATGAAGCTCCCACAACTTCTGAAGGCAACTTCTGTTCCGTTGGTTGATCGCTCACACTGTCAGAAAATTTCTCCTTATTTCCAGGTTGAACCTCTCCTTGTTCAGTTTCCATCCATACTTCCTTGTCTGGCCTTCAGGTGCTTTGGAAAGTAGGTTGAGTCCCTCCTCTCTTTGGCAGCCCCTCAAATATTGGAACACTGCTATCTCCTCTGGTCCTGCTTTTCACTAGACTAGCCATGCCCACTTCCTGTAACCATTCTTAATGCTGTAGCCTCCAGTCCCCTAATAATCTTGGTTGCTCTTCTCTGCATTCTTTCTAGAGTCTCAACATCTTTTTTTATAGTGTGGTGAACAAAACGGGATACAGTATTCTAGGTGTGGTCTTACTAAGGCTTTATAGAGTGGTATTAGTACCTCACTTGATCTTGAGTGTATCCCTCTGTTAATGCAATTTACGATTGTATTGGCTTTTTTGGCTGCCGCTGCACACTTTTGGCTCATATTTAATTGGTTGTCCACTAAGACTCCAAGGTCCCTCTCACAATTACTGCTATTAAACCTGGTTTCACCCAGTCTATATGTGTACTTTTGGTTTTTCTTGCCTAAGATTTTACTTTTCTCTACATTGAATTTCATTTTGTTAGATAGGACCCAGTCTGTCAAGATGCATCTGGTTCTTGAGTCTATCATCTAGGGTAGATGATAAGATACTGATTAACAGTCTGCTGCAAAGGAGGAACAATAGCATAGACTCATATTGCAGAATAGACTCATATTATTATAATGGAATAGCATATTGTAGCTCATCAATTGTTTGGTGAAGCTTGTATTTCTTAATGGATGCTGCAGATGTTGCTTTGGTGATCAAGCATTCTTGGAAATTGGGGGTGGGGGGAACGGACAGAGAGGACTTTCTCCTTCTTCTCAGTAACCTTGTCTCCAGCAGGCATAATCATAAGAAACAACAGTACATAGTAAAACAGTTGCATTAGTTTATTGCATCTCAGCAGATACTAAGTATGTATGTGCTTATTGATCAGGTTACATACATGAAAAGGAGAATGGGGTTAGGCTGAAGAATTTGGGAAAGTCCCTATTTATTAGTACATGCAATATGGTGAGTGCGCGCGTGCACCTCCACTTGCACGAGCGGCACCCCAAAGGCTGTTCTATCTTCCGTGAGTGGAGCTGCGCTTGTGTGCCGCCCCGTCACTCAGGCAGCCCGGTTCCCCACCCCATCCCACCCCACCCCGCCCTGCGACGGGCTGGCAAACCGCCAGCAACCTGATACTCTAATGACAGCAGAGTGGGACCATCGCGCCCTGCTCAGCTTCACTGACCCTCACCAAGACTGCCTGCGCAGGACACCCACTTTTCGAGTGTCGGACAGCCTCGGTAAGTCTGAAGGAGCACAAGACCACACCCGCAAAGGCTTCTCTTATCCGTGCCAAAAGCTGTTGCAAACGGATGAAAGGCTTGGGGGTGGGGGTGGGGAAGGGGCGATCTCGCGCTGCTTCAGGCCTTCCGTCCCTTTACAAAAGCTTTTGGAGCGGAGAAAGGCTTCTCTTTTCTTCCCTCCTCTCTTGCATGAGTGGAGCTGCGCGCGTGTACGCCAGCCCACCAGTCACGCAGACCCGTTTCCCTCTCACCTCTTTACCGGGCTGCCAAGCCTCGAAGGTTAGAGACTGCTGCTCTAGAGATTATTTGCTCCTATCTGTCACAGACTCCTTAACCGATAAAGCAGTGCCTCACTTACAAGATGGGACTGAAATGTCCGACTGCTCCTATTCTGTCATACTTTAAAAGCCTCCTTCTTATCACCTGTCTCCAAAAACTAACTCACAGTAACATATAGGTATGCATATCACCAGTAGTTGTCTCTAAAGAACAACAGTAATTCTCTAGTTCATTAGTTTCCAGTCCTGCAATCTAGGCCTCTGAAGGGCTTCAAACATCATCCAATCATCTCAGAAATACATCTCATGTCCTGTGTTTGACCACTACCATTTCACAATAAGTGATGTCTTATCACATAGATCAGCAACTTGAGGCCAAGATCACTACTAATTACTAGTGGGAGCCAGAAGTAAGGCAACTGGGTCAGAAATGGATTGACACATTGTTTCTCTCCCTTTCCTTGTCATAGCCACCCAGTGCCTTCTACCCTTGACCTGCCACAATCAAATCTAAATTTGTCAATCCCCCAATCCCCCCTATGTAATCTAAACATTTGAACCTGTTAACAATTTACAAATTTTTTCATAACTAATAATTCCTGATTCTCAGCAATTTGTTCCAGACACTCAGCATGAGACAAGCAGCATGGTTTTGAAGGGGAAAACATGTTGAAGATCATATGTGACAGTATAACGCTATGGACAGAAGTCCACTAGCATAATTATTTAAGAGCAACATTCCTAGAGCAATCATTCCAGTATAATGTAATGTTTTCCAAATGTTTTCTGACCAAGCTACTCAACAGAATTTATAAGGGATAATCCTTTGCTCAAGTTCAGATGGATAATTTCTTTTGAATATTTAAAACTCAGTAGGAATTCAAAGAAAAGCATTTGAATTACAGCAGCCATTACAAAGTATTCTTTTTATTTTTGAGGAAGTAAAAAGACTTAAATGCTCTACTTTTTATTTTGGTTTTATCGGTAATCAGAAAATGTTTGTTAATAGGCAGACCAATAACCTTAATCATTATCAAATAATTTTCAATACCAAAATAATACTTAATTCTAATTAGATTATTGCATTTGGCAAAAGCAGAATATAAAGAGGGTTGAACTTTGATGTTGAAGAAAATTGCTGAGAATGCCATGGATAATTAAGACAAAAAAGAAACAAATGGATCCTAGAACAAATCAATCTATAATTAATTGATTGATTGATTGATTGATTGATTCATTCATTATCTCTGTCTCTATTTTTATTAAAGTACTTTTAACAAAATAAAAACAATGCAAATATTAAAGAAGAAAATAAAGAAGAATAGTCAATAAGTAAAAAGAAAAAGGAATGGTTTCTAATCTTTTTGACAGCAGTTATAAAAGCATTTATATTTGTGGGGAAAAAATCCTGTCTGGTTCCAAGCTGGGAGAAAGATGCTGGTAATAAAATGTAGGCTGACTGGTTGGCTGTTTATTTGGTTTCCAGAAACTTCAGTGACAACAGCATGTCTCTGAGTTAGCTGACAAAATGGCTGAGTGAGTGGATGGATCTTTATAGGGTTTTGGGGGTTTGTGATTGAGATGCTCCAGGGGGTTGTGCAATGTAGTGAGCCTTCTGTCTTTTACTATTTCAATGGTGGTGGATTAATCCAATTATGTCCTAAAGGTCATGTCCTGTCCTTAAAATTTGGATGGGGGAATGTAGATTTTAATCCCATCAGCTCCAACCTTCTGTGCATTTTGTTTATGAATAGATTGACCCAGTCTTCCTGAATGGATACAAAATCTGCATTCCTAAAGGTCATCCTCTTCAAGCTTCTTGGTCTGAAGATGTTTTCCTAGTGCAGGAAGACTGGGGCTGCTTTCTGCCTTTGTTAAGATTTTTCTCCATTTCTCCTTTGAGGAAATATAATATTCTGCCTCTTTTAATATTCAGAATAAAGAATATTTTAAACTGGGAAGGGGGCGTCCCACATATTATTATTTATATCCCTCCCTCCCTGTATTATTTGTGTTTGTTATGTTCTCTGTAAAACCTTTAATAAAATATATTTTAAAAAGAGTAATATTGGTAAAATATCTTTGCATCTTTGAATTATCTGTTATCGTGGTGTTTTGACCTTGTAATTATAATATCATTTTTTCTCTTTTTCTTCCCTCAATTTATATGCAAATTATTTCTCTGGCCTATTTACAAATTCAACATTATTTTGTTTTACATAATTTATTATTACTTTCATTTCTCTTATTGTTAATTAGGAACACTGGTCACTGTAATTTTTAATTTATTGTAAAGTAGTTTTCTGGGAATTTTTAAAATAGTTCTTTCATTATTATCTCATCTAAAATTGCTTGTAAAATGTCCTCCATAAAAGCTTTACTTGCATCTCAAACCCTCCTTGGGTCTGTATCTTTATTAAAATCATCACCAAAAAAAAAAGTCTTTTAACTCCTTTTTGCAATATCCAAGTGTGTATATTCTCTAGCATCAGCATTTTTGTGTCTCCATATGCATCTACAAGATCTATGTTGTCCATCATACATATATCAAATTGGAATTTATCTCATATCTATTTTAATAACTTTTTCAGAACTTCTATTCATATGCTGATGCACTTCTTTAGCCTTAAAGAACCAAATTGCAGCCATTTATGATGATCCACAATCTATCATTACTCCTTTGTTGCCACTCATGGGCAAATGCCAAGAAAAAGAGCCTTGATAGTACAGTGGTTTAGTGCACCCTGTTATTAACATCTGCTGCTTGCAATTACTGCAAGTTCAAATCTCACCAGGCTCAAGGTTGACTCAGCCTTCCATCCTTTCAAAGGTAGGTAAAATGAGGACCCAGATTGTGGGGGCAATAAGCTGACCTTGTATAAAATATACAAAAGAATGAAGGCTATTGCTTAACGCATTGTAAGCCGCCCTGAGTCTCCAGAGAAGGGCGGCATATAAATCAAATTTAAAAAAAAAAAAAAAACAGCCTGTAGAAATGTGAGTTTTTTTAAAAATTGTGTGTCAGCTCCCACCTACAACATCTTTTTCACATATAAGGTTACATAACTCTCCAAATTAAAGTGCCCCAAACCAAGAGGAAATAAAACACGGAAACTTGTTTACTTAAATAAGATATCATATGTAGACTACAAGAAATACATCCTGTTCCCCATTCAGATAACCAGAGTCACGGAAAATTCCCCAACATAATGTGAAATGATTGAATAATTATTCAACAAGGCATGCCTGTGTTGATTCTGGGCCCAGTTAATTTGATGCAATTTACTTGGTTCCTTGACTAAACAGTGAACATTTACCCCTGAAGATTCTGTTAATTATTGTTTTAAACATGAAGATTTCACAATAAGTTGTGTACTCAGTAAAAGCAATTATAACAGATTATTAACATCTGTCTAAAATTTGTCACATTGTGGAGTGAAAAGGAGTTTAAACCTATTTGCAAACCTTTCTGAGTCTAAACTATGTAGACTCCCACATAGACATATATCAGTCAAATTAAACTAAGGCAAAGGTTGCTGAGTATACAGTAGATGTCAATATGATGATTCTGTATAAATAGTAGCTGGGATATGTCTAATGCAGTGCTTTGAAATTCATGCTTGTTTCATTTCAATTTACAGAAGTCATTGCAATTACTACTGAAAACTGCTCTGTGAAAGGAAATGGATTGGATTGGACCCATTCTAATATTATTACTATTTATTCTTGCAATTATGTTCCCTTTGAAAAAGGGCAGTTCCTGGAATAACAACTGCCCCAATCTCCCCCCGGGACCCAGGACCATACCCATTTTGGGAAATCTACACATGATGGATCTGAAGAGGCCTCACAAAACAATGATAGAGGTAAAGCCTGATGATTAAGAAGGTTGAAGGTTCTTTGCCAAAGTTTACTTGCCATAAATTTGTAGATACTGAATGTGTTTCCTGTTCATGTGTTTCCTGTTGGTTTTTCATCTTTATGCAAATGTTTAAAAAGGGAGGATTTATTTGGTATTTAAATTCATTTAAATTTTACAAGAGGATTATTCCAAGAAAAGCAATTTGTTATTATTTTTCTAATAATGTACTCAAATTTGAAGAGATGGATAAAAAGCCCTTGAACTCTTGGGGAAATATAAATGAGCATATTCTTTAAGTTCTTTCTTTAAAAACTTCACACAATCAGCTTCAAAAACTAGGAACAATTAGAAAGTATTTGTGTGATCTTTTCAACAACCTGGCAGAGGCCCAGTTTCTCTTTTAAGAAATCCCACTGTATGTCTAGACCCCTTTAAAACTTTCAAGTTTTAAAATGTATCAGTTTGATATGATCTAGTGTGCAAGCATCCTTTTACTACATAAGTGTTTTTATTTGTTTTACATAATTATATATGGTACATTTAAAGGTACTAACCAAAATAACAGTTTCATAATGTGCCATAAAAAAAAAAAAGAATGTGACCTCAATCTTGGAACTGTGATACATGATTTTTAAAACAAAATTCTACCTATGTGAGTCTAATTGTTGATCAAAATTGTCTCTTGTTTTTCATCTGCTATATCCCAGTTGTCAAAAGAATATGGTCCCATTTTTCGTCTTAAAATGGGATTCCAGGAGATGGTGGTGCTGACTGGCTATGAGACAGTCAAAGAGGCTCTAGTGAACCAGGCTGATGCATTTGCTGAGAGAGCCTCCGTCCCCTTTTTTGAGGATGTTGCAAAGGGCTTTGGTGAGTTGTTTCATTTTGGGTTGTAGCTGACATTCTTTGCAGATGTGCAATCAGTGCCATGGAGACATTTTCATAGGTAGTAACGTAAAAGGACTAGGAAACTTGTGGCGATCCAATCCAGAGTGACCACTTCTACTACATTTAGTCGTCACTAGGGGGAGCTGGAGAATAAAAAGACAAGACAGCATTGTACTAACAGCTTGAGTCATACACAGACAGAAACCCACAACAGTTTTGGTTCTGTTTTTTTTTTTCTTTCTCAAATTTGGGGTGTGGAAGGTCCTGCCGTTTTGTCTGAATTTTTCTCTTTGTATACATAGTTTTGCTTATTTTTGTTCCCCAATATTAATTTTTATCCATCTCTCAAGGATCATTTCTTCATAAGATATGTACAATGTGCACAACACAGAGATGCATTGCCACAGATTTCCATTTAAAAAAATACTTCAATGATATTAGCCCCAAGCTATGGAATGGAGAATTTGCAATGCTTATTTCAAGTGTCTAGTGAGTGCAGTGGTTGGGACTGATTCATTTGTGAATTTCTCTCCCCCCCCCTCTCTCTCTCTCTGTGTGTGTGTGTGTGTGTGTGTGTGTGTTTCTCCCAAAGGTTCACTCCACTTGGATCATAATCTGCCATGTCTTTTGGCAAGACACCCCTGGCTATTTTACACACTGGACTTTAGCACTTACTTATATAGACAGCATTTTTTTTTTTTAAAAAAAAGCATACCTTCAGTACAGAGTATTTCCAATGCTTCAGGAAAGAGATGAATAAATGTTTTGGTATAAAGACCACATGCAGTTTTCTACACTCTTCATTTCTGATGCTGTAAGAATGCTGGAAATAACTTCAGGAATTATTTTTCAGGTATTATTTTTTCTCATGGTGAGAACTGGAAAGTGATGCGACGGTTCGCATTATCCACATTACGGGACTATGGAATGGGCAAGAGGACCATTGAAGGCAAAATCACAGAAGAGTGCAGTGTCTTAATGAAGACAATTGAAACCTATGCAGGTGGGTTGGTGTTTCCTCCTGATGCTCTTTTGGAGCATCTTTCAGGACAAAAGATGCTCCAAAAGAAAATAGCTTCATTGTGTTATATCAAATGAACAAGGGCTGCTTTTGAAATACTTTCCCTCCAATAATTCTTAAATCCATTTTCCCTATAAATTTGCTTTATTGTCTAATGTATGCTAAGTAGGATTTTTCTTGAATTAATATTTGTATAAACATAACACATGTCGAATCCTTCTGGTAGCGTTCATATAAAAAACAATCTCTAATTCTATATTCTTGAATATGGTGCAGAGCAACTTTTAAGAGTAGATCAAAGCAGTTTCTTTATTGTTGATCACCTATATTACAAGAATTTCACCAGACTGGCTGCATTCCCTTGGGAACCAATAGATAAGTCTTCACTAGTTTGGTCTATGATATTTCCTTCCTTGGAGCAACTCTATATTGCCACACTTTTAACTCTCCCATTTTCTTTAGCCAGTGATTCCACTACATCTAGAATGTGCTAATGGTCTCTTTTTAATAAAAGTTCTAGGATAAAATTAATTGAGGAATGTTAGGTTTGCATACCTATACATAAACATGAAAATGTGTTGCATGCTTAGACATATTAGAACAATAGGGATATTGTTCTTCCTGCTTTGGATCAATGATAATCATTTTGCAGTTTCTCAAGGAACAAAAGCATATAATTTACTTTTATTAAGTGACCTAGAATACATACTTCATATCCTACTAAATTCAACAATAAAAGTATCACTTCTAAATTGTCAATATTGGACTCTCTATTACTGTTAGTTTAGCTCAGTCATAAGGCTCAAACTGCAATTGATTCATTTATTCAGCATTACACCTCACTAGCAATTAACATAAAGAAGAAAGAATTCCCTATTTTCCAAAATATTAGTCCCTAAATAATTTCAACTGATAACATTTGTTATATATGTTGCAGTATTTGGGCTGAAAAATTCTGTGTGACCATAGGATAGTAACAAAAAGATACACAAAGCTCTAAACGTTTACACTTATGGTTCTCTGCATTTTTGCAATTCAGAAATGATCTGAATAAAACTTACTATCCATTGACATGAGAAATAGGAAAAAATAGATGCCCCGTGATATAAAATTAATCTAAAAAATTAAAGCTTATTTCTCTTGTTATCAAATGGGGTTTCACTTGGATACCATTTCTACATACCTACAAACTCATCATGCTGTTTGCTTTTTGTTAAGACAGTTGCAATAAAGAAAGACATTTTTTTTAAACAAAAGCAATATATAGTGTCTACAAACACTGTTCACTCTACTTCCCTATACTATTCTAGCCTTGCAAATCATACGTCCTATCACCAGGTCAAGATAGGGCTTTCTACATTGTCTTCTGTCCTTCAATCTTCTCATCACCCTACTTTTGAGGATTTCCTTTACTCCATCCAGCCACAATATACTTGATCTTCCATCTCCTCTCAACCCATTTATGCTTCTTAATAAATTAGTTCTGTAATTTGATTTGCTTTCATTTTCTCTGTATAACTAAACTGCCTAAATGTGCTTCTTTTATTTTCCACTGCATCCATCTTATTTTTTGTGTTTCTTCTGATATATGAATTTCCATATAACCAAGTGGGCAGAAGCTTTCTCTTATACCCAGCAAATTTGATGCTCCCTGATCAACCTTGAACCTTTTGCTGCACTTGCCATTTATTCTCATGCATGTTTTAATGCATCATGAACTATTCTTACCATATTCAGCACTCAGTTGCCCACTCATGGAAAATAAAGCATAAACCAGTTTCTTAACATTAATATCAATAATATACAGTAAACTACCTGCTCATGTCTACTTATGTCTAGTTTAGTTTAGTTTAATTTATTCAAGTACACACATTCTCATTTGAAGAGAATTTCTCCAACTAAATCAACAAACCACCTTGTCATATTTCTGAAATACAATGTAAAGTATACAGAGGAAGGTGTTGAATTGTATCACAGATCCTAAGTCTGTGTAGGGTTCATCAATGCAAATGTATTTCAATTTCTGATAGGAATATATTTAAATTCAATATCTGGAATATAAGGTTTAGGGCATAGTTATTTGAAGGGCTGCTTGTATTCCATAGTTTCCACTCAGCCAGTTTGTGCTAGCAGAGTTGGTGTGCTCCAGGTTCCTTCAATGAAGCAGTGCCATTTGTTAGGATGCAGGAAACACACCTTCTGTGTTGTGGCACCTGCCCTCTGGAACAAATCTCCCTTGAAATCCATGTGGGTTCTACCTTGTTGGTGTTCCATAAGGCCTTGAAGGCTCGTGTGTTCTCTCAGACCTTGAATTAAAGTGGATGGAATAACTTTTTGAATGTGTTTTTACATTGAGCAACCGGATTCCACCTTGGTGCAGGTTTTTTTGAATTATGTATTTATCTTTATTATATGGTGAATTGCCCAGAACTAGTCTGGAGTCAGGATAGGCACCTAAATAGCCCTGATGATGTTACCTAGTTTGGTAATGAAATGTTTGCAAGAAAACAGCCAAGTTTAGAGAACACCAAGGACCCCAGAGTTACTAATCTATGTTCAGAAACTACAATTGTGCCTTTGTAGTAATGCGTTACCATTAAAATACTTTTTCCCATTTCTTAACTTAAATATTTCTAATTTCATCAATACTGGCTGTAAACTTTTATGGTGAATGTTTCCTTTATGTAATCTGACGGAGTCTAAATGCAGTGAAGAGCAGCTTTAATCCTGGCATTTTTTTCACAGTCCTGTTTTAACTTATTTTTCATTGCTCAGGAAAACCATTTGATATCACAACAATAATGGGAGCTGCTGTTTCCAATATCATTGTTTCTATTTTATTTGGCAAGCGATATGACTATGAAGATGCCACGTTTCTACGACTACTGAACCTATTCAGTGAAAATATCCAACTTTCAAGAACCTTTGATATTCTGGTAATCTCATTTTTCATTTGAAGAAAAAAATTGTGACATAGAGGCCGCATAATATGTGTCATTGAGCCCTTTTTTCTTTTTTTGCTTTAATTTAAATGCCGCCCTTCTCCGGAGACTCAGGGCGGCTTACAATGCGTTAAGCCTTCATACTTTTCTATATTTATACAAAGTCAGCTTATTGCCCCCACAATCTGGGTCCTCATTTTACCTTCCTTTGAAAGGATGGAAGGCTGAGTCAACCTTGAGCCTGGTGAGATTTGAACTTGCAGTAATTGCAAGCAGCAGATGTTAATAACAGAAATATATATTGCCATATATATTTCTGTATGTATACTTAAAGAAGTATGTATACTTAATTCCTTACTTAATTAATTAAGTATGTATACTTAATTCCATTATTCTCTCAATATATAAAAATTGATAAGTGGAACCTTCTAATTATCATCCAATTAGTTTTCTTTTAGTAAATAGCAAACAATAGAATATGGCAAGGAATTTATACCATAATTTTTTTAATAGACTGTGCTCAAATACCATAAGTGTTTGAACACTATGGTCTGATGAAATGTTACAATCTGCCAAATGGAGTGGTCTCTGTTGTCTTCATAGATTTAGAGGTGACTTTGACTATATCTCTCAAAATAAGTTTAGGGGGAAAAAATTAATAGCCTCTATTTTTGATCTCGAAGTGATTATGATATTACATCAAAGCTTGACCAGGATAATTGGGAATGAATACACCCCATTAGAACTCAAAGACAAAAGTGAATCAAAATACTATGAAGTCTGGAATAAATTTTACAATTGGTTAGATAAGAGGAAAAATGCCAAAAACAAAGGATAACAAATGTCTGGAAATGTATATATCAATGTATGTTAATATATCAATGTATATTGAACTTGTGAATGTAAATACATGCATAGTTGGTTAGGAAGTAAAATACTGTATACTTGATACATAATGAAGTAGGAGATATGTAAATTTGTATATAGAGCAAGAAATAGATTATTCATTAACTTGATTTTGACGTAAATGTTAGAAACCAGAGACGTTGATCAATGTCCATTGTTTTACTTTTAAAAAATATCAGATTTTCATCCTCCATAAAATAAATAAAACAACTGGAAAGGACTCCTTGCTCAAGCAGGAGGCCTTATAATATTCTGGACAAATCTCTTCTTAAAAACCTTACTAATGGAGCACCCACAACTTTTAAAATCAAGCTGTTCCACTGATTAATTGTTATCATTATCAGAAAAATTCTCCTGACTTCCAGGTTGGGTATCTTCTTGATAAGTTTCTGTTTGCTCATTTTTGTAAAGAAATTGTTCACCATGAGTCCTTGATCACTCTCGGTTACCACTGTTGAGCCATTCTATACATGTGCATTTCTTTTGTTTTGTTTTTGCCTTAGTATAAAGCCTTACTTTTCTCACTCCTGAATTGCATTTTGTTGGACAGAGCCCAGTGGTCTAATCTGTCAGAATACTTTTGAATCTTGAGCCTATCTCTTACAGTGTTGACTATTCATTCCCAGCATGGTGTTGCCTGCAAATTTGATTAGTTTTCTTCCTATTCCTTCATCTAAATTGCTTATGAAGAGTACTGAGCCAAAACAGAACCTTGGGATAGCCCAATGCATGCTTCCCTCCATATAGATGTAGTTCCATTGAGAACTACATGCTGATTGCAAGAGACAGTTGTGAACCCATCTGGTGGTGATGCTGTCTATCCCACATTTTTCTATATTACCAAGAAGTAGGTTGTGGTTTATTTTGTCATATGCTTTACTGAAGTCCAAGGATATTATATCCACACATTTCACTGGTCCATTAGTTTAGTCATTGGTCCACTAATTTTGTTAAAGAATGAGGTGAGATTTGTCTGGCATGATCTGTTTTTGCCAATCCGTGTTGCCGTCCAGTAATAGCCTTGTTTATTTCTAGGTATCCACAGATCCATTGTTTGATTATCTTTTCCAGGATTTTCCCAGGTATTGATGTCAGGCTGATTGATTTGTAGTTTCCTAGATCCATTCTTTTTTGCTTTTTTGAAGATGGGAATCACATCAGTTCTTTGGTAGTTCCTCGGTGTCCCAGGAGTTTGAAAGATATGGCTCAGTGTTTCCAAGATCATGTCTGCCAGCTCCTTCAGAACTCTGGGATGTACTCCATTTGATACTGGGGACTTGAACTCATCTAGGGTGGATTGATGTTGTCTTACCATTTTCTTGCCTATTTTGATTTGTATTCCTAATCTGTCTTTTATGGTATTGCTTTCAATAGATTGGACTGTTTTTTTTTTCCTTTTTGGAAAGACAAATGCAAAGAATGAAGTAAGGAGCTTCTTGGTCTGCGAGACTCCCCCCTCTCGCAGGCTTGGCCCTCCATTCTATCGAGGGCCTACCTCGATGACGGGCTCTGGAGTCCCGAGAGGTGGCATGCCGCAAAGAGGGGGCTGCGGGGTTTTTTAAAATTGTCCTTGTTTAAACTTTTAAGGGGTTCTGGGAGGGGGGAGGGGGGTGGGATTGGAATTAGGATTGTGGGTTTGGAGGATAACCCACTAGGGGGAGAGTCGGGCTTGGCCAGGACGTTCGGCGGGGGTGGTGGGGGATCCGGAGGGGGTCGAGCTGGTCCAGACTATGCTTTTACCATCGGTACTGTGTGTGGGAGGGGTAGATATGGCGGGAGCAGGGGGCCATATCATGTTAAGGGAGCACGCACCCGCTGTCTTCAAGCGGTAGAGTGCTCCGGCCCCCAAGACTCCACCCGTTCTCCAGGTAGTACAGACCTTCAGGGCCCGGGCCTTCGTTTGATGTTGTGCAACGCCAGGTCTGTAGTAAATAAAGCCCCCCTCATCTGTGATCTTGTTTACGAGGGGGGAGCGGACCTGGCGGGTATTACGGAGACCTGGTTGGGCCCAGGGGGAGGGGTCCCTCTGGTAGAAATGTGCCCACCAGGTTTCCACGCATTCCATCAGCCAAGGTCACAGGGGAGGGGCGGGGGAGTAGCGGTTATTATTAGAGAAGGCCTTAAGCCGAGGGAGACCACTGTACCTCAGACAGCTGGTTGTGAGTCCCTCCTTGTGAAGTGGGGCCACGGGGTTCAGATGGGTTTGCTGATCACGTACCTGGCTCCCTGCCACGTGGCGGCAGCCCTGCCCGAGCTACTCAACGTTATTGCCACGGTGGCGGTTGATACCCCCAGACTTATGGTCATGGGGGATTTCAACCTGCCATCCGTGGGTGAGGCGTCTGAGGTGGCTCGGGAGTTCATGGCTTCCATGACGGCCATGGACCTGACCCAACTAATTCATGGCCCTATGCACACTGGGGGAAACACACTGGACTTGGTTTTTGTCTCTGGACAGTGGTTGAGTGATCTCGAGATAGGGGGTATAGTCATCGAGCCCTTGTCATGGTCAGATCACTCACTCCTTTGCCTTGACCTTCGAACCGCAGCACCCCGCCGCAGGGAGGCGGAACCGGTAAGATGGTACCGCCCCAGGCGCCTGATGGAACCTGATAGGTTCCAGATGGAGCTTGGGCCAATCCCGGAGGTTCTGGCTCACGCCTCATCTGGGGACCTAGTGGCCGCCTGGGATAGGGCGGCTGCTGGAGCCCTGGATCGAGTCATGCCTTTGCGGCCTCTGACCCAGCGCCGATCTCGCCTGGCTCCTTGGTTCACCGAGGAGCTGAGGGAGATGAAGCACCGGAAAAAACGCCTAGAGAGCTGTTGGAGGGCTAGTCTTGTATGACAAAATCACTCAGATTCGGGCAGGTCTGGACTCTGACGGGATAGATCCAGCGAGGGTGACGGAGACAGGTCTTGAAACTGTTATCTGGGATGAGTTTGATCCTGTGACCCCAGATGACGTGGACAGGATTCTGGGTAGATTGAACACGACCACATGTTTGTTGGACCCGTGTCCCTCCTGGTTAGTGCTGGCTTCCTGGGAGGTGACGCGAGGCTGGCTCCAGGGGATTATAAATGCTTCGTTGGGTGAGGGTGTCTTTCCCGCCGCCTTGAAAGAGGCGGTGGTAAGGCCTCTCCTCAAGAAGCCTTCCCTGGACCCGGCAGTATTGGCTAATTATCGTCCAGTCTCCAACCTTTGCTTCATTGCGAAGGTTGTTGAGAGTGTGGTTGCGCAACAGCTACCCCAGTACCTGGAGGAAGCATCGTATCTAGATCCATTCCAGTCGGGCTTCAGGCCTGGGTACAGCACGGAAACGGCATTGGTCGCGTTGGTTGATGATCTCTGGAGGGCTCGGGACAGGGGTTGTTCCTCTGCCCTGGTCCTGTTAGACCTCTCAGCGGCTTTTGATACCATCGACCATGGTATCATGCTGCACCGGCTGGAAGGGTTGGGGGTGGGAGGCACCGTCTTACGGTGGTTCTCCTCCTTTCTCTCTGACCGGTCGCAGTCTGTGTTGACAGGGGGGCAGAGATCGACCCCGAGGCCCCTTATATGTGGGGTGCCGCAGGGATCGTTTCTCTCGCCCCTTCTGTTCAACATTTATGTAAAGCCGCTGGGCGAGATCATCTGTGGTTTCGGGGTGAAGTACCATCTGTACGCTGACGACACCCAGCTGTACATCTCCACCCCGGACCACCCCAACGATGCCCTTGAAGTGATGTCCCAGTGCCTGGAGGCTGTATGGATCTGGATGGGGAGAAACGGGCTCAGGCTCAACCCATCCAAGACCGAGTGGCTGTGGTTTCCGACGTCCCGATATAGTCAGCTGGCGCCATCGCTGGCTATTGGGGGCGAAGCATTGGCCCCCACGGAAAGGGCTCGTAACTTGGGTGTCCTCCTGGACTCACTGCTTTCTTTAGAAGAGCACTTGACGGCCGTGACCAGGAGGATTTTTCATCAGGTTCGCCTGATTCGCCAGTTGTGTCCCTTTCTAGATCGGGACTCGTTACGCACAGTCACTCATGCCCTCGTCACCTCTCGTCTGGACTATTGTAATGCTCTCTACATGGGGCTCCCCTTGAGGTGTACCCAGAGGCTCCAACTGGCGCAGAATGCGGCCGCACGGGTGGTTATGGGAGCAACATGGAGCTCCCATGTAACACCTCTCCTGCGCGAGCTGCACTGGCTCCCGGTGGTCTTCCGGGTGCGCTTCAAGGTTCTGGTTACCATCTTTAAAGCGCTCCATGGCTTGGGACCTGGTTACTTACGGGACCGCCTACTACCATCAACAGCCTCTCACCGACCAGTACGCTCCCACAGAGAGGGGCTCCTCCAGGTGCCGTCGGCCAAACAATGTCGGCTGTCGGCCCCTAGGGGGAGAGCCTTCTCTGTGGGGGCACCGACGATCTGGAATGAGCTCCCCCCAGAGATACGGAGGATTCCGGATCTGCGCACCTTCCGCCGCGAGTTGAAGACGCTTTTATTTCATCAAGCTGGCCTCGCCTAAATCTTCTCCCTTTTAAGTGTAAATTCTAAATTTTTAATGTATTTTAAAATATGGGTATCTTAAATTATTGGTATTAATTCAGCCAAATTTATTTAATTCATTTTATTCGATTTTAAATTTTGTATATCTATGTGTTTTATCTCATGGCTGTGCACCGCCCTGAGTCCTTCGGGAGTAGGGCGGTATAGAAATTCAATAAAATAAATAAATAAATAAATAAATAAGGAGTTCTGCTTTCTCCCTGCTGCCTGTCACCTCTTTGCCAGCTTTTTCCATTATTGGATTGATCATTTCCTTGGATTTTTTCTTGTTTTCTTTACATGTTGAAAGAAACTTTGTTTTAATAATTTTTGATATTTGTTGCAAGTCAACAAATGGATTCCATACTCCCAGAATATATTTCAATCTCTCATATGAAAAAGATACCTGTACATCTCATATCTACTATAAACACATAAGAAATAAGAATTCATAACCTCAATTATGAGAAATTTTAATTCCTCTCACATAATGAAGAAGTCACTGTTTTTATTTTGTTAGATGCATCAATGGTAGAACCTCTATCTGCTGGTAGAATTTCTATCTGTGCCTTTAGCCTGAGTGGTTTCTTCTTCTTTATAGTTTTGGTTGTTTTGGTTTCATGTGATTCTTTATGCATGGATTTTAGTTGTATATGCTTAAATGCTTGTTATCTTGGACTCAGATAATAAAGCAAACAACAATAACAATATCATCACATTATTACAAAGCATACTCCTTGTCATGGATGTTTGCAGCAAATTGCATCCAAAGGATGACATGAACATGATATCAGGATTAAAATTCCACTCTTATGTAGCTGCATGCAAACTCCTCAGTGACGTATGCAAATCACTTTAACACTTTCATGATGCACACTTCAACATTTCCTCTCCCTCCCTCTACCCTCTACCTGAATACACTCAGATGGGAAGGATGGGAACCTTCATTGCAAATAGTTTCTCCATCTTTTTTTCCCTTTATACTGCACAACCCTAAAAGTTTTAAAAAACCAGAACTTAATTTGGCTTCAGTATAAATGATTATACTGATCATTCCCATTGCTTGTTAGGGAATCAACAGATGTGAGCAAGAGGAACTCATTCAATAGTATGTTAAAAAATATGCACTTCCTCTTCCAATAACTATGTGGAATTTCAATCCCTGGGATTTAGGCCTCAATGAATTAGAAATGCTGATTATCCATAGTTCTCCCTCAATCATATGTTTTTTTATTACTGTGATTTATTTGTATAGACATATGGACAACATGTATTCACTCGATGTCCACCTGAGAAATGTACTCAAAGTATTCAAATTCCTTAATATATTTTTCTTCTATCATTATTTTAGATATACAATATGTTTCCCAGGTTGGGGCTCCTTTTGGGTTCTCGTAAGATAAGACTGAACAATAGAAAGGAATTCCATACTTTCCTACAGGCCACTTTTATAGAACATCTCAATGATCTTGATGAAAATGACCAGAGGAGTTTTATTGATTCATTTCTTGTTCGGCAAAGAGAGGTAATGGATTATTTATAAATGTCTGGAATTATCTATATTTGTTTTTACACATTTTAAAAAGGTACCTCCATATAAACTACATGCAGGTTGTTTAAGACCCTTCCTTTAGGAAAGTAGAAGAAAACTAATTTCTGGCAGTTTTATTCTTGCTTCATTTCTTTGTTTCATAGTCTGCAGCACTAAAGTCAAAGCCAATTAAATTTCCCCATTAAAAATATCCTCAATAGAGAAGGATAGGGTCTATTGTGGGTGGCTCCAAGGAATTTCCATTTGGGGATATTTAGGGTCAACCCTTCAGTGCAGTGTGTGAACATTTTTTGCCTTTAAATATATGACTTCACATTTTTTTTCCATTCCAGTTAATGTTTGAAGCACAGTGTCTCTCAATTTGTTTTGGGACTAAAACTTCAATAATCCTTTATAATTTTGTAAAAGGGAGCAGATTTGGAGGGCAATATATTATCCATTCAAGAAGTAGCCTCTCAGCCTTCTGGAATTTATGTCACATCAATACACTAAGTTTCCTTGCTGGTGTTTTTTTCTTGGTACAATTTAGGAGAAGAAGAAGACTACTGAGGGATATTTCCACTATGAAAACTTTAGAAGTGTTGTGAGTAATTTATTTGTTGCTGGTATGGAAACGATTTCAAATACTCTGCGCTGGGCCATACTCCTAATGATGAAATTCCCAGGAATTCAGAGTATGTTTCATTTTATTGCTTTTCACGCTATTGCCTACAACTTAAATAGTGATGCTTCTGGAAAGGGGATCAAGAATCCTTTCCAATAAGAAACATAAAATATGTTTGCAGCAATTAGCATATACAGAACTAATTCAGAAATCTTTATGGGAATTTATGGCTTGGAAAATTTAATAAAAATATCATAGTTTGAAAAGGAAATTCAACTTTTGAAATATGTTTTATTGTAATATAAATTAGTTAACAAAATTCTTAGTGCATTGACACTAAATATGGAAAAATGATCTGACTTGATCATTAAGCTTTGAACAATTTGCAGTAAGTGTTCATTTTAGCTTTCTGGGGTACAATGAAAGTCCAGTAATAAAACATTTTACATCAGGTTTCTCTGTGTATCACATTCAGTGTAAATGTGATGCTCTTTTTTCTATTGATATTTCCATTGTTTGCATATGTGTATACATGTAAATCCTGCATCCATTATGTTCCCATCCTACAATGAACCAAGACTGATCAAATTTACTATGAACCATAATGTATTTTAGTTATGATCAAGACACATCTCTACATGTCCACTCAACATTTCATTCTGGCTTGAAAATTAGAGTTTGATACAATGGCTACCGCATCAAGTTAGAAACCAGGAGTTTGTGAGTTCTAGTCCTGCCTTAGGCACAAAAGCCACCTGGGTGACCTTGGGCCAGTCACTTTAAGCCCAACCCACCTCATAAGGTTGTCCTTTTGGTGCAATTAGGTGGTGGAAGGAGTATTAGGAATGTTTGCCACCTTTAATTACTTATAAAATAATAAAGGTGGGATAAAAATCTAATTAATAAAAAGAAATCAACACAGATTAGTATCACCAAATCTCTACTAAAATGTCCATGGATTCATAGCCTTCTCTTTTAATGTTGCAGAAGAAATATTTCTTTTTTTAAAAGTTTTTTTAATTGTTTACACAAACAAACAAACAAACAAACAAACACACAATGTATTTTTTCTGAACAGAGTATTTGCCAGTTCACAAATTTAAACAGTTTTTAGTCATTTCAACTAAGTTTACAATTTATATATTTTTGCCATAATATTTATTCTCTCTATTTTTTAAAAAACACTATTAGCCTTCATCCTAACCTCTAATCTTAACCAAAATCAATTTTTCCCTTCATCTCTATATTAAACCCCTTAAATTTAAAATCTCACAAATATAATTCCTAGTATTCCCTTATATTCCTTTAATATAATCACTAATGTTTTCCGTTGTCAGTTGTTTCAATATCTAACATCTTCATACAAATCAATTAATTATGTGGTGTTTCAATCATTCATTTCTTATAAAAATAGTAAACCCAATTGTTTTATACCATACATTTCCTTAAATCTTATTCCAAATAATACAATCCAACTTCTTAATAAAAATCAGTTAATTATATAGCCATCTTTTCTCTTTATATAAAAATAATAAACCAAATAACTTTCTAAGATATAATTCCTTGAATCTTCTCTAATTTTCAATTATTTTATCAAACATATGTATTTATACCTCTTCAAACAACATCTTAATTATTTCTGCTTTCATCACAATCTAATTTGTTCATAATACAATATCATTTCATTTTTTCATTTTTTGATTAGGTTCCAAATATGCAATTAAAAATATTCCAATCGTTACAATTTCCCTAATCAAATTTGGAGATATTCTAGCTGTTATCCTCTAATTTATTAAACTTATTCATATTTCTAAAACTTATCATTATATAAATTCCAACAGTGCAATTAAGAATATTCCAATTGTTACAATATCCATAATTTTAGTTAAAAATATTCAAACTATTACATATTTCTAAAAATTATTTCAATTCATCAATTCTTATTTCAGTTCTAATTATATGTAACATATTCCTCTTTCATTTCTTTCTCCCTTCCCCCTTTCTATTTCTATTTTTTTTCTTTTTCTTTCCCCTTCTTTTCTTTTGTGTTTTAAAATCTTGAACTCTCCTGTTTTGCCCTGTATTTCCCATTATTTTCCATCTCTTTTCCCTTTTTCTTATTTTCCTACTGTTAGTCCCAGTGTAATCATTTTGTGTTTCAAAGTCATGGACTCTTCTATTTTGCCCTGTGTTTCCTGTTGTTTTCCATCCCTTCTCCCTCTTTTCTGTCTTTCCACTGTTAATCCTAGTGTAATTATTTAAGTTTTTTATATTCTTTCTATTCCACCCTTTTCCCCCTCTTTGTCTCTTTCCACCTTTCTATTTTTTCCATTGTTAATTCCAATGTAATCTTTAAAATTCTCCTTTTTATTATTACTACCCACATCATCATTTAGTTTTCCATAGTCAATCTTGTTGTCTTTGTCTTCTTCTTTATTTTCAATCTCTGTGTCTTGCTTCTCATTTATTATTTCCTTGTCAGCTTGAATATACTCTAACACAATTTTTGGATCATCAGATTTTGGTTCTCCATGCATCATTGTAATTATTTCCCTTACTTACGTTTTCAGTGACAAATACATAATTTTCATCATTTCTCTAATTTCCTGCACCATTTTATTCTTTCCCCGATTAGTATTGTTCCAATTAAAAGTTTCGTTGTATTCCTCTTTCTTTAATAATCAAAGTCAAGCCGCTTACAGACAAACAAATCCTGCTTAGAAGTTCTCACGGCTGTTATCACCAACAAAGTTCAAGGTTTTTTTCAAAGCAAAAGTTCAGTGTTGTAATGATCTTATTTCTCCTTTAGATGTCTCTCTACAATCCACAATTCCAATCAGCAGCCTAAAAAAGTATCCATTCTGTTTGCAATCTACGTTAACAGTCTTTGCTAATTTTTTCCTCTTTTCTTCTTTTTACCTTTATATATGCCAAATCAGTTTTAAAATCCAATCCAAATTACACAGTCTGTTTTCCCCCTCTTTTTTTTTTTTTTTTTTGGGTACAAAACTTCTATTACAGGGCTTAATTTCCAATTTCTCTTTAGTTTTTCTCCAACATTCAAAAAAGGATCTGCTTACTTTATTTCCAATCCTTTACACAGTTATGGGATTTTATTGCAGAAGAAATATTTCTGACTGCACTAAAACAGATTGAAATGTCTACAAAAAGACTTTACCATATTTAAAAATTGTCACTAACAATAACATTTTTTATCTTTTATTTTTTCTTTAATATATGATCAAGTTTATTCATGTTTTAGTACCAGTATCAAAAAATGCCCACAATTCTGATTGTTTAAATATATATTATTGATTTTTTTCTGCCAGGGAAGGTCCAAGAAGAAATTGCAAAAGAGATTGGGGTTCGTCAGCCAAGGACAGAGGACCGGGTCAAAATGCCTTATACTGATGCCGTAATTCATGAAGTTCAAAGGTTTGCTGATATTGTTCCAAGCAATTTGCCCCATGCAACCACCATGGACATAACTTTCAAAGGCTTCTTCATTCCCAAGGTGACCAGTCTGAAATCACTACATAGTACAAGATTTAGTCTATTTTTTACAGTGTAAGGTAGAATTTTGTTAGAGTACTATGCAGTTTTTACTAACTATGGCAGTTAAACTTTTTTGAACATGTGCATTTTTCCATGCCTAGCATATACCTCTCATTATTTAAAAATCCATACATTTGCAATATCTCCTTTAAAATTTTGCAAATTTCTATAGGAATGTATTAAATAGACACACTTTTAATATAGTTCTTTTCCTTTCAATGTGTAGGGAATGCAGATTGTTCCATTGCTATCATCAGTGCTCCATGATGAATCCCAATGGGAGAAACCCTATGAATTCTATCCTGAGCATTTTCTTGACGCTGAAGGAAAATTTGTGAAAAAAGATGCATTCATGCCTTTCTCTGCAGGTAAGATTCTCTGTACATGTGTGATTGTGTCCAGAAATAAGCAGCCCTTCTTTGGAAAATAAATCTTCATAAGAGATCATGGAATGTTTAAAGAGCAACAACAACAACAATAAAACTTCAATTGATTGTCTTCATTTAACAAATGTTGATATAATTTTGACCTTTTTTGAATGATTCTGGTACAAGACTTGAACTGGCTTCAAATTATTCAAAGGTGGGTAGTAAAAGGTATCAGTCTCTAGCTGTTTGCAATTCCTGAGAAGGTTATTAGGGTTTTCAGGTTGAAAAGAAAAATTAGCCTGAGGAGAAAAAAGACTTGATTGTGTGGTGTCTGGGAAGAATACAGGGTGTAAATCAAAATCTATACTTAATATTGCCAAAGTGAAAGAGAAGCTGAGATCTGTATCTTTTCATACAATATAGATTTTATCAGTACATCACCAGAATTATGGCAGAAAAGCATAGGAAAATAGTATAAGAGTCACCATGGGGTGCAATGGTATGTGAACTGTGGTGTTAAGGAATGTGGCAATCAGCTATTCAATAACTAGCCAACCTCAGAATGTAAGTTCCATTGAAGTATATTTATGTAACTTAATAAATGAAACATATTGTTGAGAAACCTTTTGTAAGGTTTTAAATGAACCAATGGAAGTGATAAAGCCATACAGAAGAATGTTAAATCTACTTATTTAGGAAGCTTGCTTATACTACCACAGACTTACACTGCCAATGAGACTTGAATCAATCCTTCAGCTCATGCTCAAGGAAAATTCTGGCAAACAACAATTTGTGGAATTGTGGACTCCTTGGTACTCTCTGAGCTTGGTTCTTTGTTTGCAGACATTTCACTACCCAACTAGGCAACATCATCAGTGCAAATGATTGTGGAGTTTGTTTCCTGCTTGTATTGCCCTCCCAGCATTCGTGTAAATTTGGTTTTATTTTTATTTATTTATTTATTATTTATTATTGAATTTGTATACTGCCCTACTCCCAAAGGACTCAGGGCGGTGAACAGCCAAATAAAATACATATATTACAAATGTTAAAAAACTATTAAAATACAATTAAATAATTGGCCCGAAAAAACGAATTTAAAACACCCCAAATTCAAAGACAAATTTAAAATTTAAAAATTTTAGAATTTTAAAAAGTTTGAAAGAGAGGTTAGGCCAGGCCGACCTGCTGGAAAAGAAATGTTTTGATGGCACGGCAGAAAGCGCGCAGGTCCGGGATCCTCCGTATCTCCGGGGGGAGCTCGTTCCAGATGGTGGGTGCCCCCACAGAGAAGGCTCTCCCCCTGGGGGCCGCCAGTCGACATTGTTTGGCCGACGGCACCCTGAGGAGCCCCTCTCTATGGGAGCATACTGGTCGGTGAGAGGCTACTGGTGGCAGAAGGCGGTCTCGTAGATACCCTGGTCCTAAGCCATGGAGCGCTCTAAAGGTGGTAACCAAAACCTTGAAGCGCACCTGGAAGACCACCGGGAGCCAGCGCAGCTCGCGCAGGAGGGGGGTCACATGGGAGCGCCCCGTCGCTCCCATAACCACCTGCGCGGCCGCATTCTGGACCAGCTGAAGCCTCTGGGTGCTCCTCAAGAGGAGCCCCATGTAGAGAGCATTGCAGTAGTTCAGGCGGGAAGTGATGAGGGCATGAGTGACCGTATTTAACGAGTCCCGATCCAGAAAGGGACGCAACTGGCAAATCAGGCGAATTTGATAAAACGCCTTCCCGGCCACAGCCATCAAGTGCTCTTCTAAAGACAGCTGTGAGTGCAGGAGGACCCCCAGGTTGCGAGCCCTCTCCGTGGGGGCCAACGACTCGCCCCCAATAGTCAGTGATGGCACCAACTGACTATATCGGGATGTCGGAAACCACAGCCACTCAGTCTTGGATGGGTTGAGCCTGAGTCTGTTCCTTCCCATCCAGATCCGTACAGCCTCCAGGCACTGGGACATCACTTCAAGGGCATCATTGGGGTGGTCTGGGGTGGAGATGTACAGCTGGGTGTCATCAGCGTACTGATGGTACTTCACCCCGAAACCACGGGTGATCTCACCCAGCGGCTTCACATAAATGTTGAACAGAAGGAGCGAGAGGACCGACCCTTGTGGCACCCCACATACAAGGGGCCTCGGGGTCGACCTCTGCCCCTCTGCCAACACCGACTGCAACCGGTCGGAGAGGAAGGAGGAGAACCACTGCAACACGGTGCCTCCCACCCCTAACTCTTCCAGCCAGTGCAGCATGATACCATGATCGATGGTATCAAAAGCCGCTGAGAGGTCTAATAGGAACAGGACAGAGGAGCAACCCCTGTCCCTAGCCCTCCAGAGATCATCAACCAATGCAAAACATGCCATTTCTGTGCTGTACCCAGGCCTGAAGCCCGACTGGAAGGATCCAGATAAGCCGATTCATCCAGGTACTGAGGGAGCTGTCGTGCTACCACACTCTCAACAACCTTCGCAACGAAGCGAAGGTTGGAGACTGGACGATAATTTGCCAATACTGCCAGGTCCAGGGAAGGCTTCTTGAGGAGAGGTCTCACCACCGCCTCTTTCAAGGTGGCGGGAAAGACACCCTCAATCAGAGAAGCATTTATAATCCCCTGGAGCCAGCCTCGTGTAACCTCCCGAGAGGCCAGCACCAACCAGGAGGGACACGGGTCCAATAAACATGTGGCAGCATTTAGTCTACTCAGTATCCTGTCCACGTCTTCAGGAGTCACAGAATCAAACTCTTCCCAGATAATATTCTCAAGACCTGCCTCCGTCCTCCCCCCTGAATCTACCCCGTCAGAGTCCAGATGTTCCCGAATCTGAGCGATTTTATCATACAGATACTGTACAAAGTCCTCGGCTCTACCCTCCAAGGGGTCCTCCCACGGTTCATGAAGGAGCAGAGAGCGGGTCACCCTAAACAGGGTGGCCAGGCGGTTATCTGATGATGCAATAAGAGCAGAAAAATAGTTACATTTTGCCGCTTTTATCACCACAAGGTAAGTCTTAATATGAGACCTTACCAGTGTTCGGTCAGATTCAGACCGGCTGGCCCTCCAACCGCTCTCCAGGCATCTTTTCTGGCGCTTCATCTCCCTCAGCTCCTCAGTGAACCAAGGAGCCAAGTGAGATTGGCGCCGAGTCAGAGGCCGCAAAGGCATTGCCCGACCCAAAGCTCCAGCGGCCGCCCTATCCCAGGTGGCCACCAGGTCTTTGGTCAAGCCGTGAGCCAGAGCGGGGTGTAGCGGTTCGAAAGTCAAGGCGAAGGAGGGAATGATCCGACCATGACAAGGGTTCAGTCTCTATATCCCCAATATCAAGATCATTCAACCACTGACCAGAGACAAAAACCAGGTCCAGAGTGTTTCCCCCCATGTGAGTAGGGCCATGCACTAACTGGGTCAGGTCCATAGCCGTCATGGAAGCCATGAACTCCCGCGCTGCCTCAGATGCTTCACCGATGGATGGCAGGTTAAAATCCCCCATGACCATAAGCCTCGGGGTATCAACCGCCACCCCGGCTATAACGTTGAGCAGTTCGGGCAGGGCCGCTGCCACGTGGCAGGGAGCCAGGTACGTGATCAGCAAGCACACCTGTACCCCATGACCCCACTTCACCAGGAGGGACTCACAACCGGCAATCTGAGGAACAGTGGCCTCCCTTGGATGAAGACCTTCTTTTATAACAACCGCCATTCCCCCGCCCCTACCCTGTGACCTCGATTGATGAAATGCGCGGAAACCAGGAAGGCACATTTCAACGAGGGGGATCCCCCCTCTTGGCCCAACCAGGAATCCGTAATTCCTGCCAGATCCATTCCCCCCTCCTGAATTTATCCTTGGTAGTTCCTTGATTAGGTTATTGTTTACTGTTTGATTGTTTGTCTGATGTTAATCCATGTTTGTTTTTTATATTTTTATGTGTTGGCTGCTAGACAGGATGTATTCTGGTTTTTTGTTTCTTCTAGCTTTTTTATTCTTTTAAATGGCGAATAAAAGTGGCTTTTCTCTGTCTACTGATGGCTGATTTGTCTCAAGCTTCCTAGAGCAGGGGTGTCAAACTCATATCATCATGGCAACATCATATGACATATCGGGACTTTTTTCTCCTTTGCTAAACCAGGCATGACCAGCACATGCCACATCCGGCCGGTGGGCCAGGAATTTGACAGCCCTGCCCTAGAGCTGTTGGATTTAGTTTGGTCTAGGATGCTTACACTTTCTCAGTTGAAACTTTGAGTCTGTCCATGTGCTGTGAATTTAAGGAATTTAAGGTCTTCTGACTGCTAGTTGTTGTCGATGGATATGCCTTGCTAGTATTCTATTTTTCCGTCCTAAATAATGGCTGTTACAGTCCTTATAAATCACTCCTGCATTTTTTTCCTCTTGAGCTACTGAATCTTTCGGATTTTAAAGTTGTTTTGGAAGGTTTTTAATTGACTTTTGTACTACAGTGATACATTGTGGTTATAACAGGCTGTTGGTTGTTTCTGAGATGCTTTTGATGAATCTTAGAAATATTCTTTTCATAACTTATGTTGAATATGCTGTAGTGTGTTTAGTTGTCAGAAGCTTTTTGATAACCCTGAGCTCAACCCTGAGCTACATATATTCTTTTCTATTGGAGTTTATGGAATCACATTTTATTTCACTGGAAATAGCTTTGGGATAAAACATTCATGCAGCAGTGTTAATTTTAATAATATTAATTTTACCCCATCAATTTAATGGAATTTTAATCCATCTTTTCCTAACTACTGCAACATTTCCATCACTTTAAATATAATACAGCTAGTGACTTTGATTGCCATTTGGATTTTACAGATCTAACCCATGCCCCAAATGATCTGTTAAAAAGATATATTCCTGCAATTGTAGTCATGACATCTACAGTGAGATGCTTCTTTTCAGGGCATCAGTGTAGAAGGGTACTTATCAAAATTTGTCCTTCTTTTAAGATTATCATGATTCTGATTCTACCAATTCTTATTTTATTGTTGTACTTTTGTCTGTTTTCATATCAATGTTCTGTCATAAGGGGCATGCATAAGAGCACCAGCGTACCTACCGTCCCTGTCCTAATGTTCCCTTTAATTGTATTCATTTTATGTATTCAATTCATGCTTATGCTTATAACTTTCCTTTTTGCTGATCTCTCCATGGCCATATGACATTGGGAAGCTATGTAAAACAGTTTAAAAAACCAATAAATCACATATTTGCCCTGTATTCTTTCTTCCAGGTCGGAGAGTATGTGCGGGTGAGAACCTTGCTAAAATGGAGCTCTTCCTCTTCTTTACCAGCCTCTTGCAGAAATTTACCTTCCAGCCACCCCCAGGAACATCTACAGATGATTTAGACCTGACCCCAGCAATTGGGTTTATAACATCTCCTGTGCCCTATCAGACCTGTGCCATTCCACGTTCATAAAATACATGATGTTCATAACACCACTTCTCAGTCTTGGATAATGTGATTCTGTATGGTTTTGGCTTAAAAGGTTGTTTGAAACTTTTAGTTACTTTAATTCATTTTTAAGCAATATAAATTTTTCTATAATAGTTATATATATATATATGTATGTATATATTTGTTTGAAGAAATTATTGATTGCAATAATAACCCAGAAAGAATAATTAAACTAATTGATTGATGTGCAATTTATCTGAAATAGAAAATAAGAAACGATGAGCTTTAATATTAATGGGAATTTATTTCATGCAAAATAAAGAAGATTTATTTGGGAACAATTATTCCCAGATTTGTAGAAATAGAATGACAGATGTTACAAATTGAATCCCAATGAAAATTGAAGAAAAGACATTATGCCACTGGCAGAAATGAACAACACATTTTATACAGTCCAACAAAACACCCAAGAGTTAGTTCAAAAATTTGTAACATTGAAATAACAAGGTTGACAGGCGGCCAGTTATGTTACCAGGCTAGTTGTTTAACTGGGATAAAAGATTGAATTAGAATCTCTGATGGCTGGATTGATCAAATTTGCACTCAATGTTATATGCAGAAAAAGATTGGTATAATATGTGGTGGCGCAATGATTAGAATGCAGTACTGCAGGCTACTTTTGCTGATCATCGGCTGCCAGCAGTTTGGCAGTTTGGGTCTTACTGGTTCAAGGTTGACTCAGCCTTCCATCCTTCCGAGGTCAGTAAAATGAGGATCCAGATTGTTGGGGGCAATAGGCTGACTCTGTAAACTGCTTAGAGAGGGCTATAAAGCACTATGAAGCGGTATGTAAGTCTAAGTGCTATTGCTATTGCTACTGATAGTACATTTCTCTGGTGTTGGTTACCAGAATAAAAAATTCAGTCTCTATTACCGTGATGGCAAACCTATGGCGCACATGCCATATCTGTGGGCACGCAAGCTGTTGCCCTAGCTCAGCTCCAGCCCACATGCACGTGCCAGCCAGCTGATTTTTGGCTGGCCCTGCCCATGCTGCCCCACTCAGGAGTCGTCACGTGGCCCGTTTTGGATGCCAAGTAAGTACAGGGCTTGCGTGGAGGCTCTGGGAGGGCATTTTCGGCCTCCGGAGGGCCTCCGGGGGGGCAGGGGAGGCTGTTTTCGCCTTCCCAAGGCTCCAGGAAATCCTTTGGAGCCTGGGGAGGGCAAAAAACAGGCCTACTGGGCCTACCAGAAGTCTGGAAACGGGCTGTTTCCAGCCTCCTGCGGCTTCAGGGAGGCCTGCTAGGCTCAAAAGCGGGTGCGGGGGGGGGGGGCCTTGGGGCAAGGAATGAGGGAGCGTGGGGGGTCACATGCGTGGGGCACGGGGGGACATTGAATTATGGGTGTGGGCACGCACGTGCGTGACCCCCACCTGTACTCCCCCTGCTTTTGGTACACAATGGCAAAAAGGTTAGCCATCACTTCTCTATTGCATTATAAAAATAATCAGTGTGGATTATTTTTTTCATATTTTGTGGAAATGTTATAAATGCTATAAAATCCAATAATACTGGTGGCTGCCTTTTTTTAACTTAAAGAACTAACTTTTATGTTACCATAAAGTATAGACATTTGGCTTTACCTATGGCAAACATCTTAAATAAGGCAGAAAATATTGCAATTTAGAATTTAGAATTTGAGCTATACTTGTTAATCACTACAAAATAATCCCATTTATATAACAGCATACAATGCTTTTCAAATGTTCAAATTGTAGACTTATATTAACATCTTTTTGAATTTTTAGTTAATGTCACTATGTTTGAAAATCTCCTTTTAATCTATTTTTCTTCATTATATTATTTTCTAAATTTTCTTTAAAATTGCAGAAGTAATAAATGAACAAAAGGAGAATTAAGAAAAAATGTAATTAATTAAATAATTAGCTACGTGTAGATAGAAATTCAAAGATTTACATAAAAAGTCAATTCGGTCTAGCAGTTAAGGCATCAGGCTATGAGACTGTGAGTTCCAATCCTGCCTTAGACATGAAAGCCAGCTGGGTGATTTTGGGCTAGTCACTCTATCTCACAGGTTTGTTGTTGTTGGGAAAATAGAAGGAGGAAGTAATATCAGGTTTGTTCACTGCTTAAAGTTGCTTATAAAAATAATAAAGATAGGAAATAAATAAAATAAATAAATAAAATATTTCATGGATATATAATACTCTTCATTTGTAATTACATTGACTCATGCCTAAACACAAGGAGGGAGGGAAGATAAGTAAGTTTCACCTCCTTCTGACAACCTGCTTTGCTGGAAAGTGAGTGCAACAAGACTTGACTTGTCCTTAGATACTTTCTATGCAGCCAAAAGTCAATAAACACAGCAAGGATGGTGTATTCTTTTCCATTCTATCACCTCATCTGTAGAAATACGTAGAAATTTGAGAATGTAATAATTATTAATAAAAACTCATAGGTATGATCAGGGGTGCTATTCAGCAGGTTCTGACAGGTTCTGGAGAACCGGTAGCAGAAATTTTGAATAGTTTGGAGAACAAGCAAATACCACTTCTGGCTGGCCCCAGAGTGGGGTGGGAATGGGGATTTTGCAGTATCCTTCCCCTGGAGTGGTGTGGGAATGGGGATTTTGCAGTATCCTTCCTCTGGAGTGGGGTGGGAATGGGGATTTTGCAGTATCCTTCCTCTGGAGTGGGGTGGGAATCGGGATTTTGCAGTATCCTTCCCCTGCCACGTCCACCAAGCCACGCCCACAGAACCAGTAGTAAAAAAAATTGAATTCCACCACTGGGTATGATACACATATTGTGCAAATGTGTGGGAATCAATTAAAGAAAGAAAGTAACATGATCTAGGTTTTTATCCATCGATTGCTGTTTGGTGAACCACAAAACAGAATTCAAAGACTCTGAATCTCAGTTGCTGTTGCAGAGTGTTCTCTGCATGGGAGAGAGGGGGGTCTTCTTCATTTCTTTTTATCCATAACTTAACCTGAAAATATTTGTTGATGCCCCTTCCCCTCTGGAGGAAGAAACGGAGGTCTGAAGACAGCTCTTCAAAAAAGGGAGGGAACTCCCGCAGTGGAATGAAGAGCCAGCAGTAGACTGGTTCTTTAATGATTTGAAGCAAAGAGAGGACTTGGGTCACCCATAAGTTACAGAAAGTTCCTCTTCCTATTCTTACTTTCCATTCTTTTTTAGTTTGTATTAGATTTTACAATTGTAATTATAACCGTCAATAAAATTAGTATTAAAAATATTTGTTGATAACAATAATGTTAGATGAACAATTATTTCGTTGCCTAGGCTTGGACTCCATAGCACTGGAGCATTTGGGAATGCCAGTCTTCCATAATGGAGAGCAAACACAATTCCCTTGATTGATCCCATCCAGAATGTTTTCCGGAGCTTACTGGAAGGAAGGGAGAACTGGCAGCTAGTGGAGCCAATTGGCAAGCCCAAATCAGTGAATATCAAAAGCAGCCATGTTTCCTCAGCATGTAAGATGGTCGGGGGGGGGGGGGGGGGAACAAAATGCAACTTTGAATGGCAATTTGCATATATTGCCCCCACTTCTGTGCCAACCTTGTGCAAATGTCCAAGACAGCTGCCAATTGAGAGGGTTTTTTTAAAAAAAACCTGTGTGGCAGCTCTCACAACATATTTTCCAGCCCTCCCATACAGATACAAGCAAAGAGAAAGTCTGTCACAAACCTGTTTGGCCCAAGTAAGAGTTTATGAAGAAAATTAAAACACTCTCCTCTTCTTACTGACCAAAGAAACATAGCAATTTGTTAATTTTAATTCACCTTTTAACACAGAGTTAAAAAGATGTTGAGACTTTTGGAAAAAGTTCAGAGAAGAGCAACTAAGATGATCGAAAGCCTGGAGACTAAAACATACAAAGAACAGCTGCAGGATTTGGATTTGGCTAGTGACTAGTATAAAGAAAAGAAGAATTAGGGGTGACATGATAGCAGTATTCCAGTACTTGAGAGGCTGCCGCAAAGAAGGAGGAGTCAACTTATTCTCCAAAGCACCAGAGGGAAGGACAAGAAACAATGGCTGGAAACTAATCAAAGAGAGAAACAACCTGGAATTAAGGAGAAACTTCCTAACAGTGAGGACAATTAACCAGTGGAACAATTTGCTTGCAGAAATTGTGGCCGCTCCATCACTGGATATTTTTAAGAGTCTAGACCAGGGGTTGCAATGGGTGGGTTCTACTTACCTTTACTACCGGTTCGCAACGGGGGCGCGCGCATGCGCAGAAGCTTCCTGATGACATCGGGATTGATGGGCGGAGCCTCCCACAGGTTTTACTACCGGTTCTATAGAACCGGTCCAAACTGGGGGCAACCCACCACTGGTCTGGATTCTTAAACACTCAAAAAGCCATTTGGACCCATTTTCCGCAGGGAAAAAAAAAAACATTGGGAGCACAAAACCTGGGTGGGCGTGGTCAACTCAACATGACTTCCACCCAGGCACATGACCTGCCCCAGCCATGTCTACCTGGGTTTTGTGGCTCCAGGTGTTTTCTGTGGGTCTCTCTCTCTCTTTTTCTCTCCCTCCCTCTCTCCCTCTTTCTCTTGTTTTTCTCTTTTCCCCCTCCCTCTCCCTTCCTCTTTCTTTCTTTCCTTTCTTTCTCTCCCCTTTTCTCTCATTTATTTTCCTCTTTTCCCTCTCTCTCATTCTCTCTTTCCAGTTCTCTCATTTTCTTTCCCTCACCCTCTCTCTCTCTCCCTTCTTTCCCTCATATTTCTCTTTTTTCCTCTCTCTCATTCTCTCCCTCCATCATTTTCTCATTTCTTTTTCTCCCCTTTTCTCTCTCTCCCTTTCATTTCTGTTTTCCTCTACCACTCCCTCCTTCCCTTCCCTTCCCTTCCCTCCCTCCCTCCCTCCCTCCCTTCCTTCCTTCCTTCCTTCTTCCTTTCTCTCCCCCTTTTCTCTCTCATTTGCTTCCCTCTTTTTCCTCTCTTATTTCCCTCTCTTCTCTCTCCCTTCTCTCTCATTTGTTTCTCTTTTTCCTCTCTCTCATTCTCTCCAGTGGTGGGTTCTAACCAGTTTTACCACCAGTTCGCATCACGCATGCGCTTTGCTGCCCTGAGATGCTGGCCTGGGCTGGCTGCGGCCGATGCTTCACATTGTAAATGGCATCCCCTCTCCCTCCTGAAGCCCATTACGATGTGGAGCATTGGCTGCAACCGGTCCAGCGTCTTGGGGTGG